TGAACCAGACCTTAGCCGGGAAGCTTAAACGTTTGGCGGCCGCCAATCAGCAGGATTGGGACGAACATCTCCCCTAAGCTCTGTTCGCCTACACTACCACGGTGCAAACCTCCACTGGACAGACCCCCTTCCTAATGATGTTTTTTTGGGAGTCTCACCTACCGGCAGATCTGTTGTTCGGCGTTCCCCCACCACAACCGGAGGAAGGGAGCCAGCCCGTGGAGCACCTGATGGGGACCCTGTGAGGGGCCCGTAGCCGGGCCTACCAACAGGGGGAGGCTGCACGTCAGCGGCAAGAGCAGGGCACCCGCCCCTGTGTGGAGCCCCCCTTCTACTCGGTGGGCTCTAAGGTATGGCTGCATACCCCACGCATAGGGGCCGGACAGGTGGGGAAGCTGACCACCTACTGGCGTGGATCCTGGACCGTGGTGCGGCAGATCTTCCCCTGGATGGTACTGATCCAGGGCGGGGAGAGAGGCCGAGAGACGGTGGTCAATGTTCTCCGATTAAAACCATGGAGGGCGGCATTAGAGGGGGAGGCACCCGCCCCTCTGGTGCCCTGAAACCCCGAAATCCCCGCACCCCCCATGCCCCCCATACCCGATGGCTTCGTGCCATACATTGGCACCGTTGGGCCCAAGCTCCCAGCAGACCCCGGCCTGGCCAGGAGGCGGCCCATAAACCCCTCTGCCCCTGAGTTTGTTCCCCAGCAAGCGGATGCCGGACGGCAGGAGGAGCCTCTGGAGTGGAGATGGAGACCGCTGCAAGAGCCTCGGAAAACGGAGTGACCACCCACGAAACTGGCAACAAGGGCCGGGCGAGTCCCACGGACTCTGCGGCGCTACCTGGTTGGAGCGGCCCAGGCGAGGTGCACCAGTCAGCCCTGGACGGGGGCGGGCACCTCGGGGGGCTATGTGGTGCCACAACCGCGGAGCAACTCCGTAAGCACTGCGATTGTCCACTACCCCCCACCCTGAGCACATGCACACATGCAGCACTTCCACCCACGTAGTGTCCTGGCGGGGGATTGCTTGGCACATTTTGTTTTAATCAGAAAGGCCCCTAGAGGGAAAGTCCCACAGTTTCCCGGTGCTAGGAAATTGGCTGACCCTCGCAGGACAGGTCACATTGCGATGCCCCTAAAATTGGTTTAAAATTGTATGGGCGCAGAAATAAAAGGTTCCCTGGGCCAACCACAATGAGTTACAACATTGGGGGGAGGACGGAGGGCGGAATATTAAGCAAGAAAAGCGCAAACCCCCTTTCAGACAATGGGCAACGAGGGAAAATGGGTGACCGCATGGTACAATGGCACCCCGGGCCTTTGAAGTTAAGGGAATAAAAAGAGTAGCACGGGACGATTTTGGGCTCTTGTCTTCAACCTCCGGGCCGTCAAGACCAACTCCCTGCCGTCCTGCCTCCTCGAGCCGCTCGCAGCATCCGTGTGATGCCAGCGAGTGCTGCTCCGAGGCAGCGATAGGTAAAGTTTTCTCTCGTCCTTCTCCCTCCGACTCTCAGCGTCCGTGCGACGCCGTGAGTACAGCTTCGAGGTATGTGGTAGGACGTTTCACTAACTGGGTACATAGGCAGAGTCAGGCTAGGCTCTTCTCGCAAAATATTCCCCCAGGTAGGGTGTATTTGCACCGCAAATAAACGTTAGCACAGATTATCGTTGCAGTGTGATTTGTGTATGTAGGTAGAATCTCGGCGTGGTGTTGGTAATTTGAGTGTGTGTGTGAGGCGCGCGTGTATTAAAAACATAAACGGCCGCCGACGCTCGCGCGTCCGTGCAGCTGTGCCGCACGTTCGCGCTGCCACTTTAGAGCGCGTCTTAATGTGAGTGCGGGGTAGCGGTAAACACCCGCCGGCGCAAATATTCGTGCAGCCGCTTTAGCGCTAGCCTTTGCGTGCAAGCGGATTAGCCTATAACCACCCGTAGACGTTTGCGTGCTTTCGCACAGCCGTTTAGTGTTAAGCTTAGTGCGGGCGCATCTTAGAGTCTGATCGCCGGCAGGAGTGCGCGCATGCTTGCCACCGCCTTAGCATTTGCGTTAGCGTGTGTGCGTGTGTGGAATAACCCCGTGCGGCGGTGAGCAAGCATTTAGCTATGTTCCTCAGAGGGGGCGCTAAAGCGGGAGGGCCGATCACCCGGTCGGTGGGGGCCCGGCGGGGGGGCGATCGACGCGGTGGAGGAGGGAGTGGTTGAAGGAGTGGGGCGAACGTCGGCCCCCAGTTCCATATTTTCTCATTTGTTGCGCCACCTAGCCAGTGAACTGGAGCACGTACATCAAGCCCTCAAGATGAATGGATACTCAGACCGCACAATCCGCAAAGCTGTTGCCCCAACCATGGGGAGACGACCATCTGAGGACCCAATCAAAACCATCACCTTGCCATACATAGCAGGTGTTACCAAAAATATTTCCAATATCTTAAACAAACACAAGATCCAGGTCCGATTGAATACAGTACACAAAATCCGTGATTTGGTCCCATCTTGTGAAGGATGTCATTCCTGACATGCAATACCCTGGTGTCTACAAACTAAGTTGTGTCCGCGGCAGCAGTTACATTGGGGAAACGAAACGACATGTCTCGAACCGTGTTCACGAACACAAGGCAAATTTGAAACACGGCAGAACCAATACCTCTGCAGTGGCTGATCATTGTTTATAACGCAGTGGGCTCGCACAATGTTTTTTTCCGAGACCAAGGTACTCTGCAAACCTTCGGGTTACCATCAAATATTTGTCCATGAAGCCATCCAAATATATAAACAGACAATTTCAACTGAGAAGATGGGTATAAGCTGAGCAATCATTGGAAGGACGTTATTAACCAAGCAAAGTCGTAACTTGCTGTGGTGCTTCCATTCTTCCCTGCCGTTTGGCTGTTATCTCCAACTCTCTGAGTTGCATTGCCCTGTTAGGTGCCTCTGCATTAACAGGCTGGGGTCTCACTAACATGGCCACCTCTGCTCCCTTAGCCTCGATGTATCGATGGTTCTGGCTGTGTGATGGGCTTTGTGTCTCACTGACGCGACCACCATTGCGGTGGTTCTCTTGCATGGACGCACTTGCCTCAGCACAGTTGGAAGCGCCGCAGCTTGTTACACAAAGACGTGACATTAACTTACTAATCCCCCTAATCTCTCTGCCTAATCTCTCCCATCAACATAGTGCTAAACTCCCATTAACACTGCTGTTGTGCGCATATGCGGGGATGATACTCTTATGCGGCGACGGAAGCTCATTTTATGCTAATCTCTCTCCCTAATCTCTCTCTCCCTAATCTCCACCATTAACACAACTGACGTGCTTGCGTCCGAGGATGGAATTCCTTTCCAGCTCAGACCCCGCTTGCTTGTCCATCGCCACATATTTAACCTCTTGTTGTAACAGCTCTCTCGCTGGTTCAGCAGTTCCACTGCTGGATTATTTTTTCCACCTGAGGATGACTGCTTGTGTTGCGATCGAAACGTCGTGATATATAATTTTTATTTTATTTTTCTACCTACGTGACTTTACCGAAAGACCAAAGAGTATGCAAGTTACTTGTTTCATGGAGTTAAAGTGATTTGTGATTGCGGGCTACCGAGGCAGATTTAATTTTCTCAAAGGCTGTAAAGCCTCCTCATTCTCGGGTGTGAGATGCTGCAATGGGAGTGGGCCTGTTGCTTTTTCTCAGCTAGCCGGAACATTCCTGTCTCTAAAGAGGTCTGGATTGCATACTCAATGCAGCCTTTACAGCTGCATGAGCCACAGTCCTAAACCTCACCCATTTTCCCTGGGTATCAGGAGGCAGGGGACTATGCTGACCCCAGCTCCAAGCGATGTTGAAATTTGCACTTACAACCTTCATCAGCTAGCTGAGATCAGGCTACTGCAGTGGAAGGGCAGGCACATCATCTTACAGACAATAAACAGTCATTGGACAGATCGGCTCCACGGTAGTTCCTGGAGTCAAGGACATGGGCCACATCCGTTGTCAGTATATAATCTAGCAGATGTTTGTGTTTTTTGGACCCGGCGTGCATCCATGATGTTGTGTGGATGTACAGATGCAGGAACAGTGCTGGATATGATCTGGCCATGCCTTCTAATCACTCCAAATCATGTGCCAGCATCATGACCCACTCAGGTATTAAAGTCACCCAACAAGATGACCCTATCCAGAGGGGTCCCTTTAGCTAGCACCTGACAGGTCATAGAATGCTTTTAATGCATCGGCCTTGTCTGTATCCCTCCACCAATGTTTATCTTCAGTGGGCGCGTAAGCCACCACTACCATTTCTCACCTCCAATGGGAAGGCGAACCCACAGAAGCTGCATACACTTCACCACCACACTCCCATGCCCCCCTTTCATTATTTTGTTCAGAAGAGCCACTACCTGTTTGGCAGTTGATTTCAGCCAGAACCAGTCCACCGGACCTCCTGAATACCAGAGATCCAAACGGTACTGGTTGAGCTCCCAACAGAGAAGTGGGAGCCTCTCCTCCACAGGGAGTATCCGGACATTGAACGTGGCCACTCACAGAGGCTTTTTGCCTATTCTGGAGGAATCCCGAGGGTGCGGGTTCAGTCTCCTGGCTCTAACAAATGGGGTTTGGCCAAGAGACGTCATAGACGCCTGTCCTGCCAAGCCTCTGGCAGAAGCTTAGTTTCCTATTTAAAACGTGGTTGTGTTAATTTAATTTAAGGTGGAGGGGTCACCAGCCTCTCACACCCATCTAGAGACCCCGTTGGCCGCTGTGGTGGCTACAAGCGCCATGAGGGGAACAACCGATTGGAATCGGCTTTCCTCCAATGGCATTGTTCACAGCCACATAGCGTTACCGACCGTTAATCACTGGGGAGGTGGAGGTGCACACAACACCACCTCAGAGGCACACCCCACAGGACCACACAAGAGGTGCACAGCACACACCGCCATTCCCACAAAGGCGCACACCACACAGATACACATAGACGCACACTCCGTCCACCCATACACTCCAACTCCAGGTATGTCATATGACATTTATTAGAATCGTAATAAAATCAGGGGGGTTACACAGGGGTCTCAGAGGGGTCACGGATGGGTCACAGCGGAAGTTCTGTTCCCCCACTCTGCCCCCCGCATTTGGAATTTATACGTCGAGCGTCAGTCCTAATGGAGGAGTTACTGCTAGGAGCAAGGGGGACTCGCAAGTCCCGTGGCTCCGTGCCAGGATAGGTGGCGCCAGGGCGTGGGGTGTGTGTTGGGTGTGCGCCGAATGTTCAGTGTGTGCTCACCAATTCCCGTGATCCCTAACGGTGCACGTGTCTATGTTAAATGCCTGTTCCCTGCGTGTATGTGCGCGCGTTAATATTAACTGTGTGCGTGTACGATGTGAGTTAACTGTTTGTGTAAACCGTGTTCACTGCACGAGCATGCGAGCGCCTTCATTCCAAGTCGTGTATTAACTGTGTGCACGTCTGTGTGTGTGGGCACGTCTGTTTGTGTGTGTGTATGTGTCAGCTCTGTCTCTGCACGCGAGAGCCGTCACTCCGAGTCGCTGGCACCGCGGTCGCTCTCCACCGCCTCCTGCACCTCCACGCTGAACCGGTACTCCTGGTCGCAGCCCATGTAGGCATCGCTCATGAAGTAGAGCGTGTAGTGGTGCGTCCCGGGGGCTGGCGCCACAAAGTCCAGCTTCACCTGCACCGGGGTCACACAAGGTCACACGGGGATCATGTGGGGTCACGTTTTATTTTATTTTAATTCGCCGACTTGGTTGAGCTAATTGTGAAATCCGGCCAGCTGAAGTCCGGCTAGCCGAGATTTACAGGAGTGTGCAAGTGTGACTGAGTGAGCAGTATCAGCTTGAGAAGAAACGGGTGGCACAGGCAGATATGGCGGTCGACTTGCTAATGACTGGCACCAGCTGTGTGTCAAGATCGGCCTAGGTGGAGGAGGCTGATGAAGGATGTTACTGGGCAGTTGGATGCAGTCACCCTCTCGAAACAATGGAGGGTGGAGGAGCAACGTTCACAACAATGAACAGATCGTCGGGCAGCTAAAAGAGAGTGAGAGTTGGCACAGTGGGGATAATAGGTGGTGCATTCTGCCAGTCATCTCAGTAAACTCATGGCATCTGGGTCTGGTTTCGTGACCTTTCAGTGAGCCTTCGACACTTCATGTCACCTTAACGTGGACCTATCCTGGCACAGGCACCATGGTGGCATAGTTTTCTTTTAATGTCGAATGGCGGCGGCGGCTGCTGTTGTTGTGGTGTTAGTACCTTGGCTTTTTGCTGCAGCGTGAGCCTCTTAATTGAGATGAGGCTGTTGGTCTTAGGGTCGCCGATGACAACCCACCAGCCCTCCTCCCTCTTCTACACGCAGACACAGAGACACACATACACCATCACACACATACACACAGACACACAGACAACGATACAAAGACGCAATGACACATACATAGATATACAGACACACATGATGACACAGACACTCTGATACTCAGATACACACATATATGAACAGACAAGTTCAGACATTACATTCACAGACACAAACAGTGATACACATAAAATAGCACATAGACAGAAATAGACACATGTATACATACACAACGACTCACACAGATACACACACGTAGACAGAGAAACACGTGCACAAAGAAACCTCTGTTGCTCATCTGCCAAATGTTGTGGGCTATGAGGTGGTATGAGGAGATGTGGTGAGGTGTGACAAGGTTTCAGGAGGGGCGATGTGTCACGTGGAGCAGTGAGGAAGTGAGATGAGATAGGATGTAAAGGTGTTGTGTGTCACGTGGAGCTATGAGGAGGTGCGGAGTAGTGCTGTGAGCGGTGAGGATGAGGAGCGATGAGGGAGTGCGAGAAGGGAGTGCGAGGAGGGACGGAGAGGAGGGAGTGTGAGGAGGGAGTGTGGGGAGGGAGTGCGAGGAGGGAGTGTGGGCCCCGTGCCTGTGGGAAGAATGGCGCGATGACGGGCCCCGTCACCTCGTCCTCCCGCTCCAGCTGCACCATGACCACCACGGCCGAGCCACTGTCACAGGACACATCACATGACGTCACACCCCACATCACATGATACATCCCACGACATCACGTGACACACTGACAGTGTCAATGTGACTCCACGACACATGCTCCCCCGAGAACTCACGTCCCCGTAACTCCCCCGTGTACCCATTTCTCCATGTGCTGCCCTGTGTATCCATGCCTCTTAGTGTCCCTGTCTCCTGGGTGTCCCCATGTCCCCCCGTGCCTCCTACGTGTCTCCAGGGTGTCCCCATGCCTCTTTGTCTCCCTGTGTCCAACAATGATGCTGAGCTGTCCAATCTTTATAAAGTCACTTACATTTAACTTTATATATCGTCTATTTACACGTTACTCCGATAGTCGCTGCCTACATCCGTTTAATGTTTCTGTAACTTAATATTGTAATTGTGCTATGATCAGTCTAAAAATAATCTTCCCTAGGCAACTTAGACTTCAGAGAATTTATTAATTAACATTTATTTGTTTGTGCAATAGTGTAAACTTCTCAAATGACATAGTTTATTACCAATTGTGGTTGGCTCCATTGCTGTATTTTATTTATTTGGCTTCTATCATTTTTGCACACAGATGACTCTTGCAAATGAGGTTCCTGGTCTCTTGAGTCCTCACCCCAGTTACACAACATAACCTTCCACTGATCCCCTTGTTTCCCTGTCCCGTGCCTGTGTCTCACGTCCCCACATATCTGTGTCCTGCGTCTAGGCGTCTCCCTGTACCCGTGTATCCCGGTCCGTGTATTTCCATTTCTCTTCCCGTCCCAGTGTCTCCATTTGTCCTCCTGTACCAGTGTCTCTCGTAGTCCATGTGTCTCTGCATATCCCCGTGTTTCTACGTCTCTGCGCCTGCGTGCCCCCTCATGCCCAACCCTGTGCCCCAACGTGCCTGTGCACGTTGTCCTTGTCGCTGAGCTCGTAGGAGAGCTCGATGTTCGGGTAGCGGTTACAGAAGCGTGCCACGTCAGCCATCTTCGAATCATCCAGCTGCAGCAGCGCGGAGCGCGCGGCGTCCTCCATCTCCAGCACGTCGAAGACGCTCTCCACTCCCTGCAAGCCACGTCCAGCATCACCCCGTCACACCACACACACCTCCGCGTTATACAGACTCCACACCCTGCAGCCCACACACTACACACCCACCCTGGGACTTGTCGAGTTCGTGAGATTCACCTGGTGGGTAAGTCTGGGCGAGCCAATTTTGAGTCTCCTGTGAGTGTGGGTGAGTGTGGGTGAGGCCCGTTCACCTGCTCGGTGCAGCGCTTGACATGGTCGGCTGTGAAGTGTGGCAGCTGCTTGAGGTATGAGTCCTTGGACCACATGGCCTGCGTGCACATCTGCGCCAGCTCCATCGCGGCCAGTGCCGGGCTGAGCCAGCCATTGCTCGACAGCACATCCACGCATGCCTGGATCAGGCGGATAGCCTGCAGACGCACGCGCCAACAAAGAGACGCGCAGATACAGGGAAAGAGATGCACGCAAGAATATCAATAATGTTACATGCAAGTTCACACATGCCTGGGTCAGGCGGATATCCAGAAGACGCACGTGCCGAAACACGCGGAAACATATGGATTATAACACGGAGATAACAACAGCTACCACTCACCACTCAGTGGCGGTGATATCACCACAACACTTGTGCCAGACCAGGTGCACTCCGAGGCTACGTGATGTGTTAAGGCTCGCTGACAGGAAGGTCACAGAAGAGACCAAGGATATTATGAGTGAACTGACTGAGATGACTGCCAGATGCACCACCTGTGCCCCCTACTCTGCCAACTTGCTGCATTTTAGGCACCCAGCGCTCCTCTACCCTCTGTTGTTGTTAGAGGGCGACTGCCTCCAATTGACCAGGAGGATCCTTCATGATCCTCCTCCACAGAAGCCAATCATGACATCGCTGGTACCAGTCTTCGGCAAGTCTGCTCAGCTCCACATCTTCCTGTACCACATCAGACCATCTCTTCTCCAGCTCATGTCCCAAACATTTAGACCCCTCTACCTGGTCAAACAGAAGCTGCTTCGGCATGTGGTGGCTGGCCATGTGGGCTACATGACCCAGCCTTGCCTGCAAGAGCTCACGGATGGGAATATGTCCAGATAATTTGAAGATTTGTGAGCTCCTCACACAATCCTGCCTAGTAAAACCCAGGATGGATCGTAGGCAGGCCAGCCTAAATCTTTCTCGCCGGCAAAGATGTTCCATTAGGGGGGGTCCACGTTTTGCAAGCATAGAGAAGGGAGGGCATGACAGTGGCTGAGAAGACCCGAAGCTTCATGGAGCAAAAAACCAGGCAGTTTCCACGCAGCGTTATGCATCCGATGAACAGATAATACTGCCCGACTGATTCGAAGTGAGCCCTCTGCTCTCAAACCAGAACTGGTAATAAGTATACTGCTCAGATATGGGAAACTCTCCACTCTCTAAACTGCCACATCACCAATGGGGAGTTGAAGGGGTGAAGAGTTTGATGGCACAAAATTGTTGTGGTGGGGCTGATGGTAAGGACCAAACTCTTAGTGGCACACTCCAGGTTCAGCAGCAGTGCCTCCAGCTCCTTCTCTGAGTGAGCAGCAACCACCAGATTATCAGTGTACATAACATGGTTGGACCAACAGGGAGCCATCCCTCAACAGCACCCGGGCATCGATCAACCTGTCACTCTATCTGTACCAGATGGAAATACCTCTGGTACAGCTATGGAAAGCCTCTCGAACTACGTGGTCAAATATTATGGTAAATAATGTGGGAGCCAGAGGACATACATCCCTGTGGCACTCCAAGGTGAACAAGGAATTGCTCTGACTCCCAGCCACCTAGCTTAAACCGGGCTTGGCCACTAAGGTCCTTAATGATTGTGACCATAGAGTCAGGGACTCCAAAAGCACGAAGAACAACCCAGAGCCCTGACCATTTGATGGCCATGACCATGTCAATAAAGCAGATAAATAGGTCTTTTTGGAATGTCCTAAAGCTCTACTGTAGAAGATAGATAGAGAATATGGCATCTGTGCAGGAATACCCTGGTCTGAAACTACATTGGGGCTCCGCAAACCTCTCCTTAGCGTGCCTGGCAAGGCCATGTTGAATAATCCTTGCCATGACCTTTCCCGGCACATGGAGGAGGGTGTTGTCTCTGGAATCTTACAATCTGTGTGGTGCCTCTTCTTAAAGAGGGGGACCACCAGGGCATTCTTGGGTGGAGATCGGATCACTCTGCTTTCCCTAAATAATGGTGATGGAATTAAAGAGTGATCTGTGATAATGGGATATTGAGGCAGATTCCATCTGCTCAGTAACCCGTGCGTATCACTCATCCTTGCAGTGCCACACAGCTCTCCGAACCTCCCAGCGAAGGCTGCGGTAAGCCTCCTCATTCTCCGACAAGGGATGTTGTAGATGACGAGAGTGGGCCTGTTGTTTTCTCTCAGCCAGCTGGAACACGGCCTCTGTCAGCTGAATGGGGTTTTAGGTAGAACCTACCACTGGAGTGGAAGAATGGCATGTGCATCTTACAGATGACAAACCGATGGTCAGAGGGCAGTTCTGCTCCACGGTAGGTCATGGTGTCAAGAACATAGGCTCGATTCTGCTGTTCCGTCACAATATAGTCCAGCAGATGTTCTCTCTTAGAACCGGCATTCATTGATGATTTTGTGTGGATGTGCTGATGTCAGAACAGTATGTTGGTAATTACAATCCCATGGGCTGCACAGAGGTCTAACAGCCTCCTACCGCTGTTATTGAGCTGATCTGGCCCATGCCTTCCAATCACTCCGCCCAGGTGATCCACGCGGTTATTAAAGCCACCCAACAGTGTGAGTCTATCCTGAGAGGCCACTTTACCTAGCACCTGGGACAGGAGGTTATAGAAGGCATCTTGACTCATTGGCCATGTCTGCATCCCTCCACTGATGTCCATTTTCGTTTGGGGCATAAGCAACCAACACCATGTTTCCTCATCTCTTGTTGATGGGGAGGCAAACCCACAGCAGGCTGGGACTCACAGCTTCCCACACCTCGCCTCCACACTCCGACACCAATGTCACTCCCTGTTTTTTGGCAATTCCCTGCCTTGAGTGGAGGACTGTCCACCCTGGAGCCAGAACCAGTTCACTGGACCTCCTGTATTTCACAGAGGTCCAGGCAGTACCAGTCCATCTCCCGACAGAGGAATGGCAGCCCCTCCTCCATAGCGAGAGTTTGAACATTCCACGTTGCCAACCGCAGTAGTCTCCTGTTCCTGGAGGGACCCTGACAGGTGGGGTTTAGTCTGGCTCTGTTAAATGGGGTTTGACCAGAAGGTATCATGAATGCCTGTCCCCTGGGGCCTCAAGCAAGAGTTTAGTTGGGTGTTTCCACCCTGGTATTTGGTAGAAAAAGTGCCAGATGGAGGGGTTACCAGCCCCTCGCACACACTAACCCAGGGGTCGGCAACCTAAATAACAAGATAAGCAATTTTTTCAAAAATTATTTTTAAAAACCCTCAATATTTCAAGACACGCAATGTATGGGAATACAAGACGGTGGTCCTTAATAAATTACGTCACGAAAAGTCCTTAAAGAGTCACATGTGGCTCCGGAGCCGCAGGTTGCCAACCCCTGCACTAACCTACATATACATACAAGTAGGCACACACGCTTACCTGCGTAAACGCATACGGGCACCTGCGTACATACAAAGACAAAGATCCCTCCCATATAGCCCTGACAGACTGTAGGCCATGAGTGCGACTCGAACCCGGGCCACCGGATTTATAGCGCAGCACGCTAACTGCTACACTATCGCACGTACACACACGCGCACGTACACACACACGCGTGCGCACACCTGTGTGAGGATGTCCTCAGTGTCTGACTGTAGCTCCGCGTTGAGTTGCATGCGTGAGAGGTGCGCTTGCAGTAGGAGGTTCGCCTTGGCATGGGGGTCGTTAAACTTGGGGTTCGTCAGCTTGTTCGGCACCTTCTGCGCCAGCTGCTCTCCCACACACACGCACACACGTGCACGGGCAGGTGAGCACGCGCACACACACACAGGCAGATATACACACAGACACACAGCTGCGGCTATTGTGATTATCATGGGTGTAGCAATCTTGGTTAGAAAAGTTGTTATTATGAGTGTGGTTATCGCAGTTGTGGTTATTCTGACTGATTACCGCTTGTATGGTTACCGCCTGTATGGTTACCGCGGGTGTGGTCACCGCGTGTGGCACACCTGACGCAGCAGGACGTCCTCGTGGTGGCGGATGGGAATGGCCGCGTACTCGGACGCGTTGGAGACGATGTCGATGAGGCCGCGGATCTTCGTCTTCGCATTTAGAGACATGCTGAACAGCTCTGAGGGCACATACACAGAGACATGCTGAACAGGTACAGAGACAAAGATTCCCGTATAGCCTTAGCAGACTGTTGGGGCAAGTGCTGTTAGTGAGCACCTATGAAGGCCGGCACGGCACACAAGGGGGTGGGAGGCCAGCACCACGCAAAGCCGCCTTTGTCTCCCAAGTGGTTCAGATAATCGTCACTGGGTGATGGCTGAGCAGCAATCGAACACAGGTCGCCAGGTTCATAGCGCAGCACGATAACCGCTACACTACCACTCCCCTATACACACACACACAGACATGCTGAACAAGTACACACACACATGCTGAACAGTTCTGAGGGCGCACACTCAGAGACATACTGAACAAGTACACACACACAGGGCATGGTGAACAGGTACACACAAACAAAGATACATGTTGGTGGTGTAGTTGATGTCGTCGTGAGCAAGAGGTACCGATGGTGTAGTTGATGGAGTAGTAAGTGGGTGCGTAGTACTGATGGGTGTAGTTGATGGAATAGTGAGTGAGCAGTACCGATGGCGGTGTAGATGATTTAGTAGTGAGCGAGCTAGCGGTACTGATGGTGGTGTAGTTGATATAGTAGTGTGAGTGAGCGGTAGCAATGGTGGTGTAGTTGATGTAGTAGTGTGAGTCAGTGGTACGGATGATGGTGTAGTTGCAGTAGTGTGAGGGAGCAAGCGGTACCGATGGTGGTGTCGTTGATGTAGTAGTGAGTGAGCAGTATTGATGGTGGTGTAGCTGTAGTTGTGAGTGAGTGAACGGTATCGATGGTGGTATAGTTGTGAGTGAGCAGTACTGATGGTGGTGTAGTTGTAGTCGTGATTGTGAGTGAGTGAGCGGTACCAATGGTGGTGTAGGTGATGTAGTAGTGAGTGAGCGAACAGTACCGATGATCATGTAGTTGATGTTGTAGTGAGCAAGCGGTACCGATAGTCGTGTCGTCGATGTAGGAGTGAGCAGTACCAATGGTGGTGCAGTTGCTGTAATAGTGAGTGAACGGTCCCGATGGTGGTGTAGTTGATGTAGTGGTGAGTGAGCGGTACCGATGGTGGTATAGTTGATGTAGTGGTGAGTGAGCGGTACCGATGGTGGTGTAGTTGATGTAGTGGTGAGTGAGCGGTACCGATGGTGGTGTAGTTGATGTAGTGGTGAGTGAGCGGTACCGATGGTGGTGTAGTTGATGTAGTAGTGAGTGAACGGTCCCGATGGTGGTGTAGTTGATGTAGTGGTGAGTGAGCGGTACCGATGGTGGTGTAGTTGATGTAGTAGTAGGCTGCGATCATGCCCAGGTTGAGCGGCGCTACGTCCATCTCGTCCTCCAGGCTGATGCACTTGCTGTGCTCCAGGTCACCCAGGGTGCTCTCCACCAGCTCCGACAGGTGGTCCGACAGGTGCCGGTGGGATACACCTACAAAGACCCCCCCATTTAGCGTTAACAGACTGTAGGAACAAGTGCTGTTAGTCAGCACCTATTAAGGCTGGCACGGGACACGATCGGGTGGGTGGCCAGCACCACGCCAGGCCGCCCTTGTCTCCTTAGTGGCAAAGGTTTTACACATCACACTCGGTACTCATTTGAGGCTGAGTGGACCTAGGGAAGCCCAAGACTGGTTAAGATAATCATCACTGGTGTTGGCCGGTGCGGGAATCGAACACAGGTCGCCGGGTTCGTAGCGCATTATAGCGCTAACCACTTTCCATATTGGTCTCTCCACATAATACACGAATTATATTACACATCCTATTATCCACACGGCTTTATGGGAGTAAGTACAGCAGCATTAACAGTGCCGGACGAGATGGCCGACGGTGTGGCCGGTAGGCGGCCCCCCTGTGTCCGTGTGGCCATGTGTCCCTGTGTCTCTGTCTGGCCCATGTGTCAACGTGTCTGTGTATGTACTGGATGTTGAACTTCTTTCCCACCGTACGTAACCATTCATGTTAATCGGAGGTATCTGTGTGTCCCTGTAGCGGAGCGTCCCTGTATCTGTCTGTGTGCCCCTGTATCTGTCTGTGTGTGTCCTTTTGTCCCCGTAGCAGTATATCCGTGTGTCCCTGTGTCCGTGTGTCTCTGTGTGTCTGTGTCCCTATGTGTCCATGCATGTCCCTGTGTCTGTGTGTCCCTGTATCTTTGTGTGTGTGTCCCTGTGGCGGCATGTCTCTGTGTCCACGTGTCTGCGTGTTCGGCCGTGAGCGCACCCTGCAGGTTGTAGTAGTTGGGGTTCTGGGTCATGCGGCGGTACAGGAATGTCCAGGTGAGGTAGTCCACAGCGTCCTGCTTGTTCTCGATGGTTTTGGTCACCACCTCGGCGTTGAAGTGGTCGTGGAGGCAGTGGTCCAGGTGCGACTCCACGGGCAGAGGCTCGTAGAGGAATTTCTTGAAAAAGTCCTACATGGCGCCACCGTCACACACACCGTTATCACCCGCCATAACCAACGGTTGCACGTCATCGCGGGTTGCCATGGCGGGGTTGCTGTGGCGCGTTGCCGTGGAGGGGTTGCCGTGGTGACTCACCTTCTTGGAGCCCTGGCACAGGATGACGCATTTGCCGTCGTCGTCGACGAGGGGGCGGTTGGCGCGGCCGACCATCTGCAGCACGTCGAATATTGGGTAGTCCACGTAGCTACCATCACATATCGCATCACAAACCGCATCACAAACCGCATCACGAACTGCATCACGCGCCGCATCACGCACATCATACACCACATCACACACGCATCATGTACCACGTAACGTACCACACACAAATATCACCCATTTAACCTGAGTCGACCTAAAGGAGAGCCCGGTACCAGTTCAGATAATCGTCACTGGTGTTGGCAGCGAGTGGAAATCGAACTTGGGTCGCTAGGTTCGTAGCACTGTGCGCTAACTGCGACACTATCCCTACCCCAACACATCCACACCATGTTATACCAGACACATACACAACAGAGATGCGACACATATACCACATTACATATCACATACCGCACACCACAGGTAGTGAGGTGAGCATTTATGTACTGGGGGGTGAGCTGGCTGGAGTGAGGGGTGCCTGATGGTACTTGCTCTAGAATCTTACAATTGTAGTGAGGGTGAGTGATTGTGAGTGAGGGTGAGCAAGTGATGGTGAGGCCGAGTTCTTACACGTGGATATTGCCATTTTATAGTGAGGGTGAGTGATGGTGAGCGAGGGATGGTGAGGCTGAGTACTCATGCGTGGATCTTGCCATTGTAGTGAAGGTGAATGATTGTGAGTGAGGGTGAGCGAGGGTGAGTGATTGTGAGGGTGAGTGATGGTGAGCGTGGGATGGTGAGGGTGAGTACTCACGCGTGGATCTTGCCGTTGTAGTGCTGCGTATCCATGACGACCACGAGGTGCGCCGCCACCTTCATCCCCCAGCAGAGCGAGCGCGACGCCACCACCACCTGCACCGCCCCTGCACCACCACAATCACTGTAGCACAACCACTGTAGCACAACTATAGCCACCACCTGCACCACCACAATCACCATCACCACCACTATAGCCACCACTACTGCAGCCACCACCACTTGCACCGCTCCTGGACCACTACGTCCACTATAGCCACCACCACCATCACCTGCACTACCACAAACACGACCACCACTATAGCCACCACTACTATAGAGACCATCTGCACCGCCTCTGCACCACCACCACGATAGCCACCACCACCACAGCCAACACGATAGCCACCACCTCCTGCTCCACCCACTGTAGCCACCACCACCACTGCAGTCACTACTAGTCACATCCACCTGCACTGCCCCTGCACCACCACCACTATCGAGCCACCACTACCACCACCTCTGCTCTACCACAACCACCACTGTAGCCACCACCACCACCACTAATATAGCCACCACCTACACCACCCCTGCAACGCCACAACCACCACTAGAGCCACCACCACCTGCAGAACCATAACGACAACTGTAACCACAACTACTACAACCACAACCACTATAACTTGCACTGATACGATGTTGCGTGTGCTGCGAAAATCCCATGCATGTGCTGCATGTATGTGCTGCACAGGTGTGTGCAAGTGCTGCATGTGTGTGCTGGCAAGTGTGTGCATGTGCTGCATGTATGTGCTGCGCAGGTGTGTGCATGTGCTGCCTGTGTGCGGCGTGTGTGTGTGTGCGTGCTGCGTGTATGTATCATGAAGTACGATCCCTATATGATGGGGGGAGGTGGCACCACGGCGGGGAACTGCGGGAATGGGACTCCCGACTTGTGGTGCTGAGTGCGAGCGCTGTCAGCGCCACCGAGTGGATGGAACCCCGCTTCTGCAGCTTGTGGGTGCAAGGTGGAGTGTGGCGGGCAGTTAACGGACAGCCACGAGGCTGTCAGTTGGGGCAATTTAGGGAATAGGACAGTAGCTATAAAAAAGGGGTCAAATAGCAATTGGGGGCAGTTAAGTCTGGAGATGAAAGGGAGTGACGAGATTTTGAGAGCTCCATAGGAAGTTATAGGATAAATAAGTATAGGAGTGTAAATAACAAGTTGCCAATTGTTACAATGCGAAGTAATATATTTTACTAATTGCGATACCCATTCTGGGTACAAAATATACACAATTGTCAGCGTCTTCTCTTATTGTTTATATATAGCAATATTTAGGAGGCGTTACATGTGTGCTGCATGTGTGGTCCTGCGTGTGCGCTGTGCATGTGCGTGTGTGCTGCGAATGTGCTGTGCTGCATACGTGCTGAGTGTGCTAAGTGCGCTGCGTACTTTGTGTATGTGCTGCGTGTGTGCTGCGTGTGTATGCGCTAAATGTGTGTGCTGTGTGTACGTGCAGTATATGTGCTGCGTGCGTGGCATATGCGCTGCGTGTGTGCTGCGTGTACCCGAGTGGAAGAGCTGCTCCACGGTGCGCCGCTCTGTCTCCGTGAGCCCCTCGTGCAGGTAGCCTACGCCGTTGGCAAGCGTCTCGCGCAGCGTGCTATCCGACAGTTGCTCCAGGAATGGGGCCAGGTCCTCCTCGGCACAGTGCAGGAAGCTGGGGATGGGTGCGCAGGGTCACATGGGGTCATGCGAGCGGGGTCACGCGAGCGGGGTCACGTGAGCGGGGTTACGTGCGCGAGGTCGGACGCGCGGGGACGCCCGTGGGGAAACGCGGCGGGCCGCGGGTCGCGTTTCGGCGTACACCGTACCGGTGCGGCTGGATCTCGGCGGCGCAGTAGGTGAGGATGTCGATGGCGGTGAGGCGCGTCTGCTTGCGCGAGGGCACGAATACGAGCGCGGGTTTATGCGGGGAGTGCTTGAGGATGGCATGGTACGCGGGCCGCCCCATCGCCATCAGCCGCGTCTGCGTGTGGCTGATATTGAACCCCTGCACACGGGGAGACAACGGGAGGAGCAGAGAGACACGGGGAGGAGCAGAGAGACACGGGGAGGAGCGGGGAGACACGGGGTGGAGCGAGGAGACACGGGGAGGAGCGGGGAGACACGGGGAGGAGCGGGGAGACACGGGGTGGAGTGGGGAGACACGGGGAGGAGCAGAAAGACAACGGGAGGAGCGGGGAGACACGGGGAGGAGCGGGGAGACACGGGGAGTGGGGAAACACGGGGTGGCGAGTGTAAATGTTTATTTATGAGCCAATGAAACGGATTCCCGTGCTGCCGACACGAGCGCCGTGTCGTCCGCAGCAGAAGCACTTGATGACAACTCTCTCCGTGCAACCCCTCCCCACCTGGATGTGTAGCTCGAGGGGCACGGGGCGGACATTTGGGTGGAAGTTGAAGGTGCCGGTGGCCGAGCAGCCGAGCCACTGGGCCACGTCCTTGGCGTTGGAAAGCGACGCACTGAGCGCCACCACGCGGATCGGACGCTCGATCTGGGACGAGATGTAGCGCATCCGCGAGCAGATCACCTCCAGCACGGGCTGCATGCGGACACACGGGGAGACAAGGGGACAACACAACATGAGAACACAGGGGAGGCACGGGGACACACGGGAAGATACACGGGGAGACACAAGGACTGCATGCGCGGAGACACCGCCACACACCATCGCACACACGTCATCGCACACATGCGCGAGCGCACACTGTGGCCCCACGCACCCCGTTGTGAGCGCCGATGAGGTGCGTCTCGTCGACGATGAAGAGGTTGATCCCCTGCACTCCCTTGCGCTGCTTCCAGCGCCGGGAGAGCACGTCCCAGTGCTCAGGCGTGCTTACGATCACCTGGCCCCGCGCCAGCAGCTTTAGGTCCGCAGCCGTCTCGCCTAACGCAAACACAGCCACACAGAGTCATGCACTCACGCACAGTCACGCACACAGTCACGCACACACAAAGACCCCCTGTATACCCTGAGCAGACTGTTGGGGAAAGTGCTGTTAGCGAGCACCTATAAAGGCCAGGACGGAGCACTAGGGGGTGGGTGGCCAGCACCACGCCCGGCCGCCTTTGTCTCCCTAGTGGCGCTGTTTACACACTGCACCAGGTGCTCTTTTCAGGCTGAGTCGACCTAGGTGAGGCCCAGGACCGGTTAAGATAATTGTCACTCGTGTTGGCCGTGAGCGAAAATCGAACTCGGGTCGCCAGGTTCGCAGAGCAGCACGCCAACCGCTCCACAATCAAATACACAATTATATGTACACTCCTACATAAACCATATATAAACACACATACACACATTTGGGCAGTATTAGAGATGTGGAGGAGGTGGTGCATGTTGTGCTGGATGTTGTGGGGGAGGTTGTGGTGGTGGATGGTGTGGTGGAGGTGGGTGTGGTGGAGGTGCGTGTGGTGGAGGTGGTGGAACTTATGGTGGAGGTTGTGGTGGAGGGTGTGGTGGAGGTTGTGGTGGTGGAGATGCAACTGTGGTGGTAGAGGAGGGTGTGGTTGAGGTGGTGATTATTGTGGTGGTGGTGCAGGTGATTGTGGAGGTGGTAGTGGAGGTGGTGGTGCAGCTGTGGTGGTGGTGGTTGACACCTGTGAGCAGAACGACGCGGCGCCCCAATGCTCCTTGGAAACGGTCGACCCACTCGCTGTACACCTACACACAAAGACAAAGACCCTCCGCTTAGCCTTAACAGACTGTTGAAGTGCTGTTGGCGAGTAGCACCTATGAAGGCCGGCACGGCGCATGAAAGGGTGGGTGGCCAGCATCACTCCCGGCCGCCTTTGTGAGCGGGAATCGAACCCAAGTCGCCGGGTTCGTCACGCAGTGCGTTAACCACTGCACCACCGCTCCCAACACCGAGCATAAACACAAATAATCCCTGTATAGCCTTTAACAAACCGTTTGGGCAAGTGCTGTTAGCGAGCACCTATGAAGGCTAGAACAGCACAAGAGGGGGATGGGTAGCCAGCACGCGTGATTGTCTCTCGAGTGGCAATGTTTACACATCACACGTGTGCACATACACACATACGCACTGTGACCCAGAATGTGTGTGCGTGTGAGTCCGTGTTACCTGCTGCGCCAGGGCCTCCAGTGGGGTGACGTACACGCAGCGCCCCTCCGGGTTGTGCATGAACAGCCGTAGGATGGCGAATTCCGCACAGATAGTTTTGCCGCTGCCGGCCGGCGCACCGATGAAGACATTGTCGTCGCTGTTGTACACGGCGTTGAACACTGCACACACATACAGGCAAAGGTCCCTCGTGTAGCCTCAACTAACTTGCAGGCCAAGTACCGTTGGCGAGTAACACCTACGAAGGCTGCGTGTGCGCGCGGTGCGGCCGGAACCGCAAGCACGCACACATGCACGTACGTTACATCGCTGTGCAGCTTTGTAGGTGCATGCGTCAGTCTGCAGGGGTTTGTGTGTTAGAGTCTATAGGGGTTTGTAGGAGTCTATAGGAGTCTAATGGAATACAGGAGTCTAGAGGAGTGTATACTGGACTAGAGGGGTGTATACTGGACTACAGGAGCGTATAGCGGTCTACAGGAGTGTATAGCGGACTACGGGAGCGTATAGCGGGTTATACGGGAGCGTATAGCGGTCTGTGGGAGCGTATTGCGGGTTCTACGGGAGCGTACAGCGGGGTCTACGGGAGCGTATAGCGGGGTCTACGGGAGTGTATAGCGGGGTCTACGGGAGTGTATAGCGGTCTACGGGAGCGTATGGCGGACTACGGGAGCGTACAGCGGTATGTGGGAACGTATAGCGGTCTACGGGAGCGTATAGCGGTCTACGGGAGCGTACAGCGGTCTACGGGAGCGTATAGCGGTCTACGGGAGCGTATAGCGGTCTGTGGGAGCGTATTGCAGGTTCTACGGGAGCGTATAGCGGACTACAGGAGCGTATAGCGGTCTACGGGAGCGTATAGCGGACTACAGGAGCGTATAGCGGTCTACGGGAGCGTATAGCGGACTACAGGAGCGTATAGCGGACTACAGGAGCGTATAGCGGGGTCTACGGGAGCGTATAGCGGTCTGTGGGAGCGTACAGCGGACTACAGGAGCATATAGTATTCTAGAGGAGTGTATAGCGGACTACAGGAGTCCTGTGGGGGTGCACACCCTGTGTCTGGATGGGGTTGAAGAAGGGGAACGCGCTCTGGTAGAGGCGCTCATACTGGGGGCTGCGCAGCGCTGACACGGGCAACGGCTGCAGATCCAGCAGCTCGGTGGGGGGAGGGTACTTCTCCGGGAGCAGCAGGTGCCGGAACGAGACGGCCAGCTGCGTCTCTGACACTATGCAGGGAGACGCAGGGGGAGACATGCAGGGAGAAACAAAAATGAGGAAACAAAGCCATAGACAGATGTGTTATTGTAAACACGTGTGTGTGTACACGTGCGTTTATGGGTACTAACAGCACTTGCCCCAATGGTCTGTTAAGGCTATACAGGGGATCTTTGTCTTTGTACATAAGTGACAGAGTGAGTATCCGTGAGTGTGAGCGAGTAAGTGTAAATGACTGAGTGAGTGTGAGCGAGTGTGAGTGAGTGAATGTCAGCGAGTGTGAGCATGAGTAAGCAAGTAAGCGGACACACCACTAACTGAACTAGTGGTCAGATAGCAGTATGTGTCAGTGTGCATGTACACGTGTGAGTGAGCGATTGTGAGTGAGCGTGAGTAATTGAGTGTGAGTGAGCGAGCGGAGGCACCGCTCACGAATCCAGTGGTTAGACAGCAGAGTATGAGCGAGCGTGAATATGAGTGGGTGTGAGTGTGAGCGAGCGAGTGGAGGAGCCGCTCACTGATCCATCGGTCGGACAGCACGCGGATGAAGTACTGTGGTGGCAGCGGCTCAAAAACGGGCACAAAGAAGGAGACGAGGTGCTCGTCTTCGCAGAACTTGGCCTTAAGCAGGAAGTACTCGTGGTGCAACACCACCTCCGAGTCCACGTCCTCCACTAGGATCCAAAACGCCTCGCTCTGCCCGTGCACCTGGCTCACCGTCACAGTCACCATCAACATCGTCACCATCAACTTCGTCACCATCAACGTCGTTATCATGAACATCACCATCAACGTCGTCACCATCAACATCGTCCCAAGGATCCAGAATGCGTCGTTCTGCCCGTGCACCTGGGTGAGCTCGTGGGTGAGAGAATGAGCGGATGAGCGAGTAAGGCAATGATGAGAGGCGGTGAGCTCATGGGCGCGTGGGCGGGCGAGTGAGTGGATTGGTGAATGAGTGACCGAACGAGGCCATGGGGGAGCTCATAGGTGCGGTAGCAAGTGAATAGGTGAGCTCATTAGTGAGCGAGCAGGCAAATAGGCAGTGAGGGAAGAAAAGTGTTTGATCCCCTGCTGATTTTGTACGTTTGCCCACTGACAAATAAAAAAAAATGATCAGTCTATAATTTTAATAGTAGGTTTATATGAACAGTGAGAGACAGAATAACAACAAAATCCAGAAAAATGCATGTCAAAAATGTTATTAATTGATTTGCATTTTAATGAGGGAAATAAGTATTTGACCCCCCTGCAAAACATAACTTAGTACTTGGTGGTAAAACCCTTGTTGGCAATCACAGAGGTCAGACGTTTCTTGTAGTTGGCCACCAGGTTTGCACACATCTCACGAGGCATTTTGTCCCACTCCTCTTTGCAGATCTTCTCCAAGTTCATTAAGGTTTCGAGGCTGACGTTTGACAACTCGAACCTTCAGCTCCCTCCACAGATTTTCTATGGGATTAAGGTCTGGAGACTGGCTAGGCCACTCCAGGACCTAAATGTGCTTCTTCTTGAGCCACTCCTTTGTTACCTTGGCCGTGTGTTGGGTCATTGTCATGCTGGAATACCCATCCACGACCCATTTTCAATGCCCTGGCTGAGGGAAGGAGGTTCTCACCCAAGATTTGACAGTACATGGCCCCGTCCATCGTCCCTTTGATGCGGTGAAGTTGTCCTGTCCCCTTAGCAGAAAAACACCCCCAAAGCATAATGTTTCCACCTCCATGTTTGGACGGTGGGGATGGTGTTCTTGGGGTCATAGGCAGCATTCCTCCTCCTCCAAACACGGCGAGTTGAGTTGATGCCAAAGAGCTCCATTTTGGTCTCATCTGACCACAACACTTTCACCCAGTTGTCCTCTGAATCATTCAGATATTCATTGGCAAACTTCAGACGGGCATGTATATGTGCTTTCTTGAGCAGGGAGACCTTGCGGGCGCTGCAGGATTTCAGTCCCTCACGGCGTAGTGTGTTACCAATTGTTTTCTTGGTGACTATGGTCCCAGCTGCCTTGAGATTATTGACAAGATCCTCCCGTGTAGTTCTGGGCTGATTCCTCACCGTTCTCATGATCATTGCAACTCCACGAGGTGAGATCTTGCATGGAGCCTCAGGCCGAGGGAGATTGACAGTTCTTTTGTGTTTCGTCCATTTGCGAATAATCGCACCAACTGTTGTCACCTTCTCACCAAGCTGCTTGGAAATGGTCTTGTAGCCCATTCCAGCCTTGTGTAGGTCTACAATCTTGTCCCTAACATCCTTGGAGAGCTCTTTGGTCTTGGCCATGGTGGAGAGTTTGGAATCTGATTGATTGATTGCTTCTGTGGACAGGTGTCTTTTATACAGATAACAAGCTGAGATTAGGAGTACTCCCTTTAAGAGTGTGCTCCTAAAATCAGCTCGTTACCTGTATAAAAGACACCTGGGAGCCAGAAATCTTTCTGACTGAGAGGGGGTCAAATACGTATTTCCCTCATTAAAATGCAAATCAATTTATAACATTTTTGACATGCGTTTTTCTGGATTTTTGTTGTTGTTATTCTGTCTCTCACTGTTCAAATAAACCTACCATTAAAATTATAGACTGATCATTTTTTTGTCAGTGGGCAAACGTACAAAATCAGCAGGGGATCAAATACTTTTTACCCTCACTGTAATCCTGTGGGTGAGTAAGCATGTGAACAGGTGACCTTGTGGGTGAGCAAGCTGGAAAATAGGTGAGCGAGTGGGTGAGTAAGCAAGCAAATAGGTGAACGAGCTAGCTAACAGGTGAGCTCATGGGTGAGCTCATAGGTGAGTCAACACGAGAATAGGTGAGCTCGTGAATGAGCCGGTGAACTCGTGGGGGAGCTCGTGGGTGAGCTCGCGGGTGTCGTGGCGGGTGAGGTGGCAGGCACCGCACCTTGTCGTCCCACTGGAAGTCCGGCGTGATGGTGAGCTCCACACGCAGCGTCGAGCGGGTGATGGGCTGGATGTGGGTGGACAACTCGAGCCGCGGAAACTGGTGGACATACTTGTGGATCGTCTTCCCCATCTTGGGCATGCGGATCAACTCACCTGCTCGCAGAGGTCACGGGGAGGTAGGGTGGGGTCCGTGAATGGTAAGGGCAGGGTTGGGTTGGGAAGAGGTTGCAGTGAGGTTGTGTGGGTGTAAGTAGTGCTGTGGTGTACGTGGTGGTTGTGTGCAGTGGTCACAGATGGTCTTGTGGTTGTGAATGTGGTTGTGGTGTTACCTGATTCCATTGTGGTGGTTCTGTTTGTGGTGGTGGTTGAAGTGGTGGTGGATGTGGTGGATGTGGTGGTGTTCACTAATCTCATTGTGCTGGTTGTTTGTGGTGGTAGTTGTGGTGGTGGTAACTTGGAGCGCCACACATATCACCATATAATGAGGGGAAAGAAAGGTGATCCGATCTCTGACCCCTAGAAACAGGTTTGCAGAGAGGAAATCTCTCAGCCTGGAAAACATGGGTCAAAGTGTCTTCTAGGCTGCCGTGCCTCAAATATTGGAAGAAGTAGTCACCCCCTGTGAGCGGCTGGCTAAAGTGCCATCTGTTGAGGAAGTAAAGGCGGCGATGCAGAGTCTGAGACCAGGAAAAACACCGGGCAGAGATGATCTCCCAAGCAAAATGCTGAGGGAGGGAAGGTGGCGTTTGTGCGAAACACTGCCCTATATGACATCATAATAAGTGTGGACCACAGGACGGGTTCCCCAGGATTGGAATGAGGCCCTGGTGGTCCCCCTCTTTAAGAAGGGGGACTCCTCTTTAAGAAGGGGGATCCCCGCACAGACTGTAACAACCACAGGGGCATCTGCTTCCTCAGTGTGTCGGGAAAGGTCCTGGCAACGATTATTCAACATCGCCTTACCAGGCACGCTGAGGAAAACCTTGCGGAGCCCCAATGTGGTTTCAAGAAAGGGCGGTCCTGCACAGATGTCATATTTTCTGTCTGCTACAGCAGACAGGACCTACATCTCTGCTTCATCACTCGTCCTGGGCTCTGGGTAGCTATTTGTGCTTTCAGAGTCCCAAAAGCAAGATGATGGGCAGGCCCGGGTAAAACTACGTGGCCGGGAGTTGGAGCCATTCCCTGTTCCTTGGGCTGCGACAGGGTTGTCCACTGACTCCCACATTATTTCACATCTATTTCGACCACGTAGTTCGTGAAGCCTTCGATGGCTCTACCGGAGGAATTTACATCTGGTACAGATTCAATGGGAGACTGATCGATGCCCGGGTGCGGTCAAGGGATGGTTCCCTATTGGTCAACCATGTTATGTATGCTGATGATCTGGTGATTGCTGCTCACTCAGAGGAGTTGGAGGCGCTGCTGCTGAACTTCGGGCATGCCACTAAGAGGTGGGTGGTCTTACCAATCAGCCCCACCAAAACTAAGCACCTGCCTGGGTATTTTGTGCTATCAAGCACTCCACTCCCACTACTCCCAATTGGTGATGGGGCAGTTGTGGAGAGTGGAACGTTTTCCATACCTGGGCAGTGTACCCATGACCGGCTCCGTTTTTACAGCAGAAGTCTCACTCCGAATCAGTCGAGCAGCATTATCTTTGGCTGCTTGTGAAACGTGGACCCCCCCCCCCAACATCTTCGCCGGTTAGAAACATTTAGGCTGGCCTGCCTACGATTCATCCTGGGTTTAACCTGGCTGGATTGTGAGGAGCTCACAAATCCTTGAAAGATCTGAACAAAATCTCATCGGTGAGCTCCTCTGGCAGGCAAGGCTAGCTAGGTCATGTGGCCCGCATGCCCAGCCACAGCATGCCTAAACAGCTTTTGTTCGGCCAGACAGAGGGGGCTAAACGGGAGCAGCACGGGCGAGAGAAGAGACGAGAGTGATGTTGTACAAGAGGGCGTGGAGCTAAGTGGACTCTCTGAGGACTGGTACCAGCGGTATCAAGATCGGCCTCTGTGGAGGAGGGTCATGAAGGACGCTACTGGGCAGTTGGAGGCAGTCGCCCTCCAACAACAACGGAGGGCGGAGGAGCGACGCTCACAACAACGAGCGGCGCACCAGGCGTCTAAAACATAGCAAGTTGGCACAGTCGGGTGTGCACAGGTGGTGCATCGGCCAGTCATCTCAAGTCATTCGACCCATGGCACCTGGGTCTGTCCTGTGACCTCCTGCCAGTGGGCGTTCGACACTTCACATGGTCTTAACGTGCATATAGCCTGGAAAAAGCACCGTGATCACGTCACCGCCACTTAGTGGGGAATAGCGGTTGTTTTTGTTGTTGGTGGCAGTAGTGGTGGTTGCAGTGGTGTTGGTAGTGGTAATAGTGGTGGTGTTCACCGATCTCGTTGTGATTGAGGTCGTAGAAGCGCTCCCAGGGGAAGTTCTTCTTTTCGATCTTCTTGACGACTTCCTCTGGGATTTTCCTGAACTGGCGCAGGGGGCTCATCGACTGCCACCTGCACCACGGACACCAACACAACCACCAAGTCTACACCACAATCACGGACACCACCACAACCACCAGGATGGCTACAACCATGATCACAACCACGGTCACAACCACAGCTACTACTACTACTGTCACAACTATACCCACCACCACGTTCACAACCACCACCACCGTCACAATCACAACCACCAGCACGGCAACGACAATGGCCACAACTATAACCACGTCTACAACAACCACAACCACCAGCATGGCAATAACCACGGTCACAACCACCAACATAGCATCAACCACGGTCAAAACCACCACCACAGCTACTATCACTGTCACAACTACAACCACGGCCACAAACATGGCCACAACAACCACAACCACGGTCACAAACACCACCACAGCAACAACCACGGCCAACACCACAAGCACATTGACAACTACGACCACGGTTACAACCAAAGATAAAAACAAAGATCCCCTGTATAGCCTTAACAGACTGGGGCAAGTGCTGTTAGTGAGCACCTATGAAGGCTGGAACAGCACACAAAGGAGTAGGTGGCCAACACCACGCCCGGCCGCTTTTGTCTCCCTAGTGCGAATGTTTATAGACTGCACCAGGTACTCATTTGAGGCTGAGTCGACCTAGGGGAGGCCCAGGACGGATTCAGATCATCGTCACTGGCGTTCGCCATGAGCGAGAATCAAACGCAGGTCGCTAGGTTCATAGCACAGCACGTTAACTGTTGCGCTACCCGATAACAACCACAACCATGATCACAACAACCCCACCCATGGCCACATCCACGGTCACAACCACGGCCACTACCACGACTTCATTGTGAATCCACGGTGAAACTGATAAGCACAGTGAAACTGCGGTGAATACATGGTAAAAGTGCTGTAAGAACTATGGGTAATCCACAGTACCTACAATAAAAACTGCGGTAAACCAATGGTGACACCGCATTGACGACCAGTGAATCCACGATGAAACCACATGTGTTTCAAGGCATGTGTGTGTACACAGCGTGTGTGAGTATACACCTGTAAATATGCGTATGCAGGGGTGTGTATGTTATTATTTATTAGTTTTATTTTACCAGGTAAGGTCCACTGAGCTGTACAATTATTTTTCATAAGCGACCTGGCCACGAACGATAACTCAAAGTGGTTCATCATGTGGAAATTTACAGCAGCCAAATAGTCTAAACGCATGTTGATTCTAAATGTGGCAGGAAAAACCGGAGGACTTAGAGAAAAATCCACGCAACATGCAAACTCTAAATATACAGGTGTCAGGGACGGAATCGGACCCATGAGCTGCTGTATACCAAGTGAGGTAGTTCACATCTCGCTACCGTGGCACCTTATAGGTGTATACACAAATGAATATGTGTGTGTGCATGTCTGTGCGTGTACACGACACGTGTGCGCACGTGCATGCATCTCGTGCATCTGTTCATGGTGTGTGCACAGGCACGTGTGTACGCGTGTGCGTACATGCGTTTGTCGATCATCTTGCAGAGGCTGAGCACTTTGTCCGTGAGCTGGGCCCAGCCGCGGTGCAGAACCATCTCAAACAGGCAGCGCATCAGTCTTCCTGCAGACTGTACGCGCACACACATGCACACACTCATATAAAGATCCGCCGTATATCCTTAACAGACTGTTGGGGCAAATGCGGGAAGCGAGCACCTATGAAGGTCGACATGGCGCACGAGGGGGTGGGTGGCTAGCACCACGCCCCACCGATCTTTGCCTCCCTAGTGGCGATGTTTACACACCACACCAGGCACTTATTTGAGGCAGAGTCGACCTAGGCTAGGCCCAGGACTGGTTCAAATAATCGCCACTGGTGTTGGCCATGAGCGGGAGTCGAACTCAAGTTGCCGGGTTCATAGCGCGGCACGCTACCCACTATACGACCGCTCACACACACACACTGGAACAAATATCCCCTGTGTCGCCTCACATGGGCTGTAGGGGAAAGTGCTATTAACGAGCAGCACTTTTGAAGGCGGGCATGGCACACGCGCAGCTGCCTTTGTCTCCACAATGCTGATGTTGACACATCACACCAGGTACTCGTGGAAAGGCTGAGTCGATCGAGAGGATAGCTCAGATACCGGTTCGGATATTCATCACTGGTGTTGGCCGTGAGCGGGAACCGAACTCCGATTGACAAGCCTTTCGTGTGATGCGCTAACCACTACACCACCACTCCCCCCCACACACACTGACCCCCTCCTCTCCGCCCACGCGTGTGGCCCCGTCCGTGCGTATGTGCGCTCGTACCTGTGTGACGTACACCATGTCTGCCATCAGGGCAAATCCCTCCAGCTTCAGCTGCGAGATGTACGCCTGCAGCAGCACATTGATCTGCAGCACACACACAGCACAAATGCACGTTAAGCACACGCACGCAGCACACACACGCACTGGGGCAGCACACACATGGACCCTCGCAGAATGCAGCACACACATGCACCCTCGCAGAATGCAGCACACATGTGCAACTGTGTGTGTGTTCGTCAGTCTATGTGCGTGCGAAGGGTATGTGTGTATGCTCACGCACCGTGGCACTGGTCTCCTCAATACGCGAGTGTGTGAGTGAATTTGTGCCATTGTGTGTGTGAATCGATGAGTGTGAGTGTGTGAGTGAATGTGTTATTGAATGTGTGCGAGTGAATGAGTAGATGTCAGTGAATGTGTGAGTGAATAAATGTGAGTGTGAGTGAATGAGTGGATGTGTGTGAGTGAATGAGTGGATGTGAGTGAATGAATGTGTGAATGCGAGTGCATGAGTGAACGAGTTATTGTGGTCATTCACCTTGGCGCTGGGCTCCTCGATGCTCTCTTTCACTGGGATGGGAACTCTCTCCAGGAGCTTCTGCAACTCCAGCTTCTCCTCCTGTGCACACGCACAAATATACACACACATATAGACACACACAGACACACATATATATCGACACACACATATACATATGAACAAAGACAAATACAGAGATCCCCCGAACAGACTGTTGGGGCAAGTGCTGTTAGCGAGCACCTATGAAGGCCGGCACGGCACAGGAGGAGGTGGGTAGCCAGTACCAAGCCCGGCCGCCTGTCTCCCTCGTGACGATGTTTACACACCGCACCAGGTACTCAGCCTCAAATAAGTCGACTTAGGGGAGGCCCAGGACCAGTTCAGATAATCATGACCGGTGTTGGCTGCTCGCGGAAATTGAACTCGGAATGCCGGGTTCGTAGCACAGCACGCTAACCCCTACACTACCGCTCCCCACACGCGCAGACACACAGGAGACAAACACACACACACGCGCAGACACACAACAACCGCCATTCATCACTAAGTAGCGGTAATGTCACCACGGCGCTTGTGCCAGGCTATGTGCAGGTTAAAGCCTCATATAAAGACACATATGCACACACACACATATATAGACTGTAGGGGAAAGTAGACTGTAGGGAAAGTGCACGGCACACGAGGGGGTGGGTGGCCAGCACCACATCCGACCGCCTTTGTCTCCTCAGTGGTGATGTTTGCACATCGCACCAGGTACTCGCTTGTGGCTGAGTCGAGCTAGGGGAGGCCCAGCACCGGTTCAGATAATTGTCACTGGTGTTGGCCATGAGCGGGAATCGAACCCGGATCGCCAGGTTTGTAGCGCAGCGCGCTAACCGCTAGACTACCGTTCCCCCTTACACACACATATCGACTAACACACACACGGACTTACACACACATCGAATGACACACATCGACTTAAACACACACCGCATACACACACATGGACGTACACAAACAAACACAGCGACTGTCACACACACATTGACGCACACACACGGACTCGCACAGACACAACGCACACGCATATATGGACTCACACATGGATATACACAGGCACACTCTAACTTTTATAGTCTAAATAAGTTTGTAAATAATGGTTTTCTATCTCCGCGACTTTAGCAAAAGAAGGGAGAGGGGGACATGCATGCATGTATAATAAGTAATTAGGAGCGACTGCGAGGGTGTTCCACCATTTTGGTGCAAATATTTGCCGCGAGCAAGAGCGGCAAATTAGTGAAAGTCAACGAAAACAAAATTAACCTAACCTACCTGTAACTATGAGCAGATGTGCACCAATAAAACGTAATTGACATAACGTCACTGCTCAACCCCCCTACTGCGGGGGCAAGTGTAAATAGTATATGTATTGGTCTGCCCCTGTGCAGTAAGTGATATTGCGTGGCTTCGTATGCCTCAAGAGTACAGAAAAAGGCTATTCTTCATCAACATTGGTTTATCCCTGTCATTATTAAATCTAACCTAAAAAAGTCAATTTGTAATGCGTAAACAGTCATGGCAATACATGTTAGAAGGGAGCTGTTAATCTGCGTGTGTTACCTTGCGCAGTGTCCACATGAAAGATAATTCCCCCCTCACCCCCACCGAACGCGTGTGACTTGGTAGGGGCCCTCCCCCCCCACCAAACGCGTGAGTTCGGTGAGCTCATCCGGCAAGCGAGGCTGCATTGGCTGGGTCATGTAGCCGGCATGCCGAGCCACTGCATGCCCAAGCAGCTTCTGTTTGGTCGGATAAATGGGACTAAACGGGAGCGGCACGGGCTAGACAAGAGATGGACTGATGTGGTACAGGAGGATGTGGAACTCAGTGGACTTGCCAAAGAGTGGTACCAGCAGTGTCAACATCGGCCTCTATGGAAGAGGTTCGTGAAGGATGCTACTGGGTAGTTGGAGGCAGTCGCCCTCCATCAACAGTGGAGGGCAGAGGAGCAACGCTCACAACAATGAGCAAGGCCCAAGGCGGATAAAACACAGCAAGTTGGCACAGTGGGGAGCATCTGCCCATGGGTTGACATGATTGGCACCTGTCAACGAGCCTTAGACACTTCATGTTGCTTCAAAAAGTGCACATGGCCTGGCACAAGTGCCGTGGTGACATCACCGACACGTAGTGGCGAATGGTGGCTGTTGTTGTGTGTGTAGACCTATGTGTGTGTAACCTCGCGCGTGCGTGCATGCACCCACCTCGCGCACGTTGATGTGCCGGAACTCGGAGGAGAGGGAAAAGACACGGAAGAGCTCGATCTCGCTCAGCGTGGGCTTCAGCAACTGGTTGTAGGTGGCCATGCTCTCGTGCGTGCAGTAGTAGTGTGAGGCGATGCGGCCCAGATCCGTGGCCTGCGCACACGCGTATGCACACATCCCCCCCAATACTCGTTGCCTTCACACAGACACTCAACTTATAACTCTGCAGAGCTCGCTCTCACTGAGACACTCGGCGACTCGGAGGCGCGAGCGGGGAAGGATTCAGCAGCTGCTACGCGGTGGAGAGCCAGTGCCAAGTTTCCCCTTCCCCCTAGCTCTGTGGTCCTCTATATGTTTAAATGTTACCGGACAATTAATGAGTGTTTTAACACGTGTGGGGAAACCGGAGCACCCAGAGATAACCTCTATCCCATAAAGATAAGACAGGTGGGGAGTCCTGATTTTGCTGTACCGCCATTTCTTGGCAAAGCCAGGGTATGGCTCCTTCTTGAAACCCAGGGTAAGGTCGTTTTGTAATATTTGTGCGGTGATGGAACAACCCTCACTGCTGCCTCCAGTGCTGGACTACAGGCCACACCATGTGCAGCGAAGCCACCAGCACCGCCCGGCTAATGCAGTGGAGTTTGCTGCTAAGCGAGGTCCATGCCCGACCACCTGTGTCCCCCATGCTGATGTTTCTACAGCACCAGGTACTCCTTTAAGGCCGAATCGAACGAGGCGAGGCACAAGAACCGGTTGAGATAATCATCACCCATGTTGGCCATGAGCGGGAATCGAACTCGGGCCGCCGGGTACGTAGCGCGGTGTAGCGCTAATCGCTGAAAAGCTAACCGCTCTCCAGACAGCGACACATGCATATCGTCACCATCAGCATCGTCATCGGCCATGATCGATCAACTGCTGGATGAAGGCCTCCCCACAAGCGTTAGCAATCCTTTACGGCGCCGCCAAACACCACCCCACCTGGCACCCATTTCACCGCTCCATCTCCGTGTGTGTTTGGGCAGTGCGTGCGTGTCGCCGTGCGCGTGTACCCATATACGCGTGTACCCGTGTATGCTTGTACCCGTGCGTGTGTGTGCACGCGTGTATCCGTGCGCGTGTACCCACGTGTTCCAGCGTATACCAGCATGTACCAGCGTGTGCGCGTGTGTACGCGTGTACCTATGCTTGTGTACCCATGCGCATGTACCGGTGCGCGTACCTGCAGGTGGCCCGTCTTCTTGTCGTACTTCACCAGGTTGGTTTTGTCTAGCACGAGCGCTGCTGTGTGCACGAGGTCGAGACGCCGCGCCTCGAGCGCGGGGTCCGAGCGCAGCGCATCGGCACTCACGCCGTACAGCGCAGGCGAGCGCAGCATGCGCACGTATAGATATGTGTAGCTCAGCCAGTTCACCGCATCCTGCAAGGAGACACGCGGGGAGACATGGTGAGACACCGAGAGACACGCAGAAATGTGGGAAAATCGCGTGTGTGTGATCTCCCCGTGTGTGTGTGACATCGTGTGTGCGATTGTGTGTACGTGGGAACGGTATTGTAGCGGTTAGCGCGCTGCGCTACGAACCCGGCGACCCGAGTTCGATTTTCGCTCATGGACAACGCCAGTGACGATTATCTGAATTAGTCCTGCGCTTCCCCTAGGTGGACTTGGACTCAAATGAGCACCTGGGGCAATGTGTAAACTTCCCCATTAGGGAGACATAGATAGCTGGGCCGCGGTGCTGGCCAACCACCCCCCTCACGAAGGCGAGTATGGCACACAGGTGCTCGCTAACAACACTTCCCCCAACGGTCTGTTGAAGCTATAGACGGAAATCGTCGTCTCTGCTTGGGTGAAATTGTGAGCGTGCGATCGCCAATGGCTGCAGACAGACCTTGGTGTTCTGCACGTTGCCCAGCACCACCTCGGCGTTGAGCATGTCAGGCAGCTTGGACACGAGCTGGCTCTCGATGGGCAGCTGCTGGTTGAGCAGCGACAGGTAGTACTGCAGCTCCGAGTGCGATGTGATGAGGATCCCCTCTCCCTTGGTGTCGTACTGAGGACGCCCCGCACGGCCCAGCATCTACATTGCGCACATGTGGATTTACAAACACACACACACAGACTTACACACAAATTTACATAGACTTACACACATATACTTACAGACGCAGACTTACACACACACGGACAAAAAGACCCCCCATATAGCCTGCACAGACTGTTAGGGCAAGTGCGGTTAGCGAGCACCTATCAAGGCCGGCACGGCACACAAGGGGGTGAGTGGCCAACATCAGGCCCGGCCGTCTTTGTCTCCCCAGTGGCAATGTTCACACACCTCACCAGGTACTCATTTGAGGCTGAGTCGACCATGACTGATTCAGATAATCGTCACTGGTGTTGGTCGTGAGCGGGTTTGTAGCACAGCGCGCTAACCGCTACACTACCGCTCCCCACCCACACACAGACTTACACACACACACAAAGATCCCCCATATAGCCTACAACAGACTGTTAGGGCAAGTGCTGTACGCGAGCACTCACTGACAGATTTACACACACACAGATGTATGCAGGCATGCACACAACAACAGCCGCCACTCGCCAATAAGCAGTAGTGATGTCACCACGGCACATGTGCCAGGCCAGGTGCACTATATAGCCAAGTAAAGTGTCGAAGGCTTGCCGACAGGTCACAGGACAGACCCAGTTGCCATGGGTTAACTGAGATGAATGCAAGATGCCGCAACTGTGCCACCCAAACAAAGATCCCCAGTATAGCCTTAACAGATTGTTGGGGAAAGTGCTATTAGCGAGCACCTATGAAGGCTGGGACAGCACACGAGGAGGTGGGTGGGCAACACCACGCCCGACCACCTTTGTCTCCCCAGTGGCAATGTTTACACACTGCACAAGATACTCATTTGAGGCTGAGTCGACCTAGGGCAGAGGCCCAGGACCATTTCAGATATTTGTTATTGGTGTTGGTCGTGAGTGGGAATCGAACTTGGCTCGCTGGGTCCATAGCGCAGCTCGGCAACTGCTGCGCCACCACTCCGCACGCTGTGCTCCCCCACACGCGCACACACACACGGGGGTACGCACACACACACACTGATAGGGCCCAGACTCATCACCTGTAGCACGTCGAGGGCCCCCAGCTCGGTCCAGCGGCCCTTCTCAGGGCTGTACACCTGGGTGCCTTTGATGACCACAGTGTGCGCCGGCAGGTTTACGCCCCAAGCCAGCGTCGCCGTCGACACCAGCACCTGCACGGCAACCGCATGGCCAGAACCAGCGGCATGACAACCGCGACAGGTGAGGTCCGCGACGGCAACAATGGTGCACGCACGCGCACACACGTACACACACACTCTTTGGTTCTTTCGGTAAACACACGTAGGTATAAAAAATAATAGTGCACGACGTTTCGATCGCAACAACAAGCGACCGTCTTCAGGTGAGAGAGACACGTACACACGCACACACACAAAGACAAAGGTCCCCAGTATAGCCTTAACAAACTGTAGGAACATGTACACGCACACACCCATGTACACACGCGCTCAAGTGAACCCACATGTACACACACGCGCTCACATGAACCCACATGTACACACACACGCTCACATGAGCCCACATGTACATGCACACGTGCTCACGTGAACCCACTTGTACACGCAAACAGACGCTCACATGAACCCGCACACAGGTACTCGCGTGAACCCACATGTACACACACTCGCTCGCGTGAACCCACATGTACACACACGCACTCACGCAAACCCACATGTACACACACGCACTCACGCAAACCCACATGTACAAACACGCACTCACACAAACCCACATGTACACACACGCACTCACACAAACCCACATGTACACACACGCACACTCGCTTACTCAAACCCACATGTACACACACGCACTCACGCAAACCTAGATGTACACACATGCACACTCGCTTACTCGAACCCACATACTCACGTAAACCCACATGTACACATATGCACCCGCTTACACGAACCCACATGTACACACACGCACGCGCACCTGGATGTGCTTGTCAGCGAAGAGGTCCTCCACGAGGGTGCGGTCGACGCGGGACATGCCGGCGTGGTGGATCGCAAACCCGTAGGGCAGAAGGTCCTTCAGCTCCAGATTCTACCCCACAAAAAAGACAAAGATCCCCCGGAAAGCCTTAACAGACTGTAGGAGCTGTTAGCGAGCACCTATGAAGGCTGGAACGGTACACGAGGGGGTGGGTGGCCAGCACCACGCCCGAACGCCTTTGTCTCTCCAGTGGCGATGTTTACACACCGCACCAGGTACTCATTTGAGGCTGAGTCGACCTAGGGGAGGCCCAGGACCGGGTCAGATAATCGTCACTGGGTGTTGGCCGTGAGTGGGAATCGAACCCGAGTCGCCGGGTTCATAGCGCAGCGTAGCGCTAACCGCTACACTACCGCTTCCCACGCAAACCCTTAGGGCAGCAGGGCCCTTCAGCTCCAGATTCTACCCCACACACACACAGATGTGCACATACAAGGATCATATTGTGATGACAAGCGGGGCTGCAATGGTTGGGGTCAAGCGGTCAGAGCTAACGGTCAGGGGGTCACCAGGTCGTGAGGTTACCAGGTCGCGGGGTCACAGTTGCTGGGTCGTACCTTGCACTGCTCGGCCTCTGTGCGCAGGACCTCCGTGGAGGCCGATCCCTCGCGCAGGAAGTTGCCCAGCGTGTCCTTCTCCAGGCACATATCCCGGATGGCGCGCGCCGTCTTCCCTGTCTCCTTGCGCGAGTGGACAAACACCAGCACCTGCGGGGAGACGCGCGCACAGGGAGATGACACATGGGGGGGCACCGCAGGGTGACACGGGGACACATGCGAGGAAACACGTACGGGGACGAGCGGGACACAGTGGCACACTCATGGGAAGACACGGGGAAGTGCGGCGTCACACAGGCACTCGCTCAAGAAACATAGTCGTGTCGCGTGGTGTGCGCGTGGTGTATTGTGGTATGGTCCCAGTATTCTGGTGTCAATATGGTTTGCGAGTAGCGGCCTGAGAGTGGGCGATGCGTCACCTGGTCCTTGCCCACTGGCTCCAGCACCTGAGTGAGTGTGTGTGAGCAAGCCAGCAAGCGAGCGTGCGAGTAGGAGATGCGTCACCTGGTTCTTGCCCGCGTGCTCCAGCACCTTCTCGTACACGATCTCGTTCATGATTTGGAACCGTTTCATCGCCTTCTTCTCTGTCACCCCCACGTACTGCTGCTCCAGAGGCACGGGCCGGAAACTACAAAGACAGAGATCCCCGGTATACCCTTCAAGACTCTGTTGGGGCACGTGCCGTTGGCGAGCAGCACCTACGGAGGTCGGCACATGCCTAAATAATCCTGCGCTGTGTATTCGCGCAATGCATTAGCCATGTGGGGAGAATTAGTTTGTCATCCTTACCCCACACCTCCAATAAGCATGTTTGTTTGGCTGAGTACTGTGCGAAAGGTTAACATACATACATCAGGCTATGTCAGAGAAGACCTGCGGTTCCTGTAACAATAGCCCTTTAAGGTCCCATCAGCAGACATAATATCAGCCATCAGGAGCCATCAGGAACTGTCAGATTCCATCGGTCCAATCAGGAGCTGTTAAGATGCTGCCAGGGTCTATCAGATCCCTTCATGAGCCGTCAGGACCTATCAGCCTCCATCAAGCACCATCAGGTCCCATTGGATTCCATTAGGTCCCACCAGGTCCCGTCTGGTCCCACCTGGTCCCACCAGGTCTCACCTGGTATGCAGTCGGTCGTGGGTTTAATCCTGACCCTAATTCTTGCTGTATATTTGAAGTTTGCGCGTTCTCTCCGTGGTCATGTGGATTTTTCTGCGGGTCCTCCGGTTTTTCCCTCCACATTAGAATCAACATGCGTTGAGAATATTTGGCTGCGATAAACGCCCACACGATAAGCCACTTCGTTGAGCTATGATTTGTGATAACCAGGTGACTTCTCAAAAATAGCTACGTAGCTCACCAGGCTTTACCACCTGGTAAAATAAAAAAAGAGTTTATTTTATAGTTTAGGTCCCACCAGGGCCCACAAGGGCCCACGGGGGAGCCGCGGGGACTCCGTGTTGGCAGGCCGCACCTGTTGTCGAAGAAGAAGAGGCCCTTGGCGGGGTCGACGCGCAGGAAGGCCGCCACGTCCTCATAGTTGGGCAGTGTGGCACTGAGGCCAACGAGGCGTGCGTCCTCCTGCGTCATCTCCACGCTGCGAATCGTGCGCGCCACCAGCGCCTCCAGCACAGGGCCACGCTCGTCGTGCAATAGGTGGATCTCATCCTGCAGAGTGGGGGCGAGCGAAAATATTATCGCGGCTACGGCGGCGGTGCACAGTGGCCGTGTACGAGATGGTGGTGATGGTGAAGATGATGATGGTGCACAGAGTGCAGGTGTATTAGATGGTGGTAGTGATGGTGTTTGTGATGATGGTGGTAGTGATGGTGGTGGTGATGATGCTTGTGGCGGTGATGCTTGTGGTGGTGATGTTGGTAGTGGTGATGATAGTGGTGGTGGTAATGGTAGTGATGCCGGTGGTATAGATAATCGAGATCACATAATGATGATGGCAGTGATGGTGTAGATAGCGTAGTGGCGCGAGTGGTTGAAATTACGAATATGGTGAGGTGGACGTGGTGTAGGGGGTTATGCAGCACAGTGTGTGGTGGTCTTAGGATGGGAGCTCCTGCAGTAGCGGCGATGGTGACCGATCACACGAGCTGGATGCAGGGCCTCCCCAGGCCTCGTGGGTGACATGGGGCCGTGAGCGATGGACACACTCACGATGATGACGAGGCGCACGAGCTGCGTGTAGGGCCGCTCGCCGCCCTTGCGGGTGATGATGTCCCACTTCTCGGGAGTGCACACAATGATCTGCGTGGCGTTGATCTCCTCCTTGCACAGCTGATGATCTCCGGTCAACTCCGCCACCTTCAGTCCATAGCTTGACAGGCGCTGGGGGAGGGTGCATGGGGGGGGGGGAAGAGTGAGAGGAAGGCAACTGCCTCCAACTGCCCAGTAGCGTCCTTCACAAGCCTCCTACACAAGAGGCCGATCTCGACACCCGCTGTTCCTGGTCATCGGCAAGTCCACTCAGTTTCACATCCTCCTGTACCGCCGCATTAGCCCATCTCGTCTCCAGCCCGTGCCATGCCCATTTAGCCCCCTCTATCCAGCCTAACGGCAGCTGTCTGGGCACGCACACATGCATGCACGCACTCACCTTGGAGAAGCTGCCGACGATTTCCTGCACGAGCGAGCGCATAGGCGCGATGTAGATGATCTTGAAGTCGTCCGTGTTAATGGTACCGTCCATGTTGATGTGCTTGCCGATCTCGCGCAGCATGCACAGCAGCGCCACGTTCGTTTTGCCGGCGCCCTGCACGGACACAAGCAGCACAATGCGAGACACACAGGTCAACCCACCACACAGGCTTCCACAGGCTGTTCGGGCAAGCGCTGCTATCTCTGTGTCCCCGTGTCACTGTATCTCCATGTGTCCCCCATGTCTCTGTATCCCCATGTCTGTGTCTTCTGTGTCCCCGTGCCCCCCGAGTCCGCCCCCCGCGCCACCCTCACCGTGGGCGCGCACAGCAGTAGGTTCTGGTCTGACTCCAGGGCGGCGCGGTGAAGTTTGCTCTGGATGCGGTTCAGGGTCTTGATGCCCTCGAACGCCGCCTGCGCATACTTGGGCAGCTTCTCCACAGGCAGCAGTTGCTGCAGCACGACACGGATAACATCACACAGAGGTCCCCCGTGTAGCCCACGCAACCCGCTGGGGAAAGGGCCATCAGCGAGTACCTATCAAGGCTGGACAGAGCACATATGAGAGGCTGGTTGGACCCGTACCATGCCCGGCCACGTGCGTCTCCCCCCTGCTGATGTTTACACACCGTGTCAGGTACTAATTTAAGGATGTAGTCGGCCTAACGGAGGACCAGAAACGGTTTAGATATTTAATGGTTTTGACACCGAGTGAGACTCGAACTCAGGTTGCTGGAGTTGTCGCGTGACGTGCTAACCTATTCACTACAACTCCCCCTACACACACACTCTCTCCCACACTCGTGTCTGTGTGAGTGAGGAGGTGGCAGAGGTGCCACCCAGCTAGACAATCACAGAAGACAAAGATCCCCCGTGTAGCCTTAATATACTTTTGGGGCAAGTGCTGTTAGCAAGCACCTATGAAAGCTGACACGGCGCAGGAGGGGGGGGTGGCCAACATCATGCGCAGCCAACCTTGTCTCCCTACCGGCGATTTTTACACACCGCACCAGGTACTCATTTGAGGCCATGTCGACCGAGGGGAGGTTTAGATAACCATCACTGGTGTTGGCTGTGGGCAGGAATCCAACTCGGTCCACCGCACTCTAACACGCTGCGCTTACTCGTCAATCACACACTCCCCCACACACAAACTGCCCCCCACAATCACTCCCACACTCTCGTGTCTGTGAGAGGGTGCGTGCGAGTGAGGAGGTGGAGAGTGGTGCTGCCCACCTCGTCGGGTCCGAACGGCTTGGGCTTGAGTGCTGGCACATGCACCTCCTCACAGCCACGCCGCTGCTTGCGGAAGGAGCCGTCGGGCAGCTGACAGCGCTTGTTGGCCATGAAGTGGCTGCCCTGGGCGAAGGTAAGCGACTCCAGGTCGAGCGACTGGCGCGGCGTCTGGGTCTGCACACGCGGCACAGAGCACGATCACCACTGCGACGCTCACCATCAACGCCACCGCAACACTCACCACCACAACACTCTCCACCACCGCGCTCAACACCACCACTGCACCCACCACCACCACCGCTCACCGATGTCTCCAGCCCTATGTTGAGGCGCGACTGCCTCCGTCTCTCTCGGCGTGTCTTCGCGCATAAAAAACTATTTTTAGTTTACCAGCTTTAAAGCTCTTTTTCAGAAGCGACTTGGGCACAAACGATAGCTCAACGAAGTGGCTTATCGTGTGGACATTGAAATCAGTCAAATACTCTAAATGCATGTTTCTAAATGTGGAGAGAAAAACCACTGTACTTGGAGAAAATACACGTGACCACGGGGAGAACATGCAAACTCCAACCGACCTCCTACAGTGAGGGAAAAAAGTATTTGATCCCCTGCTGATTTTGTACGTTTGCGCACTGACAAAGAAATGATCAGTCTATAATTTTAATGGTAGGTTTATTTGAACAGTGAGAGACAGAATAACAACAAAAAAATCCAGAAAAACACATGTCGAAAATGTTATAAATTGATTTGCATTTTAATGAGGGAAATAAGTATTTGACCCCCTCTCAATCAGAAAGATTTCTGGCTCCCAGGTGCCTATTATACAGGTAACGAGCTGAGATTAGGAGCACACTCTTAAAGGGAGTGCTCCTAATCTCAGCTTGTTACCTGTATAAAAGACACCTGTCCACAGAAGCAATCAATCAGATTCCAAACTCTCCACCATGGCCAAGACTAAAGAGCTCTCCAAGGATGTCAGGGACAAGATTGTAGACCTGGAATGGGCTACAAGACCATTGCCAAGCAGCTTGGTGAGAAGGTGACAACAGTTGGTGCGATTATTCGCAAATGGAAGAAACACAAAAGAACTGTTAATCTCCCTCGGCCTGGGGCTCCATGCAAGATCTCACCTCGTGGAGTTGCAATGATCATGAGAACGGTGAGGAATCAGCCCAAAACTACACGGGAGGATCTTGTCAATGATCTCAAGGCAGCTGGGACCATAGTCACCAAGAAAACAATTGGTAACACACAACGCCGTGAAAGACTGAAATCCTGCAGCGCCCGCAAGGTCCCCCTGCTCAAGAAAGCACATATACATGCCCGTCTGAAGTTTGCCAATTAACATCTGAATGATTCAGATGACAACTGGGTGAAAGTGTTGTGGTCAGATGGGACCAAAATGGAGCTCTTTGGCATCAACTCAACTCGCCGTGTTTGAAGGAGGAGGAATGCTGCCTATAACCCCAAGAACACCATCCCCACCGTCAAACATGGAGGTGGAAACATTATGCTTTGAGGGTGTTTTTCTAAGGGGACAGGACAACTTCACCGCATCAAAGGGACGATGGACGGGGCCATGTACCGTCAAATCTTTGGTGAGAACCTCCTTCCCTCAGCCAGGGCATTGAAAATGGGTCGTGGATGGGTATTCCAGCATGACAATGACCCAAAACACACGGCCAAGGCAACAAAGGAGTGGCTCAAGAAGAGCACATTAAGGTCCTGGAGTGGCCTAGCCAGTCTCCAGACCTTAATCCCATAGAAAATCTGTGGAGGGAGCTGAAGGCTCGAGTTGCCAAACGTCAGCCTCGAAACCTTAATGACTTGGAGAAGATCTGCAAAGAGGAGTGGGACAAAATCCCTCCTGAGATGTGTGCAAACCTGGTGGCCAACTACAAGAAACGTCTGACCTCTGTGATTGCCAACAAGGGTTTTGCTACCAAGTACTAAGTCATGTTTTGCAGAGGGGTCAAATACTTATATCCCTCATTAAAATGCAAATCAATTTATAACATTTTTGACATGCGTTTTTCTGGATTTTGTTGTTGTTATTCTGTCTCTCACTGTTCAAATAAATCTACCATTAAAATTATAGACTGATCATTTCTTTGTCAGTGGGCAAACGTACAAAATCAGCAGGGGATCAAATACTTTTTGCCTCACTGTATATACCAGGCAAGGTAGTTAACATCTCGCCACCGTGCCCCCATGTCTCCGCGTATCTCTCTCCTCAAGAGTCACGCTCCATCTTCGTTGGGCTAAGCCCCATGTCCCCGCATGTCCTCGCGTGCCCTCGCGTATCTCTCACCTCCGAGTCGTGCTCCATCTCCGTCGTGCCCAGCCCTGTGTCCAGACGTGACTGCCTCTGTCTCTCCCGGCGCGTCCGCTCCTCGCGCACGAGGTCGGCCTTGTCAGTCTCATGCAGCGCGGCCAGGATAGCACTCAGCTCCGAGTCAGACTCCATCTTCCCGATGATCTCCTCCTTCTGCTGCTCGCTCTGAGCGCTCGCCAGCAGCGTGCAGTACAGCACTGCAGAGACGGCGCCATCACGACCATTGTCATCACCATCATCACGACCATCATTATCATCGTAATCGCTAACGTTGCTCTTAGAACTCACGAGTAACATGTAGTACAGCACACTAGTGAAACATTATCAACAACTAAAATACCAATATCACCAAACAACCACACACGGTTAACCACCATGGAGCAGGGCACTGTGGTTACGCACCCATCATGCGGTGCTGCCTCAGCGTGCGGATGAAGTCGAAGGTGTTGAACCCGAGCAGTAGAACCAGCTGATTCTCACACTCGCGGTCGTCACTCGCCGTCTACGCGGGACACACACGGAACAAGCACGCATGCGCACGGGACACACAGGACACGCACGCACACACACAAACACACGGGACACGCACACATGCAAGCACGCACACAGGACACCCGCGCACGTGCAAACAACATGCACAGGTGAACACAAGATACGCACGAGATCGATACGCGACCAATTTTTAGACTGACACGTGACACACACGGGGATCAACAAGAGAGGGTGTAGGTGGTAAAGTGGCGAGCGAGCGAGTGCGCGAGTGAGCGAGCCGTTCGCACCTTGAGGATGTGGAGGACCTCATCGGCCTTGCGCTGCGAGGTTATGGCGTCGTCGTAGAAGGCCGACAGCTGCCGCTGCAGCCAAAAGGCGTCCACCTGGCGCGGGTGCAGCTCCTTCTTCTTGGCCGAGAGCATGTCTTCCGCTCCGCCGAGCTACAACCACAACAACAACCATAACCACCACACAATTAAACAGACGTGTCCTCCGCTCCACCCAGCGACAACCACCACACAACCACCACCACAGAAACTATCCAACAAGCACCATCAAACGAATGATCTGGTGATGGCGGTGGTGTTGGTGGTGGTGCACAAATGACAACACAACTCAGCGCTCTGCGTGCATGCACGTTGTTTAACTGTGTGCGCGTGGTCATAAAAACAAGGTACGTGATGGGCGATGGTTCGGGCAATGGCCCTTCATCATAGCACAACAACCACTATGGTGTGCGTGTCTGGTGTGGTACGACGCGGTATTTGGTATATAAAGCAGGTAGTGTATGGTGTGGCGTGGTATAACGTGGTGTGACAAGGTGCAGTGTGACGAGGTGCAGTGTGACCAGGTGCCGTGTGACGAGGTGTGGTGTGACGAGGTACGGTGCGAAAAGGTACGGGGTGACGAGGTACGGTGTGACGAGGTGCGGTGTGACGAGGTATGGTTGTGACATACATTGGCCGACAGCGTCGCCTCCTCAGCCGCCTCCACTCCCTCGCTGTCCTCATCAGAGGCCTCCTCACGCACTTCCCCATATACGTCCTCATCGCCACCCTACCCACAACCGCGACACAACCATGTCACAACTGTATCACAACCGCGTCACAACACCCAACCCACACCAGTGATGTGGAATAATGGTGTTGATGGTGGCAAAGCACACAGGACACGCCCACACGGGACACGTGGCGATATTAATGGTGATAACGACTGTTGGTGATGATGGTCATGATGATCATGGAAATTATGGTGGTAATGGTTTTAATGGTGCGAATTGTAGTGATGATGGTAATAGTGTTGATGGTGATAGTGGTGGTGATGGTGTTAATGGTGATCATGGTGGCGGTGATGACGGTAATGGTGTTATTGGTCAAAGTGGTGATGTTGGTGATGGTATTGACAAATGTCAGTGGTGGTGATCATGGTGCTAATGATGGTGGTGATAGTGGTGATGATGGTGATGGTGTTGATAGTGGTATTAGTGACAACAGTGATGTCGTCGACGATTATGTTGATGACGACGGTGATGATGGTGAGGATGGTGATAATAGCGAGGATGGTGATAATAGCGAGGATGGTAATAGTGGTCACTGCCGGCTCAGCTCCTACCTCCTCATCCGATTCAAACTGCACGTTGACTCCGTACGTCTCGTCAATGTTGTCGTCTGCACACGCAGACACAAAGGCAAAGGGTCCCCCCCCGAGGAGCCTTCACAGACTGTTGGGGCAAGTACTGTTAGCGTGAAGCACCTCTGAAGAGCGGGAACTGCCCACGAGAGAGGTGGGTGGCCAGCACCTCGCCTGGCCGCCTTTGCTGTTACACACCACACCACGTACAGGTATGCCTCAATTTACGAACGCTCGGTTTACAAAATTTCCGTGTGAATAAAATTTCACTACAGCCACACGCCGCGAGCTCATCAAACATGAAGCCACCCGGGAGGCTGTGGCATCCATCCACACTAGCGTTATGATGCCCCTGCAGTGGCATCGAGTGAAAAGGTTTTAAATCAATTATTATTCAATCGTTTTCATATTTGTTCTTTATTATTGTTTTTGCATTGTGAAAAGTGATATAGGTGTACATTTTTAGGTTAGGAGTAGAGTTATAATGGGAAAAGCCATTCCGAATGACTAAATTTCGTTTTACGTATTTTTTTGAAGAACGCATCCCTGTCGTAAATCGAGGGATACCTCTACTCATTTAAGGCCGGGTCGATCTAGCAAGGGCCCAGAACCGGTTCAGATATTTGTCACTTTCATGTTAGCCGTGGGTGGGAATTGAACTCGGGTCACTGGGTTCACAGTACAGTGTGCTCACCACTACGCCACCACTCCATACATAGAAACTCACATGCAACACACATAAACACGCTCAGGCATCAACACATGGAGACACACAGAAACAGGAACATACACAGACACACAGAGACACGTGAACAATGACAATGGCGGGCGTGACCAGGGTCGTGGCTGTGACCAGGGTCGTGGTCGTGGCCGTGGCTGTGACCAGGGTCGTGGCTGTGACCAGGGTCGTGGCCGTGACCAGGGTCGTGGCCGTGACCAGGGTCGTGGCCGTGACCAGGGTCGTGGCCGTGACTGTGACCAGGGTCGTGGTTGTGGCGGGTGCCGTGACGGTGCGGGTGAGCAGGTTACCCATGTTCTGTGTGTGTGTCTCCCCGCCGTAGTCAGAGATCTTTTTGCCCAGATTGACGAGGACGTGGTAGCGCGAGTCCTCCAAGGTCCCCAGCAGGCCCTCAATGTCGCGCCGCCGCTCCTTGTCGCGCAGCTTCTCGCTCTTCAGCACGGCGAGCACCTCGTCAGCAGCGCCGCACAGGATGTCGCGCGGCTACCGCATGTGCACAGCACCGTCACGGCACACACACAGCAAAGTCACGGCACAGGCACACACACAGCACCGTCACGGCACAGGCACACACACAGCTCCGTCACGGCACAGACACGCACAGCACCGTCACGGCACACACACACACAGCACCGTCACGGCACAGACACAGCACCGTCACGGCACACACACAGCACCGTCACGGCACACACACACACAGCACCGTCACGGCACACACACACAGCACCGTCACGGCACACACACAGCAACGTCACGGCACACACACAGCACCGTCACGGCACACACACAGCACCGTCACGGCACACACACAGCACCGTCACGGCGCACACACAGCACCGTCACGGCACACACACAGCACCGTCACGGCACACACACAGCACCGTCACGGCACACACACACACACAGCACTGTCACGGCACACACACAGCACAGTCACGGCACACACACAGCACCGTCACGGCACACACACAGCACCGTCACGGCACACACACAGCACCGTCACGGCACACACACACACAGCACCGTCACGGCACACACACAGCACAGTCACGGCACACACACAGCACCGTCACGGCACACACACAGCACAGTCACGGCACACATACAGCACCGTCACGGCACACACACACAGCACCGTCACGGCACACACACAGCACCGTCACGGCACAGGCACAGCACCGTCACGGCAAACACACAGCACCGTCACGGCACACACACAGCACCGTCACGGCACACACACAGCACCGTCATGGCACACACACAGCACCGTCATGGCACACACACAGCACCGTCACGGCACACACACAGCACCGTCACGGCACAGGCACACACACAGCACCATCACAGTACACACACAGCAACGTCACAGCACCGTCACGGCACACACACAGCACCGTCACGGCACACACACAGCACCATCACGCGTAAACAAACACGCTGACAGCACCGTCACGGCACAAACACACACACCCACCCACAGAAGCGTCACAGCACTGTCATGGCACACACACACACAGCACCGTCACGGCACAGGCACACACGCACAGCACCGTGTTGTGCGCACACATGGACGCGCACACGCATATGGATGTACCTGGTCCCCGAGCGCCGCCTGGATGAAGCTGAGCAGCACCTCGTAGGTGTCGCGCGTCTCCTTGGTGCGCGGTTTATACACGATGCCCACCATCTCGTCGATGCCATCTGACAGCAGCGTGTAGCCTCGCATCTTCTTCATGTCATGCCGGTCCTCGTCACGCTTACGTCGCCTACACGGCGGAGGAGAGGTGGCGAGGGCACGGGCGTCAAGAGGAGGAGGTCGTGAGAAGTGCGCAGCGGTGAGAGTAAAGATAATACGAGCAGGGAGATGGGATAAGAAGAGAAGAAAAGGAGTACACTTACCGAACGCACACCTCCCTGCTCAATACATCGATACCCCCCTCACTACGACCATAACCTCCACCTCTCACCACTACCTCACCCTTCCCACCACTTCACCCCCACCTCACGCCCTCTCATGACCACCTCACCACCAATACCTCACCCCCCTCCGCTCTTACCCCCCCCTCCGCCCCATCCACACCTCACCCACCCTTCCCCACCACCTAACCCCCCACGCTTCCCTCATCACCACCTCACCCCCCTTTCTTCCCACTACCTCACCCTCTCTCATTACCACCTCACCACCAACACCTCAAGACCCTCTCACCACCACCACCTCCCCCTGCCCCCCCTCACCCCCACCACCTCCCACACGTACTTGGCTCTGCGCTCCTCGAGCAGCACGGGCTTGGAGCGCATGGCACGGTCGCCCATGCGGGAGCCGGTGAGCTTGCCCACGAGGGAGAGCACCTCCCCGGTGGCCTCGTCGCGCCGTGTGCGGTCGATCAGCGAGCGGTCGGCTTGCAGCACCAGGTTCGAGTTCTGAGATCGTCGTCAGCACCGTCAGCACAGGGTGTGCACGCACAACACACTCGGCGTGTTGGCTCATCAACTTAACGCGGTTGCACTCTCACTTCACGCCTGACAACGCATTATTTGGTGGTGATGCTGCCGCTGCTGCTGCTACGTTGGGGGTGGTGCACAAGCACAATTAACAACGACACCTCAACACGTTCCGGGTCAGAATAACACCCTAGCCTTAAGAGGTACAAATATAAACAATAGGTCTGTGGTAATGTCCCAGGGGGTATACGAGGTGATTTATAAAAATGCGTGAAATTTTCATACATGGGGGGTCATTGGTGAATAATCAAATATGAATCTGCCAATATGAAATAACTACGATAAATTTGAATCCATATGGTAACCTAGAATGATATAAAAGACCTTTCTAAACTCATTGATCGTAAGCAATGTGGTTTCCAAGAGTAACCAGCGAGCGTGAACACATGATGTCACGCGTGCAGTTACTCGCTAGTAAGGATACCTCACAAAATAAGACTATTGGTTAAAATATTGACGTTCATTAGTCACACTTTTATTTATCGGAATCACGGTGGGTCAGCCAAGGGGGGTAATAGTAGTAGCCAAACAAGTTTGAGAACCACTGCAATAGGTGACGATCTGTGCAACGGGCCTTGTTCAGAGGCCAACTCCCCTGACTCGCTTCTGTGTGTGCTACGAAAAAGGAGCACAAAACGTCGCCTATGATATTCATGTTTTTTTGTCCCCCACTTTGCCGGCCACGCTGATCTTGACGGACTGTGGCAAGTGTTTTGTTAACACACTCGGCACGGCCCTTTGTGTATGGTGCTTTTTCAGGAATATTTTAGCTGTGTTTTTCCTGTATTTTCTGTGAGCACGGTCACATAGTCACTTTAAGATGTTTTCTTGTTCATGTTTTTGTTTGTTGCGGTTGCACCCGATTCAAGAGCCGAATGGCTCACAGGGCTATACCAAATAAATGAAACTGAGACTATTCGGCTGCTGTACATCTCAACACGATGGTGAGCCACTTCGTTGTGCTATCATTTGTGGCCAGGTCGCTTCTCAAAAAAGAACGAAGCGCTCAGTGGGCCTTACCTGGTAAAATAAAAGGCGTAGTTTGTTTATTTTTAGCGATTTGCTTACATTTCCTATACTTTTACACCCCCTCTCGTTTTTTATTGTTTGTTGATGTAACTTTCTTACACGCACCTACTGGACATTTGTGAAATCGTATTTCTCCAGGATAAATATTCTGATTCGCACTCCGTTTATCACACAGTATTCGCTCGCTTTTATCCACACGGAACATCCCAATGCCGTGTCAATGAACGCCTGCGAATGACTAAATTCGGATTTCACACAGCAGCGTGTGCAGCAACATCGCCAACCTACTGAAAAAGTTCTGCCAGGACCCTCGTGAAAGAGTCTTGCGTGAGACTGCTCTAAATAAATGCACGGTTACACAACACTGAGGTGTGCAGCACGATGCACGCGGCATGACGCTCGAACACGTGTGAGCACTGCATAGTTAACACAACGCTTAGCACGGCACTAAACACAATATCACACACCAACACAACAAATGGCAACATACGCATCCTCGAGAACGCGAATAAAACAAACCAATTCCCGGATTACAGGTGCAGAATCAACAAAGACAATTCGCCTTCCGTCTTCACAACTCTCTCATCCCTCCAGCCACGCGGTCTTGTGTGTGGTCTACTTATTTAGTGACATGTCCCTCCACAGCGACGGGTCCCCGAGGTTGTGTCCCTGCGTATCACTTACCGCTTTGTACTCATACTGGAGACTGCGGGCAGTAACGTCCGCCATGCCTCAGCTGGGACGGGAGACGAAGAGGAGAAACGGAGACTCTGGGAGACACGGGGGAGAGGCACTCGGGGGACTCGGTGAGACCCGCGGGGAGGCGGGGGGCTCAGTGGGGGACACTCCGGGGGAGTCACGCTCAGGGAAAGAGACTCCGAGAGGCTGAGGGGAGTCACGCTCAGTGGGAGAGACTCCGAGAGGCTGAGGGGAGTCACGCTCAGTGGGGGAGACTCCGGGGGACAGGCTGAAAGGAGTCACGCTCAGTGGGGGAGACTCAGGGGAGTCACGCTCAGTGGGGGAGACTCCGAGGGAGAGGCTGAGGGGAGTCACGCTCAGTGGGGGAGACTCCGAGAGGCTGAGGGCAGTCACGCTGGCTCCGGTCCGCGCTCATTCACGCGGGAGAGCTGCGACGACGCCAACACGATTTCAAGATGGCCGCCTCACGTGGTCCGCGCGCTCGCCTCCCATTGGCTGCGATTGCAAGTGGGCCTGCGCCTCGCGTCTTTCCGTGAGACTCTCACGAGTCGGCCACCACTGCGCAGCCACAATTACCATATTCCCCATCCAACATGGCGGCCAAAGGGTTCCAACACTCATCCAACATGGCGGCCCAAGGATCACCGACGCTCACCCAACATGGCTGCCCAAGGCTCACCGACACTCACCCAACATGGCGGCCCAAGGGTCACCGACACTCACCCAACATGGCGGCCCAATGGTCACCGACACTCACCCAACATGGCGGCCCAATGGTCACCGACAACTCACCCAATATGGCGGCCTACTCTGGTGATATTTTAGAACATGAATGTTGATATCGGGTGGCCGTGTCGGGTCGCCATGGCGACTTTACGTCAGTCTACCACTTGTCATGGAATGGTGCACACAGTATTGACTCGTCCTTATTGATTATACGCTGCTGTTACATTAGCAGTGGTGCACAGACAAATACAACTCAATACGGGCCCCATGGCGTGAACAAGTGAAGTCTCTGACCCGTATCCACTCTACCTCTCTGGCCTTTATGCGCGCCATAAAGGGGCATTGCACGGATAAGTCGCGTCCACAAAAACAAAGACTCCCCGTGTAGCCTTAACAGACTGTTGTGCCAAGTGCCGTCCACGAGCACCGATGAAGGACGGCACGGCACACCAGGGGGTGAGTGGCCAGCACCACGCCCGGCGATGTTTACACACCGCACCAGGTACTCATTTGAGGCTGAGTCGACCTAGGGGAGGCCCAGGTCCGGGCTTCAGCCCCCCCCACCGCCGCCGCCTCCCGTGCCGCGTTCCGCCTCCAGGCACCGCCAAGTCCCTCGCGGTGCCAAGCACCCCGGACACGCAGAGGGCGTAGTGAATTATCATTATTATTAAAGCCACAACAGGGTAAAAAAAAAAAATCCTGTATTTTTTTCCCCATCCTTTTTGATACTAGCAAAAAGGTATCCCGTACATGTAACTGATCCACCCCGAGCTATAAGTGTTGTGATACTTGCATTGTCTTTGTAATGTTGGTGTTCTCTGGCCTAATACTGGCGGAAAATCGGTGTCAAAGACAATGCATACATTATTCGAGCATGTTTGCATGTTTTGCCACAAGTTACGTGTGGTTAATGCAGACTTGATACCTTGCAAAAGGTATCTTCCTTGGTGTTGCACACAGCGTTGTAATACGGTGTTTTTTTATTTCTGGAAGATTTGCTGGTTTGTCCAGGATGTTTCTCTGTTCATATTTTTATTTGTTGCGGTTGCACCCGACTCAAGAGCCGCATGGCTCACAGGGCTATACCTAATACATGAAACTTAACACCTGTTTTATTGCTAGAAAGGCTAAAAAAACGATTTCTTAAATAACTTTTGATCCTTGCAAATAGTTCGCGTAGATACTCCACGATCAGCTTCAAGGGGTGGTGCGGCAATTGGTCATTCGATTTGTCTCGCACGGTCACATCCGAGAGGCTATGATCCGCCCTCCCTACACCACATCCCGATTCACCACAGCACTTTTAGTTACCCTAATTGTACCACTCATAACCTTGTAAAGCGCCTTGGATGAAAGCGCTATACAAATACAAAATAATCGCAGCCCATTCTTGCCTAATCACATCGTTAAGTATTTTCCATAAAAGTATACTTAAATAAGTGTTGGTGTTTTTACACACGAGGGACACAAAGGGGGTGGGTCAGGCCACCCACCCCCACGTGTGTTGTGCTGACCTTCATAAGTGCTCGCTAACAGCACTTGCCCCAATAGCCTAAGGCTATATGGGGGATCTTGCAAGTTCTTCACGTGAGGTTACATTATGTTTTATTACTTTATTTTTTTAAATGTGCATTTTTCACGTTAGAAAAGTTGTTCAAGAGTTGAACATTTGGGGGCTGAAAAACGTAGCTCAGCTTTCAACATGGGAGTGAGTCTGTGAAAACGACGACCTGTCTCGAGTTTTCGCTTCACCGACAGATTTTCGCGGAACGCTTCCTCGCTTTTGAAGCGAGACGACGCGCCCGGATTGCTCCTCCTGCGCAACGCCCCTCAATCACGGTCAGCACTCTCCTCCACACGCCGACGTCAATCCCTGCACCTCGATGACCCGGGGGTGACCCCGCGGTTGTTGTTGTTATTTGACTTGCATCCCACTAAAATTTTTGCACACAGCGTTGGTGTACGGTGCTATTTCTGGAATATTTTGATATTTTTTCCTGTATTTTCTGTTTGCACAGTCACATAATCACTTTAAGATGTTTTCTTGTTCATGTTTTTTGTTTGTTGCGATTGCACCCGATTCAAGAGCCGAATGGCTCACAGGGCTATACCAAATAAATGAACTATAAACTATGAACTATGAGGAGGCGTGCTCCGAGAGATTTGACAGTGATTGGCGGCTGGAGGTGAGGAGGCGTGGTCCGAGAGATTTGACAGTGATTGGCGGCTGGAGGTGAGGAGGCGTGATCCGAGAGATTTGAGTGATTGGTGGCTGGAGATGAGGAGGCGTGGTCCGATAGATCTGACAGTGATTGGTGGCTGGAGACGAGGAGGCGTGGTCTGAGAGATTTGACGGTGATTGGCGGCTGGAGGTGAGACGGGGATGAGGGTTGAACGGGAGAGAGGAACGTGAGGATATGCGGAGAGAGAGCGGTGGATGTAGGATGGAGCGCTGCGTGTGATGGAGCTGGAATAAACGGACTGGAACTCTGACCTGTCTCGGCGTATTGGTGGGGAGTTTCCGCTACACCTGTAATGTTTTAATTTTGTATTTCACTGGGAGACCTAGGGTGCGTTCAATCGGCACAGCACTCCAGAGCACTTTTCTAATGAATGACCCGTTATCATCTCAGAGCGCATCGTAACAGGAGCCACGCGGTCCGAGTCGCCTCCTCACTGAGGCGCCTGTCAGAATGTCACAGAAATGTAGCGGGTGTCTGTGTTCATTCATTTAGCACGCGTCAATCTTGGTTGGGTCCATCTTATAAGATATGCAACGGGTGTTGCTCGAGGTTCGTTTCTGCGGAATTAACATTCGTGGTTCTTCAAAACGGGTGTTGCACGTCTTCTCCGATGATACGGGAAGGTGCCTGGTTACGTGCGTATGTTGAACTTCTTTTGCACCGTACATAGCCAACCGTGGTGTTACGCTATTTATTTGGTATCTATCTGGTGTTTGAACATCTTAACACCCGTTTTATTGCCAGAAAGGGTAAAACCTTTTTGTCCATACTTTGATACTGGCCAAAAAAGTCCCATGATCTAGCTGCCAAACTCCAGCTATAAATGCTCCGATACATGCATCACCTTTATAATAATCGCCTTTTGGCGTTCTCTGGTCTATTACTGGTGGTGAGACAAGGCCACAGAGGTTGTGTATGGTGTAAGCTAATCCGTTTTAAAGCCAATCCGTTTTAAGGACAATACAGATATTATCGGAGCACGTCGTTTGCCACAAGTACGCGAAGATAATGCAAGCAAAAGGTGTCGATTTGGTGTTTGAATATTTGAACATTTTGCCAGAAAAGGTAAAACCTATTATTTTTGCACATGACGCTGTTGTGACTGATGCCGGTGTTCTGAATGGAGCTGTGCACTCGCAGATCAATTGAGGTTTGTTTCTGCGGAATGCACATCCGTGGCTCTTTACAAACGGCAGATGTCGTTGCTTATGAAGATTTTTTCACGGCTGATGGGTGGTAGGTCAGAACAAACGGCACCCCCGCCCCGCATCAAGTTGACTGGTCACACCGTTACTTCATGGCCACCGACAGAGGCGCGTCGACAGGCCCGGATTCCATGTGCACGCAGCTCCTTCCCCACGCTGCAGCAAATGACAGCCGGCACACCGCTCTCCGCTCAGGGGCTTCTGCAGCGCCTGGATGAGAACCGTATCGGCCGGCGACTGCCGTGCCGTCCGGTACCCCGGCTGCGACGCAGCAGTGCCCACTCTCGTCCCGTGTGGCAACCGCAGCAGCTAAAAAGACTGATTGATTCACCAGTACCAACCGCCGGGGAGTCCATAGGTGCCCCGGTAAACGGTCATTCCCGCAGTGCCTTGCACGAGCAGCGCCGGGCTGCTGCTCAACTCTCCGAGACGATGCGTGTTGAGGGCCGCCGTCGGCGCCTTCTTTGGCGGCGGTCAATGCCGGGTAAAACAAAAATGTTTGTTCATATTCTTAGTTCTTTCGGTAAAGTCACGTTGAAGGGAAAGAACTAAGAATATGAATTACTGCAGTCACGAAAGCTTTAAATCAAAAAATGTTTGTTGCCGTCTTGCCATGGCGGCGGTGTCACGAGCGGCTGCCACACACGCAGCGGACGTTTAGTCGCTCAAAGTAATCTCACTTCTTGCTGCACCAGCAGCGCCAAAATGAACAATTGGGCACTATGCAGAGGTATTGATTTAAATTATTACGAATTGTGTATACTTTATTGTGCACTATAATACAGTTTTTGAGTAAAAATCCATAAAGAATAAAACATCCGGTTTTCACTGCTTCCTACCTCTAGCTGTACTATAAAAAAATTGCAAATCTAACTTTTTTTTGCCTGCTACCCAGGTCTGTGGGTAGCAGGCTAGGGAAGTGACGTGTTAGTTCCCAATCCCTCTGCACCACGTTCCGTGACCCTTGGGCAATTGCTGAAGTTAAGAATAACTTACCTCCAGCAGACGGTGACATTTACGACACGGGGGGAGGTGGGGGATAAATAAATACACCACGCACCGCTCGCTGAACACCATCCACCACTCAATGCTCACCATACACCACTGAACCATTCACCACTCAGCACACACCCCTCATCATTCACCACGCACTACAACAACCGTAACCATGGCGCTTGTGCCAGACTCGTTGTTGTGAGCATCGACTGCCTCCAACTACCCAAACCTCCTCCACAGAGGACGATCTTGACACTGCTGGTACCAGTCATCGGCAAGTCCACTGAGCTCCACATCCTCTTGTACCAAATCACACCGTGCTGTGCCCGTTTAGCCCCCTCCGTCCAGCCGATGGGCATGGGGGCTACATGACCCAGCCACCGATGGGACATTGTCCAGATGTTTCAAGGATTTGTTAGCCCCTTACAAAATCCAGCCTGGTGAAACCCAGGATGGATCATAAGCAAGCCAGCCTTAATGTTTCCAACCGCCAAAGATGCTCGCAAGCATAAAGAGGGGAGGGCATGACCATGGCCGAGAAGACCCAAGCTTCGTGTGGAGCAACAGCCCAGGTAACTTCCACACAGCGTTACGCAGCCGATGAAAAGACAATGCCGATAAACTGATTCGGAGACCTCTGCTGTCAAAACGGAGTTGATCATAAGCACACTGCCCAGGTATGGACAACTCTCCACTCTCTCCACAACTGCCCCATCACCAATTTGGAGTTGTAGGGGTGGAGTGTCTGATGGTACAAAATACCCAGGTAGGTGCTTAGTTTTGGTGGGGCTGATGGTAAGGCCCCACATCTTAGTGGCACACTCCAGGTTCAGCAGCAGCGCCTCCAACTCCTCCGCTGAGTGAGCAGCAATCACCATATCATTAGCATATATAACATGGTTGGCCAATAGGGAGCCATCCCTTGACCGCACCCGGGCATCAATCAGCCGCCCATTGTATCTGTACTAAATGGAGATTTTTTTTTCGGTACAGCCATCGAAGGCTTAATGAACTACGTAGTCGAAAAAGATGTTAAATAATGTGGGAGCCAGAGGACATTCCTATCATATGCCCAAGTGAACAGGGAATGGCTCCAACTCCCAGCCATGTAGTTTTACCCGGGCCTTCCCCACCATCATGAAGGTCCTTAATGATTGTGAGCAGAGTCAGGGACTCCGAAAGCACGACGAACAACCCAGAGCCCAGGCCTATTGATGGTATATTAGGCCTTGACCAGGTCAATAAAGCAGAGATGTAGGTCCCTACACCTCTGCTGTAGCAGACAGATAAAAAACATGGCATCTGTGCAGGACCGCCCAGGCCTGAAAACACACTGAGGCTCTACAAACCTTTCCTCAACGTGCCTGTCAAGGCGATGTAAAATAATCCTTGCAAGGACCTTTCCCGGCACAGCAGTCTGCGCACCAACGCCACCCTCCCTCAGCAATTCGCTTGGGAGATCATCTCTGCCCAGCCTTCCAATCACTCCAGCCCAGGTGCCAGTATCATGACCCACTCGGGCATTAAAGTCACCCAACAGGATGAGGGGCCACTTAAGAAAGCACCTGTGACAGGTCATAGAAGGCATCCGACTCATCGGCCTTGCCTATATCCCTCCACTGATGTTCATCTTCGGTGGGGGCATAAGTAACCACCACCACTTCTCACCTCTGGTTGATGGAAAGGTGAGCCCACAGTAGCCTGGGGCATATAGCTTCCCGCACCCCACCGCCACACTCCACTCACCACACACCAGTCGCCACACTCCACTCACCATTCATGGCTCACCACTCACCATTCACCCCTCACCACACACCACTCAATATTCATCGCTCGCCACACACCACTGACCGATGACCATTCACCACTCACCGCTTGACCATATACCACTCTCCACACTCCACAGAGGGCTCACACACCACATTGTAGCTTGACCTCTCTCATCTGTGCTTCTTAATACAATTAGAAACGTACGGCACAGCGCGGTTATTACAGTGCAGCCCGGAGTTCATAAATAGAAAACAACTGAATCGCGGCACCGACGTGACTTGCACACAGTGACCCGGGCTGAGTTCCGTTTCACGGCAAGACAGGTGAGGAAATCAACCGGCGGGTCTTCTCCACGCGGCCATGGATGCCACGCATCCACCTTGTCCACCGCATCCACTGTGTGCACCGTGTCCACCGGCGTGTCCACCGGCGAGTCTCTTGTCACCGAGCGGTGCCAGCTTACCGCCCCCTGCGGAGGACAGCACGGCCAGCGTGGGCCGCCAACATCTCCTCCTCGGCCTTCCTCTTGCGCGTGAGCCTGCGCGGCGATATCTCACACTCCCCAAAGGGTTCCTCCCAGCCACGCTGCCTTCCACCACCGTGCTTTGTGGCTTTCTCAGCATCCCGTGCGGTTTTGGCGGCATCCCCCTGCTGCGTTTTGGTGCCGCCGCCGCCGCTGCCCCCCCCGCTCACCCCTCGGTCTACGCCCGACTTCCCGCAGCGTCGCACCAACCCCGCCCCTGGCGCCCCGTGCCGGACCGTCTCCGCCTCCTCGATGGCGCCATGGGCCCTCGTGCGAGCCATCCTCTCACCGCCTGGCGAAGCATTCCTCCCGGCGTGTCTCGTGGCCATCGCGGGCCCTGCCAACTTCACAGTTTGACGATCATCGTCGCCGCAAATGCCGCCACCAATGCCGCCCCTCGCTGCCGCAGGCACGGCCATCTCCGTGGCCTTTGCTGGCATCTCTCGGCGCTTAGGCGCCGCTGTCTCAGCGCCACGCAGTCCTTCCCGGGTGCCGGTGATGACGACGACCCCGGCATTCGCCGGTGCCCGACGCGTTCTTCTCATCTCGGTGGGCCCCACGGCGGCGACGTCGCCTCCACGGTTAGCGGCGACATCGCCGCCGCTGTCGCTGCCGGTTCCTCCTCGCGCCGCCGGCGCAGCCTGCGACACACGGAGCATAAGGTCAGGAAACTTGCATTAGGCTCAATGACAATATAATCACGCACTATTCGTGCTATAACGCCCCTTTAAAATCGTCACGGCACTGAGCGACTTCAATAATTGCCGTATTATTGCAAAGCTGATTGCATAGGACACAACAATTGTTTGGCTTTGTACGTGTCGGGTGATGGAAGATTATACACGGCAAAAGTTTAGCCAGATCATTAAGTGGCTTAACCCAAAATTCTATTACGAATGAATTTGGCTGTGTAAGACCTACTACGTGTCAAGTAAAGGCCTAGTAACATTGCAACACTTCAAACCCTGCCAGAAACATCACTTTTTAAATAACAATAGCGCGCTCACGACTGATGGAAACCGCGCCGAGCAACGCTAACCCCTCCCTGGGGCCGCACCTCCTCCTCCTCGTGATCGACTTTCCCCATCGTCGTTGTCGTCCGCAGTCGCCTCCTTGTTGAGTCCGCCCCCTCCTCCTGCTCCTCGTTCCCGTGGCGATGGCCTCCCCTCCTGGGGAGGCCCTTGCCCCTCATGTGCTGGTACTTGCGGAGGATTCGCGAACTCTCCTCCTCGCCCCTCCTCCTCCTCCTCCTCCTCGCTGCCGCCGCTGCCACCACCTCCACCGCCCTCCTCGTCGCTACCTCTGCCGTGGGGGGCGGTGCCACCTGACCCCCCCCTCTAGCCCGCACAGCTCCCCCCCCTGTCCCCACCACCGCCCCGGCCCGGCGCGTGGGCTCGTTGTCGGCGAACTTCTTGAGGTGTTTCCCGACGCGGTCGTCGGCGCTGTCACGGGTGCCAGCCGGGCGACGCCGGGGACTCCCCTGCCCCTCATCCCGTCGAGGCCTGCGCAGGGCCCGTGCCGATCCCTGTCGGCCCTGGTGGTAGCGCGCCGAGCCCCCTTTCACTCCCCGGTCCAGCCGGGTGGTCGCATTCTCGGAGCTGGTCCTGCTCAGCCTCACGTAGCTGCCGGTGCTGCCAGAACTGCTGCTGCTGCTGCCGCCGTCGCCACCAGCGGCGGTCGTTGTCGTGGTCGGCTCCAGGAACCAGCGGCGGACATCCGACACGCGAAGCGGCCGGCTGAAGAGGAGACGCACGGCGCCAGGGCCACGAGTTGACCAAACCACGCCGTCTACGCCGCACGAGCTACCGGCGCTGCTCACCGCGCTCATGCCCCCCGAGTCGCTCGCGCCGCACGCGGGGTCGTCGTCGTCATCATCGTCGCACGCGCCGTCGATGATCGCGCCGCACTCGCTCCCCACGCTCGCCTCGGCACCGTTCGCTTCGCATGCGCCGTTCACGCATGGCAGGCCGCTCGCCACTCCGTCCACCGCACCGCTCGCCGCTGCCCCCGTGTCACCATCGCCACACGCGCACACGCACGCGCCGGCGGCGTGGCTCGGTGGGGTGGCGGTGCCCGGCTCGTGCTCGGCCTCTGCGCCGGCGCCGTGGGCTCGACTGGCGGACGGCGGATGGGCCGGCGCCGTCCCCACAGCGACCCACCCAGCCGCCATGTTGTGGTAGCGCTCCGTGAGCGCCCGCAGGCGCCGTGCGCAATCGGCGGGAATCCAGCGGGCGAGCAGCGCCTCCACATCCTCCTCCTCATCGTCCTCATCGTAGTCGCCCAACTCGTCATAATCATCCTCAAACTCCCCCTCCTCCTCGTCAGAGCTAAAGTCACCGCGGGCGCCTGCGTCTTCGTCCGAGTCGTCGTTTGGCACTGGCGATGCCGGGGGAGAGGGGGGTCCTCCCACACCCCTCTTCACCGCCACGGTTTCCCCAACCCCCCCACCGGTTTCCGCGGAGTCGTGCCGTCGCCCCCGCGCCGCCCTGACGATGTCTGCATCCGGACGTGGCGCCGGCACGGCTGCCACTGTCTCCACCGAGTCGAGGAAATCGCGCCACACACGCCCGTTGCGCGTGTCGGCCATGGACAGCAGCTGAAGTTCGTTGCGCCGGCATTTCTTCCTCTTGTCGTGTGGCGACGCCGATTCCCGGCGCCGCTTGTGACTCCGCGTGCCGAGCACCGCCGCTTCGGCGCCGTCGCCCCTGCCGGATGCCCTGGTGAAGGCGATAGTGCCGGCCACCGCATTTACTTCATCCTCCTCCAACCACGACGACGGCGGTGATGGCGGCTGCGTCAGCTTCGGCACCATCACAGAGGGCCGCTGGGTAGCCTCTCCGCGCCACCGCGTCTCCGGCGCGGTCCGAGCGGTGTGCGGGGGCCGTCGCGGGGGGGAGCGGAGGAGGAGGTGGGGGGGGGGACAGGGGGGCGGGCGCCACCAGTGCGCGCTCGCGCAGGCGGCAGTGACGCGCGGCCGCCCACGATGGCGCCTCCTGCGCCGCCTCCGCCGTCTCCGGCCCCCGCCCTTCGACCCCCTCCTCCCCCCCCCGCGCCGTCACCATTCCAGGGGGGGTCACCCCCCCCTCACCCCCGCCCTCCTCCCCCTCCCCCCCCGCCGCCTCCCCCGCGTCCCCGGAAGTCTCCGAGTGTTGCCCGCTCACCGGGCACGGCGTGGCAGGAGCTGGCACCGTCATCGCCGGCGCCGTCACCGCTTGCGTCTCGCGGGCGGAGTGCACTCCCTCCTCCTCCCCCGCCCCCGCAGGGGATCCCCCGCACCCCCCTCCACCGCCAGCCTCCCCGCAGGCCCCTCCCTCTCCTGCGCCGACCCCCGGGGAAGAAGATGGCGCCGCCTCCGGCGTGGACGGTAGCGCCGCGTCTCCTCCCCTCCTCTCCTCCTCCTCCCTCTTCATTTCTGTCCCAGCTCTCACCAGCGGTGCCGACTCCTCGGTCTCCTCCTCCGCCACCAGCGCCGGAGATGCCGGTGGTATGGGGGAGCGGTTGGCGCCAGCGAGCAAGTCTGTGCTGGGCAAATGGGAAGGCTCGCCGGTCTCGGCCGTTGGCGTCAGGGATGCTGCTGCTGGTGGTGGTGGTGTCGGTGGAGCCACGCGGTCGAGGAGCGACAGGGAGACGCCATCACCGTCGGTCGCCGTGGGCTCGGCGGCTGGCATCGATGGACCGGCAACAACAGGGGCAGTGGCTAACCGTTCCGGCGGCGCCATCTGGCACGAGGAGGTGGGTGGAGCTAGAGCCGAGGGGGACGCCGCGATCTCGGCGCTGGCGCCAACAAGACCAGAGCCTCTTGCCGTCTTCCTGGCATTGGTGGCGGCGCCAGCGCCGGTACGAAGGCCACGCCAGCTTCTCATCCTCGCTCGGACCCCTCGCTCCACACGCGGTCGGGGTTGAGCGATGCGGGCACCATCCTCCACTCTCACCACGTTGTCCTCCGAGGGTCCCACTGGCACCGGCGGCACCACCGTCTTCAAGATCTCGCCACCACCGCCACCCCCCAGCTCGTTCTCCGATAGCGCTGAATGGCGCTCGCCAGTAGCAGGGAAGAGAGCGCTGGCGTCACAGCACGACGCTGAGAGCGTGCGCCGGTGGTGGTGACTGCTTGTACCCGTTCCGGCACCGGTGTTATTGGGGAGCGAGCGACTGTTATTGTCAGAGAGTGCGCGCCGGCGCCCGATATCAGGGACGCCGATGAGCGCCGCCCGCGCCACGCGCACTGTGTGCACCTCCCACGTGCCGCCAGCACCGCTCACGTGGCCCCGCGTGCTCTTGCGAGCCGAGCGCTTGCCATAGCACCGCACCGGCGACAGCGGCGGTGCCGGTAACGGCTTGGGCACTGGTGTAGCCACGGAGACGCCGGCGTCCGTAGGAGCTGCCGCGGTGGCGCCGTCATTGCCATCGCCGCCATCGTTCCCGGAGCCCGCTGCGTTCTCGACAGATTCGCCAGCACCGTCGCCATGGGGGTCGACGGGGCGGCTCACGTACACCACGTCACACTGCGCCGCCTCGCTCAGGCTCGGCCGCTCGTAGCCGCAGCGCCGGTGATGGTGGTGGTGGCGGCGCCGGTGCCGCTGCTGCTGCTGCTGGAGGAGGTGCGGCATCAAGGTAGTGGCGCGGGCGCAACCGGGAACCAACGATTTGCGGGCAGTGCCCGCGCTGCGGCCCAGCCCACCCGCCCGTGCCTCCGCCCCCGCCCCGGCCACCGTCACCGCCGCCTTCCTCCGCTTGCTCTTCTTCTTACGCTTCTTCGGCGAGTGCTTGCCAGGCGCTGTCGATCCCACCGCGCCATCCTCCGTCGTCGCCGGCCCCTCGACAACACTGGCCGCCGCCACCCCCTCCCTCTCTTCCGCCTCGTCGACGCCCGGGAAAGAGGAAGGCACCGGCAGTGGATCGACGGGCCGAGCCCCGGCCTCGCTGGCACCCCCCGCGTCCGACTGCTGCACTCGCAGAGGCTGCACCGCCTGCACCGGCAGCCACAGCGGCTGCCCCGGTGTTTGGAAGTGGATGGGCACAGCACCGCCTCCGTTCACGCTGAACAGCGCCGTGGCCCGGGCACCGGTATCCTCCTCGCAGAGCTGCACGGTGGCACTGCCATCACACGTGGGGCCGGCGAGGCCGGTGAGGCCAGAGGGGCCCCAGCTGAGCGCCGGGGCCATTACAAGGCCGGCAGTCGGCTCCCTCGAACTGCCGGCTACCGGTCCCGGCTCCTCGGCGGTGCCGATCGTTTGTCGAACGACGGCGGGACCACTACCAGCAGCGGCGATGGCGGTGCGGGAGTTGGTGGCGTAGCGGAGGAGGCCCAGCAGCAGCCGCTGGTGCTGGCAGCACAAGCGCGACAGGAAACCCTCGAGGGGGCCGCCCCCCACAACCGGCACCGGCAAAGAGCCAGGGTCCGGAACCGAGAGCGACATGGGTTTGGAGCCGAGATCCGGAGCCGCCGGCATGGTCCACACACTAGGGGCCCTGGGAGCGCAAGCGGGGAGGGGAGGGATGAGGGACGGTGAGAGTGTGTGGTGTGCGGTGCAGACGGTGTGTGCATGGTATGTGTAGTGTGTGTTTCTGTGTGTTTGTGTGTGGTGTGGTGTATTTACGTGTGGTGTGTATTTACGTGTGATGTGTGTTTACGTGTGGTGCGTGTTTACGTGTGGTGCGTGTTCATGTGTGGTGCGTGTTTACATGTGGTGTATTTACATGTGGTGTGTGTTTACGTGTGGTGTGTGTTTCCTTCACCTATGTGTTGATGATCTGCACGTCCGTCTGGAAAGATCCAGGGCCTCATCTGTTGGGTTGAAGTCAGAATTAGAGAACGTACGCACACAGACACACACACAAAGACAGATCTCCCCAGTAGCCGCTTCAGGCTGTTGAGGACGAGTGCTTTTTGCGAGTACCAAGACCGCCATGGCACAAGAGAGGGTGGGTGGCCAGCACCAAGCCCAGCCACCTTTGTCTCGCATACGCTGTTTACTACACACTGCACCAGATACTCATTTTAGGCTGAATGGAACTAGGGGGGGGCTCAGGACCGGTTCAGATATTCCTTACTGATGTTGGCTTGATCGGTAATCGAACTTGGGTTGCCGGGATTGTAGCGCAGTCCGCTAACCACTGCAACACCACTCCACAGACACAACACACCTGGGTTTAACCAGGCACCTTCAATTTAGCATGGTCGCTCATCCGATTAGCATGGTTGGCTACATACGGTGCGAAAGTAATTCAACATACATACGGTTCAACAGCCGCCATTCACCACTAAGTGGCAGTGACAATGCTTGTGCCAGTCTAGGTGCATGTTGAGGCTACGTAGTAGTAGTAGCATGAAAGACTTGCTGGCAGGAGCTCACAGGACAGACCTAGGTGCCATGAATTGACTCACTGGGATGACTGGCAGATACACAAACTGTGCTCCCCACTGTGCCACCCCGCTGCGTTTAGCTGTTCGGTGCTCTGCTCGTTGTTGGAGGGCGACTGCCTCCAACTGCCCAGTAGCGTCCTTCACAAGCCTCCTCCCCCACAAAGACTGATCTTGACACAGCTGGTATCAGTCATCCACAAGTCCAATCAGCTCCACATCCTCCTATATTACATCAGTCCATCTCTTCCCAAGCCCATGCCGCACCCATTTAGCCCCCTCTATCCGGCCAAACAGAAGCTGCTTGGGCATGCCAACGCAGCCTTGCCTGCCGGAGGAGCTCTGTGAGCTCCTCACACAGTCTGGTTAAACCCAGGATGGATCATAGGCAGGCCAGCCTGAATGTTTGGAACTGGTGCATATGTTATTTCAAAGGGATCCACATTTTGCAAACATAGAGAAGGGAGGGCATAACTGTGGCCGAGAAGACATGGAGTTTCGTAATTACAGATTCGGCCGCTTCCACACAGCATTACGCAACTCAACTGATTCAGAAACCTCCGCTGCCAAACCAGAGCTGGTCTTAAGCACACTGCCCAGGTAAGGAAACTTCTCCACTCTATCTACAATAGCCATCCCTTTACCACAATCAAGCATCGATCAGCCTCGCATTGTATCTGTACCAGATAGAAATTCCTCCAGTACAGCGATGGAAAGTGTCTCGAACTATGTTATCAAAAAATATGTTAAATTCGTGTCGAGGCCAGAAGACATCCCTGTCGCACCCCAAGGTGAACAGCGAATGGTTCCGACTGCTGGCCAAGCAGCTTTACCTGGGCTTGTCCATCATCGTGAAGCTCCTTAAAGATCGCCAGAAGAGGTTCAGGGAACTCAAAAGCAAGAAGATTAACCCATAGCCCTGGCTATTGATGGTAGCATAGGCCTTGACAATGTATATAAAGCAGAGTTGTAGTTCCTGCTGAAATTCCCTACACCTAGCAGACAGACAGAGAATATATGTCATTTGGGCAGGCCCACCCTGGTCTGAAACCACATTGGGGCTCTGCAAGCCTTTCCTCTGCATTCCTAGCAAGGCGATGTTGAATAATGCTGGTCAGGATTTTTCCCGACACACTGAGGAAGGATATGCCTCGATATCTTTTTACAATTAGGGCATTCTTCCAATGCTGCAAAACCGAACTTGGAGTCCAGTTGATTGTAATTATGGAATGTAGAACAGCATTTACACAAACACCACCCTCTCTCATCAGTTCGCTTGGGAGGGTCATCTCTGCCGAGTAATTTACCTACTCTTGGGCTCTGGATTGGTCTTCACACTTCCTCAGCAGGTGGCACGTCAGGCAGCCACTACCAAGGAGAAACTACTTCCTATATTTGAGGCACTGCTGCCCCACCCGGGTCATCCCCACCTTGAGGGGTTTTCCCTCCCCAAGGCCTCACAGAAATGCTCAGCAAACCTTCAGGCCTGTTTTTGCTGACCAAGACCAGGCTATTGAATGGGGTCCTAGATGGACACCCACCCTGCAGTGGAAGTATGGCAGGCTGACATTACAGATGACAAGCCGATGGTCAGTGGGCAGATCAGCTCCACGGTAGGTCCTGGTGTCATGAACATGTTGAATTTTTTTTTATTTAAAGCTTTCGTGACTGCAGGGATTCATATTCTTGGTTATTTCGGTAAAGTCACGTAGAAGGGAAACAATAAAATAATAAAACTATAAAACAATAAAATTATCACGTTTCGACTGCAACACAAGCAATCATCATCAGGCGTGAAAACCACAGCAAGAAAATTTTTAAAAAGTGGCGTTTTTTTTAAACGTTGGCACCACGGAGAGCGATTTGGCAGTTATTAAGATGGACGAGTCCATCTATGTTCGGAAAAGAGGAGGGGGGAGACGAAAATAATGGATGCGGTCTGAAAGCCACCGTAAGCGTGAACAATCAATTAAGACCCGAAATGGTTTATCAAATCCTTCCAATGATTGCTAAGCCAGAATCCATCTTCTCGGTTGAAATTGTCTCTGTGTTTGTATATGTGGATAGCCACTACGTGACTTTGCCGAAAGAACCAAGAATATGTATGTTGAACTTCTTTCGCACTGTACATAACCAACCGTGCTAATCGGAGGTGTTGCTTCATTACTTTATTCTAGAGATGCTCTTGCTTGGACATAGCGTACACCCATAATTTTGAGTGAATGCGCCAATGCCGATCGAACATTCCACGTGACCCAACCGCAGTGATTTCCTGCTGTTTCTGGGGAACCCTGAGGTGAGGGGGTACAGTCTTCTGACTGCAAAATGGGGTTTGTCCAGAAGACATCATAGACATCTGTCTCTCTCTTCTCTGGCACAAGCTTATTTTTTTCCATGATTTAACCTAAGGTGAAGGGATTAACAGCCCCTTGTGCACAAAGACAAATATCTCCCTATAGCCTGAAGAGTCTGTTGGGCCAAGTGCTGTTAAAGAGCACCTATGAAGGCTGGCACAGCACACGAAGGGGTGGGTGACCAACACCACTCCCGGCCGCCTTTGTCTCCCCAGTGAAAATTTTTACACAGGTACTCGTGGCCGAGTCGACTTAGAGAAGGCTCATGACCGGTTAAGATATTTGTCACTGGTGGTGGCCATGAGTGGGAATCGAACTCGGGTCGCCGGGCTCCTAGCGCAACATGCTAACCATTGCGCCACTGCTCCCCACACACACACATACTCAGAGACACTCACACCCACACACTCACCTGTCACCCTGTCCTGGGAGCTCATTGAAAGATCCAATGGAGCCTCCTGCTCCTCCATGTGCAGGGGTGGAGCCGGAGGAGGTGCCAGGAATGTGACATCACACGGGGGCGGGGCCATGTGTGTGATATTACACGAAGTCAGGTACAGGGGCGGACCTTGTGGAGGGATGTCACACCCGGCCAGACCAATCATGTCGGCCGGGTCTGGGTAAGGGGGCGGGGCAAGGTAAGGGGGTGGTGCCGGGGATTCGGCCTCCAGGTCCTGAAGGGGCACCCCCTGCTGTGAGGAGAGGGGCACCTCCCGCTGTGAAGTCATCGAAGTGATGAGCTCTGGCTCCATTGGCCTGCAGAGAACAGAGTCCACCATTACTCGCCAACACTCGCCAAAAGATTCTAACACTCACCATTACTTTAAAAATCAGTTGCCTTCTGCTGTTTGGATTTCCTGCAGCGCAACGTCAATCTTTCCTTGATGTCAACATTTGGCGGGCACGTCGCACTATGCATGCGAGAGGCCTTCCACGTTGAGTTGATACACTCGGACTGGAGGTCCTACTCGGATGGGATTTACACTCTTCTTTGAAATCGTATATATGAACGTTTTTCAAAAAGGCTGAAGCGATGATATTAGTCGTGCAATGAGACACTTAAGTGGTGGGCCGCATGAAGGCTACCATTCCTCCCCCCTAACACTTGTAAAAACTCACCAATGCTTATCATTACTCACTAAAGCTCACTATTACTCACCACTTTACCATCAATCAGCATGATTCATTAACACTCCCAGAAACACACACACAAAACTCCTCACCAACGTTTAACACTATTATCAATAATAATCTTTATTCATCCTGGAGAAACCTATTAAGTTATTCATCTCTTTTTCACAGATGTCCAAAAGGTGGGTCAGAAAGTTACACTCGCCATCTCTGATAACTCATCACTGCTCGTCACGTATCCCGGGCACCCATCTCACTCACCAATGTTTCCCTGCAACTCCGATTAGCATGGTTAGCTACGTACGGTAAGAAAGAAGTTCAACATACAAACATAAAATGCATGCCACTACAACAGGACTTCGATAATCTTCACCTTAATTTTCTAAAGCTGGTCCTCAACGGTAAAAAACTCCAACGTTGTTATTCTCCAGGTGCCCCAAACTTGTCTCATCACCTATGTACATTGTGGCTCTGGACTCGAACCTTGTTGAGCAGGCCGACAACTTAAAATCTGTAGGCATTATCCTGGACTTAAAACTGTCTTCAAGACCCATATCGACCACATGGCCAACAAAAAAAAGTTGAATTCCTATACAGAAACAAACGCTGTATTCCACCTCGTCTCCGTTTCAATATAGTTAAAGCCCATATTTGACGACTGTGACACCATCTCCCGCCTATCTTACAAATGTACATTAAAAGGTCTCATACCATTAAACCACTCCACTCTCCGTTTTTCCATTGACGCCCCCTCCCCCCCCCCCATAAAACTCGTCAGTGCAACCTGTACATTAACTCAAATCTGTCCCCCCCCCTGAACATCCGCAGAGCTGTCTTCATCCTAAAGGACCACTTCGTTCCTCTAACTCCCTCCCATAGCCTCAGATGTGCCTCCTTATTACTACTAAACATTCCATTCACTAAAACTTTGTTTGGTAAAAAGAAAAAGTTGTGTATTGATGCTACACGCTTCGGGAATACTCTTGCCGCTAATCTAAAGCCTGGTTGCCTCTCTTCACTTACCCTCTTTATTTTTTATATTAAACCAAAACACAACATAATTGCAAATATACCTAACTTATTTCTGGCGCCTCTTGCTCCTAAGTTTGCATCATCTCTTTCAATTGGCGTGTGCTTATATTTCGGTTAAGACTCAAATATAGACGTTACTCTCGCAAGTGTACCTAACTTTCTCTGACGCCTCATTACATTTACAGGTTTTTTTATTCAGGTGTTAATATACGACCGTTAAATATTCATTTGTAAGTTGTGCAATAATCTTTAAGGACACTGTACTCATTCTCTGCACAATTGGTGTATTACTCTTTATTGTGTGTGCTCATGCACCACGGATCTCCCTTGTAAAATATCTAGAAAAATGGATAAGCAGGATCATCCATGTAACAAATAAAATAAACTCAACTCAAACAAAATCCTGAATCCAAGACCCTTAACCCAGGAAGCTGAACCCAGGACCCTAAACCCATAGCCCTAAACATAGAGCCCTAAACCTAGAACCGTATACCCAGAGCCTTAAACCCAAGACCTAAAACCCAGGACCATAACACCAGGATCCTAAACCCAAGATCCTAACCCAAGACCATAAACCCAGCTCCTAAAACCTACGACTAGAAGTCCAGCACCGTAAAATCAGGACCATGAACCATAAACTCAGGACCTTAAACTCTAAAGCCCTCAACCCAAGAGCCTAAATTCAGAATTCTAAATCCTTTGACCACAAGTCCAGGACCCTATACCCTCATCACTAAACTCAAGACCCTAAAACAAGGACCATAAACACCAACCACTGGAACAATCATACATCACACAAAGCACATAAACACGACGATACACAACCTCTTCAACCACAACCGTAAACAAATGTTCAATGACAAGCACGACATGTGCACAAAGCAGAATCATAAACCACTAAAACCACAACCAGACATCATAAAAAGTGTACCAACACCTTCTACACACACAAATACAACCGCTCAAACACAACTACACACACCCACATCACCAACCACAACGACAAACACGGATACCGTAGTTTTCCTTCCACGCAGCAGCCGTGTCAGAGTGATGGCGGGCGGACTTATAGTTGCTCAGTATAATTTGTCATGATTGCGGAAATTGACTCAACACCATAAACGGGACCCTAAGCCCAGAATCCTAAACCCAGGAACCTAAACCGAAGCCCCTGAACCGAGGACCCTAAACACAGAACCCTAAACCCAGAAAGCGAAACACGGATCCCTAAATCTAGGCCCCTATACTCAGGTTGCTAAACCCAGGCCCATAAACCCAGGACCATGAACTCATGTTTCTCAACACGAACGTAAACCCTGAATACTTAACCCCGGGTTCCTAAGCCCCAGAACCCTAACAAAATCAGGTGTATTTTTAAGTGAAGCCCACTGAGCTAAGAAGCTATTTTTGAAGGCAGGCTCGACCGGCAGACATCAAAGCATTCCACAATTACAGATACAAAAAAACACACTTAATAATAGCAATTATGTTGTAAAACTGCATTCACACTGAAACCCAGGCTCTAATCCAGAACCCTAAACTCACGACCAGAAACCCAGGCCTCTAATCCCGTTAACTTGGGTCTCTAACCTCAGGTTGTCAAGTGCAGGACTAAATTTGAAGTTTTCGTGACTGCAGGGATCCATACTCTTTGGTTCTTTCGGTAAAGTCACGTGCTTTTATTTATTGTATACCTACGTGACTTTACCGAAAGAATCAAAGCGTATAAATGCAGGACTCTCATAAATCCAGGTCCATGAACACGGGTTCAGGAATATAAATGCACTTCCCAAGTCTCTACACCCAAGTTCATAACCGCGCCGACTCGGATCCCTAAACCCCGGTCCAAGGTTCCTAAACCCGAGACCTCGGCCGCTAAACCCGAGACCTCGGCCACTAAACCAGGGACATGGGCCCCGAAACCCGGGACCGAGAGCCCTGGGCCCTTAAACCCAGAGACATGGGACCCTAAACCCCGAGACCTGGGACCCTGAAACCTGGGCCCCTAAACCCGGGCCCCGAGAGCTGCGCCCCTAAACCCGGGATTCTGAGACCATGGCCCCTAAACCTGGGACCCCGAGACCTGGACCTCTAAACCCGGGACCCCGAGACCTGGACCTCTAAACCTGGGACCCCGAGACCTGGACCTCTAAACCCGGGACCCCGAGACCTGGACCTCTAAACCTGGGACCCCGAGACCTAGACCTCTAAACCTGGGACCCCGAGACCTGGAACTCTAAACCTGGGACCCCGAGACCTGGACCTCTAAACCCGGGACCCCGAGACCTGGACCTCTAAACCTGGGACCCCGAGACCTGGACCTCTAAACCCGGGACCCCGAGACCTGGACCTCTAAACCCAGGACCCCGAGACCTGGAACTCTAAACCTGGGACCCCGAGACCTGGAACTCTAAACCTGGGACCCCGAGACCTGGAACTCTAAACCTGGGACCCCGAGACCTGGACCTCTAAACCTGGGACCCCGAGACCTGGAACTCTAAACCTGGGACCCCGAGACCTGGACCTCTAAACCTGGGACCCCGAGACCTGGAACTCTAAACCTGGGACCCCGAGACCTGGACCTCTAAACCTGGGACCCCGAGACCTGGAACTCTAAACCTGAGACCCCGAGACCTGGACCTCTAAACCTGGGACCCCGAGACCTGGACCTCTAAACCTGGGACCCCGAGTCCTGGAACTCTAAACCTGGGACCCCGAGACCTGGACCTCTAAACCCGGGACCCCGAGACCTGGACCTCTAAATTCAGGACCCCGAGCCCGGGACCTCTAAACCTGGGACCCCGAGACCTGGACCTCTAAACCCGGGACCCCGAGACCTGGACCTCTAAATTCAGGACCCCGAGCCCGGGACCTCTAAACCTGGGACCCCGAGACCTGGAACTCTAAACCTGGGACCCCGAGACCTGGACCTCTAAACCCGGGACCCCGAGACCTGGACCTCTAAATTCAGGACCCCGAGCCCGGGACCTCTAAACCTGGGACCCCGAGACCTGGAACTCTAAACCTGGGACCCCGAGACCTGGACCTCTAAACCTGGGACCCCGAGACCTGGACCTCTAAACCTGGGACCCCGAGACCTGGACCTCTAAACCCGGGACCACGAGACCTCGACCTCTAAATTCAGGACCCCGAGCCCGGGACCTCTAAACCTGGGACCCCGAGACCTGGAACTCTAAATTCAGGACCCCGAGCCCGGGACCCCGAGACCTGGGCCCCTAAACCCGGGCCCCCTAACCCTGGGTCTATCCCCGCGCTATAATTCGCAGTCCACTTCAGCTGCTCTCAGCGCGTGCCACCGCCAGCTTGCCTCCCATTGGCTGCTGGGCGACCGCCGCGAGCGCCTCGTCCAATGGGAGTCGCCGCCGCGCGCATCCGCGCTACGGGATCCAAAGCAGCGGCCGTGGGGCCCAGGACGCGCGGGGCTCGCGGGACCGAGTGCCGCGGGCCCTGGGAGCCCGACCCCCTCGCCGCGACCCTCTCGCAGCGTCCCCCTCTCCGGCCCGGGTCCCACTCGCTCACTCTCCCCGCGACGCGCGCCTCCGCTCCGCCCGCCATCAGCCTCACCAGCGTCACGGTCTCCTCCGCCTGCAGCTCGGGGCAGGCCGCCCGAGTGACGTCACGACGCAGTACGCGGTGATGTCATGCCACGTTGGATTTACGTGGTGGCGTCACGCCACGGGCGTGCCAATGTGATAACGTTACTCACGTCCGATGTTGCGCGGTGACGTAACTTCACGCGCGGACCTAACAAGTGACATCATTTTACGCCTGTGTGGTGACGTCACTCACAGACTGGACTTACGTGCGGTTTATAGGTCGGGACTGGTTTCGACATTCAGTGTCTCATCAGTAGCAGAGCCAAGCTCGCTCGACCCAATGCAGGTGAATTGGCAGATGTTGACAGGCAGCGACTTGTTTCAACATTCAGTATCTCATCATGAGCAGAGTCAGGCTCACTTGAACCAATGCAGGTGAGCTGCCCAGACGTTTATAGGCAGGGACTGGTCTCAGCAGCAGCACGTCGGGCTTTGCTTGAACCAATGCTCATGAACTGCCCATTATTGAACAAAGGCCCCTCTATTGTCGTTTGCCAGTTCGCCTTTGAACGTCGCTGAAACTCGAAGCGACCACTTAAGGCGGCAGCTTCGAGCGCCGTAACCACGTCAATCTGAACAATTTAAAACGTGTTTTTAATTGAAACCAAGTGAGGCCCCATTCACCTGCTATATTCGCTCTTTTTCAGAAGCTACTTGACCACAAATGACAGCTCAACGAAGTGGCGCACCACGTGGACATTTGTGGCAGCCAAATACACTCTGAACGCGTGATGTTGATTCTAAATGTGGAAAGGAAAACCGGGGGACCCGGAGGGAAAAAAACGAGCACGGGGAAAGCGAGACACTTAAACTCCAAATATACAGCAGCAGGCGTCAGGGTCGAGATCAAACCCGCGCACTTCTGCATACCAGGCGAGGCAGTTAACATTTCGCCACCGTGACGCCAGGATCAGTCGGCTTTTATTGTCCAAAAGAGGGTTGTTTTGGGTTAGATCGCGAAAATATGAATGTCGTTAAACCCACCACCACCACCCGAAACAGCCAACTAGTAAAGTTTTTCACGGAAACAAAACGTGGAAATTAGTCACGAGTTCAGCACACCGGTTATGTGTTGGAGAGTAAATTCACTACAACATTTACAGAGTACAGTACCCTGACGTTTCGCTGGTAATTACAAACAGCATCATCAGGAGATAGCCAGAGTTGTGGAGAAATCCTCCTGTTTTGGTCTTAGAGAGATGGGGGTAACTGTGACGTCGTCACTGAGAGCCAAACAGGTGCGAAGACCGAAGTGGGGGCAAGGGGGGTTAATGTAGTTGTGGGGGCCGACGTCCACCCCACTGCCTTCGCCGGGCAGGAGGGGTGCGACGTCCGCCCCTTCCACTCCCTCCTCCACCACGTCAGTCAGCTCCCGCCGGGCCCCCGCCGACCTCGTGAGCGCCCTCTCTGAGGGACATACTCATGCTGCTGGCTTACAGCCGCACGGAGTTACTCCACACACGCCCGCGTACACCATCACTAATGCTAACGCGGCGGCAAAAACGCGCGCGCACCTGCAGGCGATTATACCCTAACACGCGCACACACCACAGCACGCGTTCCTCCATGCAGTTGCTCCACACACACACAAATCACAGACATTACACCGATGCTCTGTGCTAATTTTTATTCACGGCGCAAACCCTGCACTGCTATCCAACTCCCGAAATACTCACAAGCTCTATTACTTACCTCGCGGCTGTACTCACGGCGTCGCACGGACGCTGTGAGAGTCGAAGGGACGAAGATGGAAGAGAACTGTATCTATCGCTATCTCGTAGCGGCACTCGCTAGCGTCGCACGGATGCTGCGAGCGGCTCAAGGAGGCAGGATGGCAGGGAGTCGGTCTTGGCGGCCAAGAGGTTGGAGATGAACTCTGGTCTGAATGGTTTTTGGCTTCCCATTTTATGCCCCTTGACTTCAAAAATCCAGGGTTATGTTATCGCGCGCGATCGATTGTGCGCCTACCTGTGATTTTCAATCGTTTTCCTTCCCTTACATGGAGCATTGCGATGGTTACTTCTCGACCTATTGTCTATGCACCTGTACTCGTTAATTTCTGACTCAGCCTGTTTAATCTGGAAGGACGTCCGGTTGGCGAATACACACCCTGCTAGTGTGTACTTGGTTTGGGGGAGGTCGTGGCACTGCAATCCCATGACCTCATAGTCTGCTCTGCTCGCTTAATATTTCACCCCAGCCCCCCTCCCCGATGTTGTGTAGGTATACACCCCTCGGTGGATCTCTTCAAGGATTGAAGCCGTGGCATGCAGGTCAGCGAGGCGGGAGTGCGCCACATGGAGCGCACTCCCCGAAGGTGGCGGGCTCACGGGCGCTTGTGCAGGCTGCATACCGGCCATTGGGACGGCCTCTTCATTGCTTGGTGGTGTGCCGCCCCTGGAGCAAGCGCAGCACCGTCGTCAGCGTCGTCCGGAGCCCAGGTCCATGCACGACTCCTTGCCTCCATTTCTAGTTAGGTCTTTGGCCACTTCTGACACCAGTTGTAGTGGTAATGATGGAGACTCAGTCTTCTCTGGAGGCAACACGTTTATTTATAACTACAACGGTAACACAAGGTCCCTGACACAAAGGGGTATCGGCCCCTTCCACCCGATACCCTGGGGAGGTATAGCCTCTGGGCTAGCGTGTCCTAATCACTGGAACCACTTCCTATATATATCAACCCTCCGGCTAGGGGGACCTAGGGGAGGCTAGCTGACTCGATCCAGCCAAGGTCCTCGGGTCCTGGCCACTGGCCCACTCGGTCTTGGCCCTTACAGTGAGGGAAAAAAGTATTTGATCCCCTGCTGATTTTGTACGTTTGCCCACTGACAAAGAAATGATCAGTCTATAATTTTAATGGTAGGTTTATTTGAACAGTGAGAGACAGAATAATAACAACAAAATCCAGAAAAACGCATGTCAAAAATGTTATAAATTGATTTGCATTTTAATGAGGGAAATAAGTATTTGACCCCCTCTCAATCAGAAAGATTTCTGGCTCCCAGGTGTCTTTTATACAGGTAACAAGCTGAGATTAGGAGCACTCCCTTGAAGAGTGTGCTCCTAATCTCAGCTCGTTACCTGTATAAAAGACACCTGTCCACAGAAGCAATCAATCAGATTCCAAACTCTCCACTATGGCCAAGACCAAAGAGCTCTCTAAGGATGTCAGGGACAAATTGTAGACCTACACATGGCTGGAATGGGCTACAAGACCATTGCCAAGCAGCTTGGTGAGAAGGTAACAACAGTTGGTGGGATTATTCGCAAATGGAAGAAACACAAAAGACCTGTCAATCTCCCTCGGCCTGGGGCTCCATGCAAGATCTCACCTCGTGGAGTTGCAATGATCATGAGAATGGTGAGGAATCAGCCCAGAACTACACGGGAGGATCTTGTCAATGATCTCAAGGCAGCTGGGACCATAATCACCAAGAAAACAATTGGTAACACACTACTCCGTGAAGGACTGAAATCCTGCAGCACCCGCAAGGTCCCCCTGCTCAAGAAAGCACATATACATGCACGTCTGAAGTTTGCCAATGAACATCTGAATGATTCAGAGGACAACAGTGTTGTGGTCTGATGAGACCAAAATGGAGCTCTTTGGCATCAACTCAACTCGTCGTGTTTGGAGGAGGAGGAGGAGGAATGCTGCCTATGACCCCAAGAACACCATCCCCAGCGTCAAACATGGAGGTGGAAACATTATGCTTTGGGGGTGTTTTTCTGCTAAGGGGACAGGACAACTTCACCGCATCAAAGGGACGAGGGACGGGGCCATGTACCGTCAAATCTTGGGTGAGAACCTCCTTCCCTCAGCCAGGGCATTGAAAATGGGTCGTGGATGGGTATGCCAGCATGACAATGACCCAAAACACACAGCCAAGGCAACAAAGGAGTGGCTCAAGAAGAAGCACATTAAGGTCCTGGACTGGCCTAGCCAGTCTCCAGACCTTAATCCCAAGGAAAATCTGTGGAGGGAGCTGAAGGTTCGAGTTGCCAAACGTCAGCCTCGAAACCTTAATGACTTGGAGCAGATCTGCAAAGAGGAGTGGGACAAAATCTCTCCTGAGGTGTGTGCAAACCTGGTGACCAACTACAAGAAACGTCTGGCCTCTGTGATTGCCAACAAGGATTTTGCCACCAAGTACTAAGTCATGTTTTGCAGAGGGGTCAAATACTTATTTCTCTTATTAAAATGCAAATCAAGTTATAACATTATTGTTGTTATTCGGTCTCTCACTGTTCAAATAAACCTACCATTAAAATTATAGACTGGTAATTTCTTTGTCAGTGGGCAAACGTACAAAATCATCAGGGGATCAAATACTTTTTTCCCTCACTGTAGTAGGACGTCGGGTCCCGGGGGTTCCCAGGGTCCAACCACTGGCCCACTCAGTCCCGGCCCTTAGAAGGACGTTGGGTCCGGGGGTTCCCAGGGTCCTAGTCTAAGCTGGCTCGCCAGTCTTCAGCTTGACAACGACTGTAAATCCGTTTAGGGGTCCGCCTTATATACAGCTCCCAGGGTCACTCCGCCCCTGGCCACGCCTACTCTCTGGAACCTTCTGGAGGGACCTCAACTATTGCATAATCCCCAGCCCCCACTGGGGGCCTGGGGTGTGTACCTCCGGTTCCCAACCGCCCTCTGGGTTCCCTGGCCTAACGGTGTTACTTGATACAGGCCGTACTCGCCGTTGCCCCCTGTTGACCCATGGCTGACGCTACACCAGGTAAGTCGTGGTAACCGCGTGTAACGCTAACAATACCCACTACACCAGTATCTGAACATTTATAGCTCGGGTAGAGCATGCATATCTTTGGGACCTTTTTCCCAGTATCTATCCAAAATGATGAAAAATAAGAATAGGATTTTAGCCTTTCTGGCAAAAAAACAGGTGTTAAGATATTCAAACCACAAAAATCGGCGTTTGAACATCATTTCAAATATAAATGCAATTTGAAACTGAAAGAGCCACAAAGCATTCGAGAACCTTGGAAAATAAGAATTGAATCTATTTAAACTACTTTTGAAATTTAGTTTACCAGGTAAGGCTCACAGAGTTATATAGCTCATTTTCAGAAGCAACTTGCCCATAAATAATAGGTCAACGAAGTGGCTTATCATGTGGACATTTATATCAGCAAATACTCTAAATGCACGTTCATTAAAAATGTGGATGGAAAAACCAGAGTACCCGGAGAAAAATCCACGCGACTACAGAGAACATGCAAACTCCAAATATACAGGCGTCAGGGTCGAACCCATGATCTCCTTCATACCAAGCAAGGCAGTTAACATCTCGCCACCGTGGCGCTTTAATTTCGACAGGAAAAAAGATACACAACACGCGTCTGTGTAGATACGTTGTCTGCATCCACAAAGGAGATGTATTGCGTATGTATCATGTTACTTATATCCTCCGTAAGGGCGACAATGATTGTTTTGTCTTACGCACTACTCTCGCCATAGCCCAACCCTGAACCACCACCTTACCTCAAGCCATGCGCTTGGTTATATCAAATAAAACTAAACAATTTGAAGATACTTGCTGCGTCGGCAGTGGTGCAGGATCACGAATGAACATTAACTTTGGTACATTTTTCGATAGCACCGCGGCCTTGAAAGTAAAAACGTGTTCTGACAAGGTGATGCGTCGGGGGAAACGGCCGTTCTTCACGGCACATAGGAAGCGGAGAGCGAAGGAATTATCCATCGATGCGTTCCGGTTTTTTTTCAACCACCAAATAAACCCTCGTCGTCGGAGACTACACTGTACAATTTGCAACGGGTGTCGAGAGGCGCGCAGCACCTAAGCGCGGCAGCCCAGCCAATGGGAGAGCGAGCGTCACCAAAAACGTAAGCAGTGCGAAGTCATCTTCTTATATACAAATGTCACTTTTTGTCTGTCCGTGTTCATGCGCTTGCCGGGGATTTGGCTCTCAAACGGTGGGGTTTACGTAAAAAAAGAAATTGCCAGGTACCACGCCGTAAGCCCCTCGGTTGGCAAACGCTATTCCTTTTCCACGTCCCTCACCTTTAAATTAGTTAAATTAGCGGTTGAGTGCGATTTTTCTTTATTTCATTATTTAATACGCGCGCTGGACCACACCAACTCACGCATTTTTGGTGGGGGGGACGAGCCATGCCAAGTCACACGCGTTCGGTAGGGGTGAGGGGAAAATTTTGTTTCGTGTTAAAAATGCGACAAACACAACGCTGACGCACATTCTTCACTGTGTGATGTCCTCTTCTCCCCCCCACCCCGATGCGTACAGTTACTACTATAGAGTCCGTACATATTAATATAGCGCTTAGATAGTATTGTTGTTGCGCGGCCGGGGGGATGGTGGGGGGGGTAGCGGCCCAGCCCCCAGCCTGTTGGCTGGGCAATCTAGGCAAGGCCGGGGGCTCTGCACGGGACTAGGCCTCACCACGCCACTCTGTCAGGTTCGTGGTTTGTGCTATAGTCGATATATACTGCTATAGAGTCAGCATGTACTACTGTTGTGATAGGACATACCACCACAGTCAGTATGCACTGTTGTAATCATAGCAGGTACCACCACTGTCGCTATGCACTGCTGTAATCATAGGTACCACCACTGTCGCCATGCACTGCTGTAATCATAGCAGGTACCACAGCAGTCAGTATGCACTGCTGTAGTGAGAGCAGCTACCACCACAGTATGCTCTGCTGTAATCATAGCAGGTGCCACCACAGTCAGTATGCACTGCTGTAGTGAAAGCAGGTTCTACCACATTCAGTATGCACTGCTGTTATCACCAGGTACCACCACAGTCAGTATGCACTGCTGTAATCATACCCGGTACCACCACAGTATGCACTGCTGTAATCATACCAGGTACCACCAGTCGGTATGCACTGCTGTAGTGAAAGCAGGTACCAAAGTCGGTATGCACTGCTGTAGTCATAGCAGCCACCACCAGTCAGTATGCACTGCTGTAATCATACCAGGTACCACCAGTCAGTATGCACTGCTGTAATCATGGAAGGTACCACCACAATATGCACTGCTGTAATAATCGTAGGTACCACCACATTCAGTATGCACTTGTTGTCAAAGCATGTACCACCACAGTATACACTGCTGTAATCATACCAGGTACCACCAGTCAGTATGCACTGCTGTAATCATGGCAAGTACCACCACATTATGCACTGCTGTAATCATCGTAGGTACCACCACATTCAGTATGCACTTGTTGTCGAAGCAGGTACCACCAAAGTCGCTATGCACTGCTGTAGTGATAGCGCAACCACAAGTCGGTATGCACTGCTGTCGTGAAAACAGGTACCACCAGTCATTAGGCACTGCTATACTGATAGCAGTGCATACCGTCGATGTGTGTGCACGTAAGTCGATGTGTGTTAGTCAATATGTGTACGTGGTGTGTGTGTAGACTACTAATTGAAATTAAATTACTTATTTTAACAATAATAATGCGTGTGTCTATGTCCATGTGTGTGTGAGTCGATGTGCGTCTGCAGTGATGTGTAAGTCGATGTGTCTGTGTGCGAGTCAGTGTGTGTGTGTGAGTCGATGTGTCTGTGTGTGAGTCGATGTGTTTGTGTGCGAGTCCATGTCAGTCGATGTGCGTGTGTGTTAGTCGCTCTGTGTGCGTGGCTCTATGCGAGTCAGTGTAGGTCCATGTGTGCGTGAGTGCACGTGTGTACATGCATGTGTGTGTGTCAGTCCATGTGTGTGTGTCAGTCCATGCGTGTGTGGCTCAATGTGCGTGCGCGTCGATGCGTGTGCTTGTGAGTCTGTGTCAGTCGCAGTGTGTACGGCAATGTGTGTGAAAGTCCATGTGTGTGCGTCGATATGTGTAAGTCCATGTGTGTGTAGGTCCATGTGTGCGTCGATGTGTGTGCGTGGGTCCATGTGTGTGTAAGTCCATGTGTGTGTCTTCGTCGATGTGTCTGTAAGTCCGAGTGTGTAGGTCTATTTGTGTGCGAGTCTGTGCGAGTCGATGTGTGTGTCGATGTGTGTGTAACTCCATGTCTGTGTCTAAAGTCGATGTCTGTGTGTGCGAGTCCATGTGTGTGTAGGTCGATGTGTTTTTATGTGTGGGTCGATGTGTGCGTCTGTCTTTTTCGCCCGGGCAACGCCAGGTACTTACCGCTAGTTGCTCATAAATTAAGGGTGCTTTTTGGGGTGGGGGGGGGTTACATGTATAAATGTAACTATGTCGTAAAACCCACCACCATCCGATACGACAAATTAGCGAAATTGGTTACGGGAACAAGACGCGCCACTTGTACAGTAAACCCCGCAACATTTACAATCTGAGTTAACGTTTCGCCAGCGATTACAACAACCAGCTCAAATAGGGCAAGCAACTTGTAGGTTGGGAAGGGAAAGTGGCGGGTGAGCGGTGGAGGTGTGATCAGGCAGGATGGGGTGGGCAGGGTGGTTGTCAAGGCAGGCATTAGAGTGGTTTCTACCAGACCAGTGACCAAAGGGAAGAGAAGACCTAAAGCCGGGTGGTGTGAATCTCTGGCCCTCTGTGTGTCTATGACTGTGCTACCCTATATGTTCCTATGTGAGTCTAGATTCTATGGATGTCTAAGAGCAGATGGTGGGAGGCTGTCAGGGCAGAAGTTGGAGGGTCTAACGCATTGGCGATGTGGTGGTGGAGATGGCGGCGGTGGCAGTATCCACGACTCCGTCAGCGGTGTAATGATGGCGACCGTCATGTCTGGTTTTACTCCACACAGGAGGCCATTAGAGGCAAAATCCTCGCAGTTTAATGCAAAACAGCGCATGGCAAATACAAACTGTACAGAGCACCCATCAGCACGAGTCCGTGCCTGCCTCAGCACGTTCAACCCCAAGGCATGTTAGACCCACAGTTTGTATCCTGCATGGAAAGTCAGACCCACAGTCCATACCCCGTGAGCAAATTGCACGTTAAGACCCAGTAGCATGTTAGACCCGTGGCACGTTAAGACCCAGTAGCACGTTCGACCCGTGGCACGTTAGACCCTGTTACGTGACCCACATATGGTACCACACGCAGTGGTACACAAGCTTCTAAATGCATATTCAGGTATAAACACACAGGTATAAACATACACACACACACATGCACAGGTATAAACACACATAGGTATAAACACACACACATGCACAGGGGTACACACACAAACAGGGGTACACACACAAACAGGGGTACACACTCAAACAAGGACGCACTCACACGCTCATCTGCATTATAGTCACACGACATTATGAACCTGGTGACCTCGGTTTGATTCCTGGCCAGTGGAGAGTGCCAATGAAGCGAGAGAAGGCATCCGCCCCTCAGCTCGATTCAGCCTCAACAGAGTACCTGGTGCGATGGATGAGGACATCACCACCGGGATAAAAAGGTGACCGGAGGAGTGGTTACAGCCACGCCGGCCCCTCGTGCACGGTGCCAGCCTTCGCAGGTGCTCGCTAACAGCACTCGCCCCAATAGTCTGTGCACGCCATTGGGGGGAATCTTTGTCTACGCTTGCATTTGTGTTGCCGCATGCCCCTGCGCAGACATGTTCCATGTCTGTGCAGCGGGACGTACCTGTGTGTCCATGTATGCCGTGCGCACGGACGCTACGTGCGCACGTAGCATCTGTGTGCGCTGTGTTGTCTTTGTATGCCGTGTCCACGTGCGGCGGTGTCCACATGCACTGTGGCGTGTACATGACGTGGGACGCCATGTTGTCTACGTGCAGTGGGACACCGTTTTGACTACATGCAGTGGGAAAGCCGTGTTGTCTACGTGTTGTGCTGTGTTTTCTACGTGTAGTGGGACGCGCGGAGGTATGCCGCAGGGAGGTAGCCCTGGCCGGCCGGCCCCTCCGCCAGCCACCAAGCAGAGTTCCCGGCCTCGTCGTGGAAGCAGAGCACGCGCACGCGCTCACGCGCACGCACACTCAGCTGGTTGGGGAGCAGCGCCGAGAAGGAGAACACGGCCTGGTAGAACTGAGACACGCGGGGGACACGGGGGTGAGACACGAGTGAGACATGAGTGAGACAAGGGGACACGGCCTGGTAGAACTGAGACACGTGGGAGTCACGGGGGTGAGACAATGAGAGGTGCGGATAACACGGCCTGGTGGAACTGAGACACATGGGGACACGGGGGTGAGACACAAGTGAGACAAGGGAAAACGGCCTGTTAAAACTGAGACACGGGTGTGACACGGGGATATGTGCGATCAAAATGAGATGCACGGGGTCATACGAGGGAATCACACAGTAAGTTGGTACACACAGCATGGCATAGGAAGTCATACATGAAGTTCGCACACACGGGGTCACACGGCAGCAATACTCACCGAGCTGTGCGGCCTTGCCAGGACAGCACGGGGGGCAGAGGGTACGGGGACACGTGACACCATCAGAGGGTACGAGACAAGTGACACCATCAGACGCGCATAGCCACTCACAACCACACACGCACAACACCCGCAACAACAACAATAGCCAACATTCGCCGCCACTAAGTGGTGGTGACGTCACAACAGCCCTGGTGCCAGGATAGGTGCATGCTCAGGCTATCATGTGAAGTGTCGAAGGCTCGCTGACAAGTCACGGGACAGACCCAGGTGCCATGGATTGACCGAGGCGACTGGCAAATATGCACCAGCTGTGCTCCATACAGCGCAAACTCGCTCCTCCGCCCTCCGTTGTTACTGTAGGGGGACTCCCTCCCACTGCCCAACAGCGTTCTTCACGAGCCTCCTCCACAGAGGCCAATCTTGACACCACTGGTACTGGCCATCGGCAAGTCCATTCAGCTCCACATTATCCTGTACCGCATCAGCCCATCTCTTCTCTAGCCTGTGCCATACCCGTTTAGCCTCGTCTATCCGGCCTAACAGAAGCTGCTTGGGCATGCACCGACACCAGCACACGGTTACTCACATATTCACTGACGACGAGTTCCCTTCCATCAGCACCGCCCGTCACCTGCTTCTCGTGCTCACGGCGCTGCCTGGAATTGGGGGCCCCATCTGCACTGGAAGGGGAGCCACATCCGTCTCCAGGGTAACCGTTTCCACGGCGTCCATCTCCAGGGTAACCATCTCCCCGGCGTCCGTCTCCGCGGCACCCATCTCTGCGGCGCCCAGCTCCACGATCACCATGGTAACCAGCTCCACGGTAACTGTCTCCATCAGTTCTGTCACCACAGCAACCGTCCCCAAAGGTTCTGTCACCGTAGTAACCATCTCCATAGGTTCCAAGGCCGCTGTAACCGTCTTCATAGTTTCCGTGACTGCGGTAACCATCTCCATAAATTCCATCCCCACGGTAACCATCTCCACGACGCCCTTCCCTATGGTACCCATCTCTATGGTACTCATTTTCAGAGTAACAGCCTCTGCGGCAACCGTTTCCATGGTAACCGTCTCCATGGTAACCGTCCCCACGGCGGCCCCGCTCGACTGTGCTGTCTCGGTAAGGGGGCTGTCGACCGCGGTCTGGGTGGACGCCGGAAGGAGGAGAGCGGTGATGGACAATGGGAGGAGAGCGGTGGTGGGCACCAGGAGGAGGGCGTTGGTGGACAGCGGGAGGAGGAAGGCGGATGCCGCAGTCCACCACGTCGAGGCCTCGCGGCGAGCGGTGGCGGCGCTGCCGCCCCAGCACCCGGTCGGTCGTGTGGTGGACAAACACCGGGGCAGATGCCGTGTGGTGGAGGGGCTGGAGCGTGCCGTAGTCGGGGGCCCGGTGCGGGGGCCCCGCAGGGTCGTCGTGGAGAGGGGGACACCTGGGGCGGCGGTCGCGGTGGAGCGTCGGGCAGTCGGAGCGCGGGCGACCGTAGTCGTCGTCGTTGTAGTCATATCCGGAGCCCAGGAGGTCGTGGCTGGACTTGGGGCGGCGCAGCGGAGGCGGGGCGTATCGCCCATCGTCCGAGAAACGGGGGGGACCCCGTGGCGGTGACCCCCGATGATCCCCGTCGGTCCGGGCTCTCCGCGGGGCTCGGCCTGAAGAAGCCTCGGGGGCGGGGGAGGCAGGGGGAGGTAAGGGGAGGGGAGGGTGCGGGGGGTGGGGGCCCCGGGCGGGAGGGCGGGGGGGGGTTGCGTGAGCGCGACAGGGAGTCGAACCCCGAGTCGGACCCAGTGCGGACAGAGTCCGTGCGGTCTGAATCCGTGGGCTCCTCCAAGCCGGTGAGGCGCCACCGTGCCACTCGCTCATCCGCCTCGGCCCCCGGAGTCTCTGCGCGGTTTTTCTGCGGTTTCAATCTCCGCTCGGTCGTGGGTTTCCCTTCCTGTTTTGGTTTCAGCTTCTGTTCCTGTTTCAGTTCCTGTTTTGGATTCAGTTCCTCTTCCTGTTTTGATTTCGGTTCCTGTTTTGGGCCCGGAGGCCGCGGCCTCGCCCTGCGTTTGGCGTCACCGGCGCACTTGGCTAGGCCCAAGCCTGCACGTGTCCTGCAGGTGTTGCTGCCGCCGTCGTCGTCGTCCATCTCCCCATCCGTGTGGGACCGCTCCTCGTGCCGTCGCCCCGGAGACCGAGGCGCTGCCCCCCCCTCTGCGTCCGAGTGGCGGCGCAGGGGGACGCGGCACACTGCGCGATTACCGTGACGACCGTCTGCCTCTCCCTCCGGCTGAGAAGCAACGAGACGCTCGCCGCTCACGCTAACGGCTGCCACCGCCACCTCCGCCTCCTCCTGGCGGATGTGGTTGTTGTTGTTGTTGCTGTTGTCGTTGTTGATGACAGTGGAGGTAGTGGCAGTGATGGCAGTAGGAGAGGTGGCGGCGGTTGCTGCAGACGTCTTGACGTCAATGTGCAAGACACGGAAACGCTTCGCCAGGTCCTCGCCACCATCGTCGTCGCGAGACTGACACAGGCAGCAAAATTAATACACCACACACACGCGTTACATAAACAATACAGATCCCCCATATAGCCGAAACAGACTGTTGGGGCAGATGCTGTTAGCGAGCACCTATGACGGCACACAAGGGGGTGGGTGGCAAGCACCATGCCCGGCTGTCTGTCTTCCCAATGCCGATGTTTACACACTGCACCAGGTACTCATTTGAGGCTCAGTCGACCTATAGGAGGCCCAGGACCGGTTCAAATAATCATCGCTGATGTTGGTCGTGAGCAGGAATCCAACTCGGGCGGCTGGGTTCGTGGCGCAGCAAGCTAACCACTGCGCCACCACTCCCCACTGGGTACAAAGACAAAGATCCCCCATATCTTGTAACAGACTGTTGGGGCAAGTGCTGTTAGCGAGCACCTATGAAGGCCTACTGGGTACACACACACGGGTACACACACACGGGTACACACACACGGGTACACACACACACATTCCCCCACACACGTACACACACACATACATGCAGGTACACACACACAAAAAAACACAAAGATCCCCTGTATAGTCTGAACAGACTGTTGGGGCAAGTGCTGTTAGCGAGCACCTATGAAGGCCAGCACGGAATTCCAGGGGGTGGGTGGCCAGCACCACGCCCGGCCGCCTTTGTCTTCCTAGTGGCAATGTTTACACACTGCAACAGGTACTCATTTGAAACTGAGTCTACCTAGGGGAGGACTGGTTCAAATAATCCTCACTGGTGTTGGCTGTGAGCGGGAATCGAACCCGAGTCACCAGGTTAGTAGCGCGCTAACCGCTACACTACTGCTCCCCACACACACACATGGGTACACACACACTCTCCCACCAACACACTCACGGTTACACACACACCAGTACACACACACACAAGACGAGCACTCCCTATGCACGCCGTCTCACCGTGAGCCCCGCGAGCTGCCGGATCTGTGCCGTGGTTTTGGCGAGGGAGGAGACTCCACGCCGGAACAGTCGCTCAGCCAGCACCGACAGGGGGGCGGGAGGGGGGGGTACCCTCCTCACCACTGGGGAGGGGAGGGGTGGTGAGTGGGATAAGTGGGTGCGTGGAGTGGGGTGAGTGAACCGAGTGGGGTGAGTGGGGTGAGTGGGGTGCGTGAGGCGAGTGGGTGAGTGAGGTGAGTGCAGTAAATGGGTGAGTGCGGTGAGTGGGTGTTAGTGGGTGCGTGGGGTGAGTGGGTGCGTGGGGTGAGTGGGTGCGTGGGGTGAGTGGGTGCGTGCGGTGAGTGGGTTGAGTGGGGTGCGTGGGTGCGTGGGGTGAGTGGGTGCGTGGGGTGAGTGGGTGCGTCGGGTGAGCGGGTGCGTCGGGTGAGCGGGTGAGTGGGTGCATGGGGTGAGTGGGGTGAGGGGGTGAGTGGGGTGAGTGGGTGAGTGGGGTGAGTGGGTGAGCGGGGTGAGCACTGCGCGTACCTAAGCGCTGAGCATTATTAATGGCCATGTTGGCTTCCCGCAAGCTGGCAACAGCCCTCGCCAACGGCTCTGCATACATACACACAAACGCACATTCACACCAACACATTCACACCGACACATACACAAGAACACATTCACACCGACACATTAAAACACAACTCAACGATGTCTTGTGTTGGCTTTAAGGACTGTTGGGGAAAGTGCTGTTAGCATGTAGCGCCTATTAAGGCTAGCACAGAACACGAGGGCGTGGATGGCAAACAACACGCCCAGCCACCTTTATCTCTCCATTGCTATGTTAACACTGCACCAGGTACTCATTTAATCCGGTCATCATTGCAGCGACTTTTGGCTCGCCATCGAACAAAGACGGCCACTGTATTGCACGCTTTCAAATGCGCTTCTGCGGCCGTCTGGAACGCTTTTTCTTCCGATATTAGGAAGCCACTGGAGCTATGCACTTTTCAATCTAAATTGAAATAACTTCTTGAGAATGGCTTTTTGTGTTTAGTTTGTTGTCCTTCCCCCATACCTCCAATTAGTAGTTGACTAAGTTCAACATACACACAAGGCTGAATCGACCTAGGGGAAGCCCAGGACAGGTTCAGATATTTCATCACCGATGTTGGCTGCGAGTGGGAACCAAACTCAAGTCGCTGGGTTCATCGGCAAGTGTGATAACCGTCGTGCTATAGCTCACGCAAAGATCGGCAAAACATCGTGAACTGTTGAGGAAAGTGCTGTTAGTGGGCACCTATTAACGCATGGGAGCGATCTCAGTCGAGAAGCTTTGCATCGAGACTCCCCTTTACTGGGGGCTCTAGAGGGGACTGAGGGGCGTCTTTTGGGGCTAAGTGTATGTGTGTCTCTAGGGAGTCTAGGTATATCTGTGCGTCTCTAGGGAGTCTACGTGTATCTTTGTGTGTCTCTAGGGGGTCTAGTTTTATCTGTGTCTCTAGGGGGCCTAGTTTTATCTGTGTCTCAAGTGAGTCTAGGTGTATATGTGTGCCTCTATGGGTTTCTGGATACTTGTGGCAATCTCTGTATCTCTATGTATTTCTATTTATCTCTGTGTATCTCTGGGGATCTCTGGGGATCTCTAGGGGCCTCTGGGGGTTCCTGGGGGTCCGTGGGGAGTACGCACCGCAGTCGGGATGCGAAAGGGGGGTGTGACGCGCCAGCTCGGTGAGCAGGAGCGGGTAGCGCGTCACGCGCTGCACCGGGAGAATCAGGAACGACGGAACGTCCACCAAGCGACGCTTACCCCTGCACGGGCACACGGGGACACGGAGACACGGGGAGGACAAGCACACCAAGGCACAGGGACACGGGGACACGGGTACACGGGGAGACAGGGACACGGGGACGTGGATACACATGACACAAGAGACAGACAACTGTCAGGAGATGTATCCAAATGAGCAGCTTCATTGAGCACCTTGCCCAAGTCTCGTCTGTCTCACCAGACCCACATCCACCCTCGCCACAACCCTCACCACAACCGCCACCACCACCACAACCCTCAGCACAACCCTCACCACCACCGGCACTGGAAAAACAAGACTTTTAAAGGTCCCCCGTGTAGCCTTAACAGACTGGAGGGGCAAGTGCTGTTCGCGAGCACTTATTAAGGCCATCACAGCACACGAGAGGGTCGGTGGCCAACTGGTGATGTTTACACACAGGTACTAATTTCAGGCTGAGTCAACCTAGGAGAGGCCCAGGACCGGTTCAGATAATTGTCACTGGTGTTGGCCGTGAGGGAGGATCGAACTCAGGTCACTGGGTTCATACCGCAGCATGCTAACAATTACACCATGGCTCCCCACCACCAGCACCACCACCAACACCATTACCACCAAGCGTGCATGTGTGTGCGCATGTGTGAGTACGTGTGTATGTGTCAATATGTGTGCACCTCTGTGCATGGATGTGCATTTGTGCGTTTGTGCATCTGTGCGTTTGTGTAAGCGTGTGAGCGAGTGTGTGTACACTACTCACACGTGAGTGTAAATCTCCCTGTGGAAACAACAAAGAGACAGGGAGAGGGGGCGGGAGAGGGGGAGACATTTATAATCACAGATCAGCCGAGAAAGGGCACAGGGACATGGGGACATGCAGACACACGGAGACACGCAGACACACGGAGACACGCAGACACGGAGACACGCAGACACGCGGAGACACGCAGACACGCGGAGACACGCAGACACACGGAGACACGCAGACACGCGGAGACACGCAGACACACGGAAACACGCAGACACGCGGAAACACACAGGGACATGCAAACACATGGAGACAGACAGAGATGGGGACATACAGATACATGGCGACGGGGACACACGGAGACACACCGGAGTGCGGTGATGCTGGCCTGTAGGCAGTCGCAGGAGTGGGGGTCGTGCGACCACATCTCCATCTCGGCCAGGCCCTGCTCATGGTGCGCGCAGTACGACTTGTATACGCCCTCCACCTCGTCGCGTACGCCCAAAAACACGCTCCCTGCACACGCCGCCATCCACAGCGGCATCATCATCATCGTCAATGTCTTTGTCATAGAGTTAACTTTGGGTGTTTCCAGGACTAACCACAACCACGACAACCACCATCAACCATCCTTTCCATCAACCACAACAGCTACCACCACCACTATATCCTGATCGCTACCATCACCACCACCAGAACCACCACCACTATCCTGATCACTACCATCACCACCATAATCACCACCATAACCACCACTATTATGGTGATCACCACCATCACCACCACCATCACTACTATCATCACCACCACTGCGATGATACTCCACCACTGGGCGGCCTGCCCACGGCGACCGCTCACCAACGATCTGCGAGGGCGTGTCGTTGGTGATGACGAGATGGCGCAGCTCGGAGAAGAGGCGCGACGAGAGCGCGATCACACTGTCCAGGTCTCCGTTGAGGGCGCTGGCACAGCCCAGCTGTGCAAAGACAAAGATCCCCGTGAAGCCTTAGCAAACTGTTGGGGTAAGTGCTGTTAGCGAACAACACCTATGAAGGCTGGCACGGTGCACGAGGGGTTGGGTGGCTAGCACCATGCCTGGCCGCTTTTGTCTCCCAGTGCTCATGTTTTATACACACCACACCAGTTACTCATTTAAGGTTGAGTAGACCTAGAGGGAGGGCTCAGGACCAGTCCAGATATTCGTCAGGGATGTTGCCCGAGAGCGGGGATGGAACTTGTGTCGTCTGGTTTGTCGTGCAGTGTGCTAACACGGAGACCCAGAGTCACACACTGCGGATGCTGCTGCTGATAATGCTGCGACTGCTGATAATGAAGATGCTACTACTATGGCTAATAACGACGCAACCACTGCTGCTGATAATCTTACTGCAGCTGCTGTTGCTGCTGATGTTACTGCTGCTGATAATGTTACCGCTGCTGCTAATATTACTGCTGCTGCTAATGTTACAGCTGTTGCTAATGTTACTGCTCCTGATAACGTTACTGTTGCTGATAACGTTACTGTTGCTGATGTTACTGCTCCTAATAACGTTACTGCTGCTGATAACGTTACTGCTGCTGCTACTGCTACCGCAAGTGGCGCCGTGGCTGCGGCCGGCCGACCTCACCTGTTGCAGCGGCACGAACACGCGCTTGCGGAAGACGCGCAGGTCGCACAGGAAGTCGCGCTCCGTCTCCAGGAGCTCCTCTAGCACGCGAAGTCGCCGCTCCATCTGTTGGCGCCAGGCCAGACGCTCGGGGGGCTCCTCGGGGCCCCCACCTCCGTCGCTCCATGCTGCACGCGCACAGCAGACGACGGCGGTCCCCGCGGAACCTCAGACAGACTGTTGGGGCAAGTGCTGTTTGGACTATGAAGGCTGGCATGGCACACACGAGGTTCGGTGGTGACACACACACAACAATTGTTGTATTGTAGCTTTCTGAGCCTCCCCTAAATAAAGATTATGATTCTAATAAAGGTTCTGATTCTGAACAGCCGCCACCAATCACCACAAAGTGGCGGTGGCATCACCACAGTGATTGTGCAGGCTAAGTGCACCTTTAGGCCACGTGAAGTGTCGAAGGCTCACTGGAAGGTCACGGGACAGACTCAGGTACCATGGGTTGGCCTGTATATTTCGAGTTTGCACGTCTCTCTCCCCTTGGTCGCATGGATGTTTTTTTCTCTGGCTCCTCCGGCTTTCCCCTCCACATTTAGAAACGTGCATTCAGATTATTTTGCTGCTAAAAATGTCCACATCGTAAGCCACGTCGTCAAGCTATAGTTTGTGGCCAGGTCGCTTCTGAAAAAGCGAATATCTCAGTGGGCTTTACCTGATAAAAACTAGTTTTGTTTTATTTGTAGATTTTATGAAGTGATTTGTTGACTTTTTATGCTTTTAACTCTTTGTGTGTTTTTGTATGATTTGTTGTTGCAAAATTCTGACCTGCCCCTACTGGTCATCTGTGAAAGAGATGTACAGTATAGCTCACAATCATATTCCTGCAGCATAAACAGATATTCTGATTCTGAGATGGCTGGCAGCTGCACCAGCTGTCCTCCTCACTGTGCCAACTCGCCGTGTTTTAGGCGCCCAGCTCCGCTCGTTGTTGTGAGCATCGCTCCGCCGCCCTACGGCAGAGGAGCGACGCTCACACAAAAGACAAAGGACCCCCGCCCCCCCGTGCAGCCTTTAACAGACTGTGGGTGGCAAGTGCTGTGAGCGAGTAGCGCCTTTGAAGGCCGGCACGGCAAATATGGGGGTGGGTGGCCAGCACCACGCCCGGCCGCCTTTGTCTCCCCAGTGGCGATGTTTACTACGCACCGCTACACCAGGTGCCCTCACCTGTGATGTAGCTGAGCGGCACGGAGGCGCGCGAGGGGGGAGCAGAGCTGCTGAGCGTGGGCATGGAGACACGCGGCTCCTGAGACAACACGGAGACACGCGGACAAGGAGGCACGGGGACAGAGAGATGTGCGACTGCCGAGACAATACCGAGACACGGGGACAGGGAGACACCGGGGACACGCAGCTCCCTAGACAACACGCGGGCACGGGGAGACACGTGGCTCCCTGGACGACATGAGGACAACACGGAGACACGCAGCTCCCGAGACAACACGCGGGCACGGGGAGACACGTGGCTCCCTGGACGACATGAGGACAACACGGAGACACGCAGGGACGAGGCTGCGCGAGTCGTCATTCGTGAGAAACAAGAAGTGCAACAATGGAGGATTCGACACGGCCACTCCCTCCGCACCGCTCACACCGACACAACACACAGAGGGACCCCCGTGTAGCCCACACAGCCTGCTGGGTAGGGGGGTTGGTGCTGTAAGCGAGGGCCTACGAGAAGGGGGTTGTGTGGCCAGGAGCACGCCCGACCGCCTTTTGTCCTCCCAATTGCTGGTTTCTTTACGACACAACGCATCGGGCGACTCGTTTAGAGCCGAGTAAGGGTCCCGGGACCTGTTCAGATCATCGTCACCGGCGTTGGTGGCCGTGAGGGGCAATCGAACTCGGATTGCACTGTGCCACCGCCCCGCTCCCTACAAGCACACGCACACTGTACACGCACTGTACAACCTCCCCACTCTCACCTCCACGCCCGGTCTCCCTGAACGCTCCCCGAGGTCTCCCCACGCGGCCTCTGCCCGTGTCCCTGTGCACACGACTAGGTCGTGGCGTCTGTACCGCTGTGTCTTTAAATGCCTGCTGTTCGGCGTGCCTACTCCAGATTTTCTGTTTGCACGGTCACATAGTCACTTTAAGATGTTTTCTTGTTCGTGTTTTTGTTTTTTTTGTTTGTTGTGGTTGCACCCGATTCAAGAGCCGAATGGCTCACCAGGGCTATACCAAAAGAAATAAACAGAAAAAATAAATAAAATACTCGCGTCTCTCTCTCTCTCTCTCCGTCTCTTCCTGTGTCTATGTCTCAGTTTCTACCCGCGTCTCTTTCACTCCCCGTGTCCATACCCGTGTCTCTCCCCGTGTCTCTGGTCCGTGTCTCTCCCTCCGTGTCTCTGGTGCGTGTCTCTCCCTCCGTGTCTTTGGTCCGTGTCTCTCCCCGTGTCTCTGGTCCGTGTCTCTCCCTCCGTGTCTCTGGTCCGTGTCTCTGGTCCGTGTCTCTCCCTCCGTGTCTCTCCCTCCGTGTCTCTGGTCCGTGTCTCTGGTCCGTGTCTCTCCCTCCGTGTCTCTGGTCCGTGTCTCTCCCTCCGTGTCTCTGGTCCGTGTCTCTCCCCGTGTCTCTGGTCCGTGTCTCTCCCCGTGTCTCTGGTCCGTGTCTCTGGTCCGTGTCTCTCCCTCCGTGTCTCTGGTCCGTGTCTCTCCCTCCGTGTCTCTGGTCCGTGTCTCTCCCCGTGTCTCTGGTCCGTGTCTCTGGTCCGTGTCTCTCCCTCCGTGTCTCTGGTCCGTGTCTCTCCCCGTGTCTCTGGTCCGTGTCTCTGGTGCGTGTTCCTTACCTTGGGTTCAGTTCCACGCATATACAACGCTCATGTCCCAGCTCGCGGGGACACGGGGAGACACGGGAAGAGGGAGACACACGCAGAGACCGATACACGAAAGACAGAGACACGAGAGACAGAGGCACGAGAGACAGAGGCACGGGGGACAGAGACACGAGAGACAGAGACACGAGAGACACAGACACGAGAGACAGACAGAATCGAGAGACAGACAGAATCGAGAGACAGCGGTAGGGGGACAGACACGAGAGACAGACAGAGACACGAGAGACAGCGGCAGGGGGATAGAGACACGAGAGACAGACACGAGAGACAGAGACACGAGAGACAGACAGAGAGACGAGAGACAGAGACACGAGAGACAGCGGTAGGGGGACGGGGATAGAGAGACAGAGACACGAGAGACAGCGGTAGGGGGACGGGGACAGAGACACGAGAGACAGCGGTAGGGGGACAGAGACACAGAGTTGATACCGGAAGTTCCTCGGCGCCGCGCCTTGCGCCGCCTGATTGGTAATCGCACGTCACGTGGGACGCGTCACCCATGACTCATCCACGGGGGAGCGGTGGTGCAGCGGTTAGCGCCACGCGCCACGGACTCCTGCTCACGGCCAACGCCGGTGACAATGATCTCAGCCGGTCCCGACTCTCTGCTAAGTCGACTCAACCTCAAACGAGTACAGTACCTGGTGTGATGTGTAAATATCGCCACACTAACAGCACTAAACCTCTAAAGTATGTTATTCCAGATTTGAAGTTTTCGTGACTGCAGGGATCCATACTCTTTGGTTATTTCGGTAAAGTGATTTAATTAATTAAATTTTATATCTACGTGACTTTACCAGAAAGAACCAAGAATATGTCCCTACAATGTTTGTGTTTCAGCAGAAATGTATTCTTTTTTTATAAAAAAAAATATCCCTGTAGTTAATTATAACACAAACATTTTCCGTAAGCCCAGCTTACACGTGCTGTATCAATATAGCTACAAGGATAAAACTTTATGCGAATTTACTTTTTGAACCATCTAATGCGCTCCGGTAAGAGTTATTGTTACCCAACTGCAGTGACGCTTCGAGTCACGTGGGTTCGTCTGCACGCGCTCCAAGCACGCGCTGTTGTGTTCGTCGCTGCTCGTGTTTTTATAGTCGCTGGTTTTGTCAAATTTTCTGGTGTTTTAGCTCCAGTGTTGTGGTAATTAGTATGTGTGAACCTATATCGATCACTTTTTTGAGAATGAAGTAGTAATTAAAGGAAATATTGTAATTGAAAGGTGTTATTTTAATTTTACGAGTTGTTTATATCACAATTTACATTACATTCAGTGATATATGTGAATTACGATTTACGAGTAACAGTACAAAAACATTACTAAGGATTCTGTATGGTATGGTGCGGGCGGAGGTCCATGAGGGGTGACACCAACCCTAGAGACGCCACTGAGGCTATGTATACCTGGGGTCTTTGTCTGCAGGTGTTCCGGGAAAAGTCCTGGCAAGGATTATTCAACATCGCCTTGCCAGGCACGCTGAGGAGAGGCTTGCGGAGCCGCAATGTGGTTTCAGGCCAGCACGGTCCTGGACAGACCCCACATTCTCTGTCCGCCTGCTACACCAGAAGTGCATGGAATTTCAACAGGACCTATACAGTGAGGCAAAAAAGTATTTCATCCCCTGCTGATGTTGTACGTTTGCCCACTGACAAAGAAATGATCAGTCTATAATTTTAATGGTAGGTTTATTTGAACAGCGAGAGACAGAATAACAACAACAAAATCCAGAAAATCGCATGTCAGAAATTTTATAAATTGATTTGCATTTTAATGAGGGAAATAAGTATTTGACCTCCTCTCAATCAGAAAGATTTATGCCTCCCAGGTGTCTTTTATACAGGTAACGAGCTGAGATTAGGAGCACACTCTTAAAGGGAGTGCTCCTAATCTCAGCTTGTTACCTGTATAAAAGGCACCTGTCCACAAAAGCAATCAATCAATCAGATTCCAAACTCTCCACCATGTCCAAGACCAAAGAGCTCTCCAAGGATGTCAGGGACAAGATTGTAGACCTACACAAAGCTGGAATGGGCTACAAGACCATTTCCAAGCAGCTTGGTGAGAAGGTGACAACAGTTGGTGTGATTATTCGCAAATGGAAGAAACACAAAAGAACTGTCAATCTCCCTCGGCCTGGGGCTCCATGCAAGATCTCACCTCGTGGAGTTGCAATGATCATGAGAACGGTGAGGAATCAGCCCAGAACTACACGGGATGATCTTGTCAATGATCTCAAGGCAGCTGGGACCATAGTCACCAAGAAAACAATTGGTAACACACTACGCCGTGAAGGACTGAAATCCTGCAGCGCCTGCAAGGTCCCCCTGCTCAAGAAAGCACATATACATGCCCGTCTGAAGTTTGCCAATGAACATCTGAATGATTAAGAGGACAACTGGGTGAAAGTGTTGTGGTCAGATGAGACCAAAATGGAGCTCTTTGGCATCAACTCAACTCGACGTGTTTGGAGGAGGAGAAATGCTGCCTATTACCCCAAGAACACCATCCCCACCGTCAAACATGGAGGTGGAAACATTATGCTTTGGGGGTGTTTTTCTGCTCAGGGGACAGGACAACTTCACCGCATCAAAGGGACGATGGACGGGGCCATGTACCGTCAAATCTTGGGTGAGAACCTCCTTCCCTCAGCCAGGGCATTGAAAATGGGTCGTGAATGGGTATTCCAGCATGACAATGACCCAAAACACACGGCCAAGGCAACAAAGGAGTGGCTCAAGAAGAAGCACATTAAGGTCCTGGAGTGGCCTAGCCAGTCTCCAGACCTTAATCCCATAGAAAATCTGTGGAGGGAGCTGAAGGTTCGAGTTTCCAAACGTCAGCCTCGAAACCTTAATGACTTGGAGAAGATCTGCAAAGAGGAGTGGGACAAATTCCTCCTGAGATGTGTGCAAACCTGGTGGCCAACTACAAGAAACGTCTGACCTCTGTGATTGCTAACAAGGGTTTTGCCACCAAGTACTAAGTCATGTTTTGCAGAGGGGTCAAATACTTATTTCCCTAATTAAAATGCAAATCAATTTATAACATTTTTGACATGCGTTTTTTCTGTATTTTTGTTGTTATTCTGTCTCTCACTGTTCAAATAAACTTACCATTAAAATTATAGACTGATCATTTCTTTGTCAGTGGGCAAACGTACAAAATCAGCAGGGGATCAAATACTTTTTTTCCCTCACTGTATAGGAATCATTCAGACAGGGGCAATTTGCTGACTTAATAACTGGAAAAAACATTAACTCTTAGTGGCCTACTGCTGCACTAGATACGTGGAATATTTTACGTCGGTAACAATACGTATAAGAATTAAACTTGTGCATATTTCCTGTATGTGTACATACAGCACAATTATATCCGTTATTTAAACTAAACTATGTTTTATTTTAGCAGGTAAGACCCACTGAGCTATATAGCTCTTTTCTAGAAGCGACCTGGTCACAAATCATTGATAGCTCAACGAAGTGGCTTATCACGTGGGAATTTATAGCAGCGAGATACTTTAAACGCATGTTTCTAAATGTGGAGGGAAAAACCGGAGGACCCGGAGAAAAATTCAAGTGGCCACGGGGAGAGAGACACGCAAACACCAAATATACAATAGGCATCAGGATCGGGATCGAACCCACGACCTCCTGTATACCAGGCGAGGTAGTTAACATCTCGCCACCGTGCCGTACAGCTGTGGCCTTGCCGATACAGATCGCCGCTCGTGTTTCTAAATGATAAACAATTGACAAGTCACGTAAATGTCTCACAGGTCGATTAAAAAGCGTCGCTTCCAGTGGCTAATCTTGCGCGTGGCCGCAACGCCCCCGCGACTTTTGCTGATCATTCCAACGTCAACCCTCGGAGGGCCCCCTGCCTCCTTCGCTGACCCACTTTAGCCATTGGCTATGGCTGTAACAGTGGCGAGCATATGGCCCGCGGTCGACCTGACACAATTCATTTGAGGCTGGCCGCCAGAGAGGGCAGGTGCTGGGTTGGGTAAACCACCCACTGGACTAACGAACACTGCTCTGCTTCAGCTGCTGCTGCTGAATGTTTTTTTGTTTTTGTTGCTGCTACTGATTGCGGTTGCCAACCGCTGTGCAATTTCAGCAACCAAATGAATCGTCCACAAACCACGAGGCGTGAGACAGAGGTGTAGCGGTGTACAGAAGCATTGATTTGTCGACTCTTCATACAGTATATTCTTATGATACACATGCAGAAAACCGTGTGTGTATGATGCAATGGTTAAAGATTCAGGCAAATATATAGTAATATTACTTTAATTGTCGTGATCATGAGAACGGTGAGGAATCAGCCCAGTACTACACGGGAGGATCTTGTCAATGATCTCAAGGCAGCTGGGACCATAGTCACCAAGAAAACAATTAGTAACACACTACGCCGTGAAGGACTGAAATCCTGCAGCGCCTACAAGGTCCCCCTGCTCAAGAAAGCACATCTACATGCCCGTCTGAAGTTTGCCAATGAACATCTGAATGATTAAGAGGACAACTGGGTGAAAGTGTTGTGGTAGATGAGACCAAAATGGAGCTCTTTGGCATCAACTCAACTCGCCGTGTTTGGAGGAGGAGGAATGCTGCCTATGACTCCAAAAACACCATCCCCACCGTCAAACATGGAGGTGGAAACATTATGCTTTGGGGGTGTTTTTCTGCTAAGGGGACAGGACAACTTCACCGCATCAAAGGGACGATGGACGGGGCCATGTACCGTCAAATCTTGGGTGAGAACCTCCTTCCCTCAGCCAGGGCATTGAAAATGGGTCGTGGATGGGTATTCCAGCATGACAATGACCCAAAACACATGGCCAAGGCAACAAAGGAGTGGCTCAAGAAGAAGCACATTAAGGTCCTGGAGTGGCCTAGCCAGTCTCCAGACCTTAATCCCATAGAAAATCTGTGGAGGGAGCTGAAGGTTCGAGTTTCCAAACGTCAGCCTCGAAACCTTAATGACTTGGAGAAGATCTGCAAAGAGGAGTGGGACAAATTCCTCCTGAGATGTGTGCAAACCTGGTGGCCAACTACAAGAAACGTCTGACCTCTGTGATTGCTAACAAGGGTTTTGCCACCAAGTACTAAGTCATGTTTTGCAGAGGGGTCAAATACTTATTTCCCTAATTAAAATGCAAATCAATTTATAACATTTTTGACATGCGTTTTTCTGTATTTTTGTTGTTATTCTGTCTCTCGCTGTTCAAATAAACCTACCATTAAAATTATAGACTGATCATTTCTTTGTCAGTGGGCAAACGTACAAAATCAGCAGGGGATCAAATGCTTTTTTCCCTCACTCTACCATTTAAATTATAGACTGATCATTTCTTTGTCAGTGGGCAAACGTACAAAATCAGCAGGGGATCAAATACTTTTTTCCCTCACTGTATCTCTACTTTATTGACCTGGTCAAGCTGGTAAAGGCTTATGTTACCATCAATAGGCCAGGGCTCTGGGTTATTCGTCATGATGATGGGCAGGCCCGGGTAAAGTTGTGTGGCAAGGAGTCAAAGACGCTCTCTGTTCACCTTGGGGTGCAACAGGGATGTCCTCTGGCTCCTACATAATTGAGCATATTTTTTGACAACGTAGGTTGAGAAGATTTTTTCCATGACTGTACCAGAGGAATTTCCATCTGATACAATGGGAGGCTAATCGATGCCCGCGTGCAGTCAAGGGATGGCTTCCTATTGGTCAACCATGTTATGCATGCTGATGATCTGGTGATTGCTGCTCAGAAGAGATGGAGGCGCTGCTGCTAAACCTGGAGCGTGCGACTAAGAGATGGGGCCTTACCATCAGCCCCACAAAAACTAAGCACCTGTCAGCATACACTTGTGGGGGTTACCGTCCCCCGCCATCACCGAATTGTCGGGGCCGTTGTCCCTCGACTCCCCCGTTACATTCGTCCCACTACCCCCCGGCTGTTCTGTGGGGTCCGGGCTATCGGCCTCCACTTCCTCGCCCCCCTGTATCCCTGACTTTGTTGCTGACCGCATCGGCATGTTTCAATCGGTGGGGCCGCCTGCTCTACGCTTACGACGCGCTACGCTGTGCAGTGGCGGCGTGCTGTGGTGAGCGCGCTCGCGAAACAAGACTCCGTCCTGCACGTGAACAAACGGGTACGGCGCGCCGATGCATGACTCCCGTACATAAACAAATGGGTGCGCCGACGCGTGATTCCCGTACGTAAACAAATGGGTACGGTATGCCGACGCGCGACTCCCTCACGCACACGTTCTACGCGCCCAGGCAATAACAAACCCGACGCCGCTACCTGCCCAGCCCCGTACACCAATCACACTCGAGGGAGTTGGGGTCGGGGGTAAGAGGGCAAGGGCGTCTGCCGTTTGCGCGCCGCTGATTGGAGGGAGTCACTCCGCTCCGATTTAAAGGGCTGTTTAAACAGCCGCGCGTATACGTGCACACCATGCGCTTAGCTCTCTGCTTCGCTATAAACAACCGCGCATGCACGCGACCGCAAGACACTCCCGTAAACAGTCGCACAGGTACGCGAACGCTAAGCACTCCCGTAAACAGCCGCCCGGGCACGCGAACGCCAAGTACTCCCGTGAACAGTCGCACAGGTGCGCGAACGCTAAGCTCTCCTGTAATCAGCCGCGTAGGCA